TTCATGGCCTCCGCGTCGGCGTACTTGCCCTGCCTGCCGAGCACAAGAGCGAGGTTGCTCATAGTCGTGAGCGTGGAGGGGTGTGTCTTGAGCTGCGTGGTCTCCCTGATCCTGATCACCTGCTCAAGCAGCTCCCTAGCTGCTTCATTCTTCCCACGGTTTATTAAGCTTCTTGCTTGAAGGTCATAGAGCGGTAACAAATCTTCCGATGGCTTGTCAGGTTTCTGTCTAAGCTCAAGGAACATGTCTTCTAGCAATTGGCCAAGCCTAGTATCTTGTCGCATACCTAGCAGAGTCCAACCACACTTGAGAAGAATTGAAGTGATAACTGGTTTCGATGCTAATTCGAATGCCTTCTTGACTTTTAAGTCTAAGTAAGACAAGACATGAGGAAGGAGACGTCTCTCTTGTGTTTGCCACATGCGAGTATTAGAGCGAGAGAGCCCAAGAACACAGCCAGTTGCGATCCATGCCACACCTTGACGCTTTAAATCCTGTCGGTCCTTGGCCCAAGCGTGAGTCAGTGGGTGCATCGATAATGCCACGCAACTGTTCAAATCCTGCCGAGTGGCTAATGAAAGCGAGGCAAGGAGAGAACTGGCCTCGGTGAGACGAAAATGGTCCCATTCATCTTCGTCTGGGACCATGAGTTTTGGCAACTGCAAGACGTGGTCTCGAGAGAATTCATCGATACCTCTACCCTCATCACTTGCTTGCGAGATCTCTCTGCAACCCTTCCATGCCTCCTCGAAAATCTGGAGAGGAAGTACGCTAGAGTCAAACATCGACAGAATCTCAAGTAAGCGAAGAGCATCGCGTGCAGACTCGGTTTGAGATTGTTCCAAGACATCTGCTGAGGCTTCGAAGGTCGCATACACATCGCGATACCTCGACTGGGCTTGCTTAGGTCTGTATTTCAAGAGCCGTTGTCGCTGCCGTTGGTAGACCTCAGGGTACTGGTAGAGCTGGCAGTGGCCTTGACTGATATACGCTCCAGCTTGTATTAAAGCAAGCGTGTGTAATCCTAGGAGGCGGGCTACTTTTCTGGCTTGATTATCATATGCTAGCCACGATGCTGGAGCTAGCTCGGCTGCTTTGAGCAAGAGTTCTTTCGAGTCCTCTTCTTCTAGACCCCCAAGTGCTTCGAAGGCATCTACACTATACTGCTTGCATTCGATAACACGAGATGTCATGAGAACAGCACCGTGACTACCTAGTGGAAAGTATACTTGGTAGTCGAAGCCCGGGTCGTCGGCATTATCAAGGATGAGGAGCCAGCTTCGGTACGTTGTCGCAAGAACTTGAAGTGCTTCGGGGACGCTTTCAATTACGCGCCCAAGTAGCTTTGCAACGGCGATAAAGTCACGCTTAGCGGTGGAAGGCTTGTCGACGTCGACCCAGAATATTCCCCAGAACCTATAGCATAAGCTAAATTACTTGTGAGTCTTCAAGGGTTGTCGGAAGGACGTACTTTTGCTTCATTAAGCTCGCAACTTGTAAGCATATCTCGCTCTTTCCTTGCCCGCCTAATCCCGTAATCACAAATCTCTTCTGACATTGGGCCGCAGATATTGACTCGCTTTGTAGAGCCCTCTGGATTCGGGAAAGTAGATCAGAACGCCCAGTGAATAGGCTATTAATAGCCCGAGGTACCATCCAGTGTACGTTGCCATGTATATTAGCGCCTGTACCAAACTCAACCATGTTAGCTAACTATAATTACAGCTCTCAATGAGTCGGGTCTTTATGGAGCTTATAAACCCTACCTTTTGAATGTTCGCCAATCTCCCTCTCTAGCCGAATGAAGGCATTTTTTCTCCCCTCGCCATAAATCAACGGCATGTGCAGGTCGAAAATTCCTAATAAAGAATAGGCTTCGTCTTCTTTGCGCTTGGCCGTGCGCTTCGTTCCCCATAACATCCGCTCTTCAATAGTCAATTCGATGAGAGGCTTCCCTTGAAATACGTCCACTGGAATCTCCGTGATCTCGTGAAGTAAGGATTCTAGCGATCCCTTGTCGCCTAGTCGTTCATCCTCCTGAGAGAAGAACTCGACTGACCGTGGGGCAATAAGCTCTTGAAGTGTCCAAGCTCGAGTGAACCATCTACTATGCCGGAATTCTGGTTCCCACAAAGACCGAGAGAGTAACTCATTTGTATCGCTTCGTGTGGAGACGTCAGACAAGTAGACGTAACACTTGACCGCATCCTGATACCAACGGAACATCGAGTTAATAGCTTCCGAAAGCTCTGTGTGATTAGATTTGTTGATACAACACGTGTCTACCCAGAAGTACTGTAGCCCATCTCTTGCAGCTTGCTCGCCGCAAAATCGAATCTTTGTATATCCAGCCTTATTTGTGTAATTTCCTGCTTTGAAGTCGTCGAAAGTGACTTCCTCTGTATCCTTTCCCCAAGTATGAGACAGTATCGCGTATGGCGGAACATGTTCGGTGTAATCCTTGGTAAGGCCGAGGTTACCGCTTTCAAGGTGCAGGAGACGCATTCTCGTACCAGGATCGGCCAGATAGACTTTCAAATAGTAGACAAAGGGAGCACAGAGGTCTATGCTCGACTGCCAGTGAATGAAAAGGAAACTTTCTGCGCATTAGGCATCAAGCAGTCGGTGTCAAATGTCATGATGAGGCTCGCGCTTATGTCGCCAATGGCGGGGGCATTACTAAGCAATATATAACTCACTTAAACATTCCCACGTGACCAAGCAAGTACTGACAGTACCATGGTGCGTTGACAACGTAAAGTAAGGACTATAGAGTTATCTCTTGTATAACATGCAGAGGTAAGAAACTATATGGGATTACTTTAGATCAATTAGGTTAATTGACTCGTGATGGATTTTACGTTCTCCTGGGCGACGAGGTGCTTGTTAATACTTGCAATATCATTAGCCAGCTAAGCGACACATTTAGTTGTCATATATAATTTTACCGAGATTAATATAAGCACACCGCCGCTGACCAGGATCCTTGATCGCTTGATTGTAGGAGGTATCAGCCCATGTGGCGACAGCGTATGACATAGCGTGCTCTGGCCGCCACAACACTGAGAATAATTTTTTAGCATCGTGATAAAACTCGGAAACCCGTATCTAATTGTTTTATAAGTTTAACAAGCGAAAAGAGCTTAATGGTAGTATTGCGGGTCGAGGGGTCCTATTACACTATAATAAGAGGCTGTTTATAATTCAAATGGGCGGCGACGACGCGATGAAAATTTTCGGAATTAATAAGTTAAGAGTGTTCGGGAGAGGCATATAATGTAACTAAATTAAAAACATATTGGAATTTGGATATATTCGCAGATTTAGAGTCGCTTGAATTCGAAGTACCTACGATTTGTCTCGTTACAGGGGGCGTCTCGGTACGCAGGGATAGACGTTATGTGGTCTTTCCGGCCGGATACTTGTAATGAAATGCGCGAATACTCCCACAGAAGGAGTGACAAACGCAAGGATAACCACCATGGACGAAATGGCAAGTGCTGCAGATGGCATCTCCCTCCCCATTGGGCAGCGTGCACTTTAGGATTGCTTGCTTGGCAGGGTCTTGCTGGTGGAACCAGCATATCTTGCCGCAGGCTTCGTGCCAGGGACATTGGCCGACTGGAACGTGTTTGCAGCAGCCGATGCAGATTGTGGTGGAACTCATTTTAAGAGTGTTTTGAAGTTGATGATCTTGATGAGAAGAGTGTTTGAGTTGTTGTTGGTAGCTTGTGATGATGGTGAAGTTGTATATCGTTTCTAGCAGTGCTGATGAATGAGACACAATAAGTATTGTTAACAGCTGAGCTGTCTTTAAACATTCGGTTGTACACATTTGGTCGAAAAGTTCATCCATAAAGAACTTCTGCAGAAAAACAATAGCATTGTTTGAACTTTCAAAATTCTTTGTCTATTCTCGATTGTTTCTTTTGGACCTTTGATGCAGAGTTCACTTGCAACTGGCATTACCACTTATGCTTACAAGGCTTTCATTTGCTTGTACGCACATCAAAGTATCAATGAACCACCATCCTCGAAGCCAGCTTCGGAAAAACTTAAATTGAATAATAGTCAAATACGAGCAACTCTTTTTATAAGCGACGGAGTAGATATCGGAGGCGCTATCTTTTAAAAAAGGAGCATATCCGTACAACAGAGTGTTATAATACACTAAACGAACGCATCTGACAAAGTCCGACGAGCTTGTTGATCTTTCTACATGTAATACAAAAGACTAACATTGAGGCTGGCAATCTGGTAAAGCGATAAATTCCCACAATAACGTTACCGTGCATGAATTCAGAAAATATCTATAGCTTTTGTACCGCTCTTTACATTCTCCTCTCAACTTTGTAGCTAGAAAAGTTCAGGGCGATTCTGTATTCATTCTCTAAAGCCTGCATTCCCTCCAACATTCAACTCGAATAGCTTTTTTTTAACCCTTTTGCCGCTCCCTGATAACGTTACCGTACTTGTAAAACACATACGGCACTGGTGTTAATAACATAGAAATGCAGCCCAACAAAGTAAGAGACCAATGAACGCCAAGATTCTTATACATTGGAATCGACACTACGACCATGACTCCAGCAGCCAAATAACGCATGAAAGTAGCGCTAACAAGTGCGCTCGCGGCATACTCCTCATACGAATCAATCAGGTATTGATAGGTCGAGATGAAAATTGCTTGGACAGAGAACCCGAATGTCACAGAAGCGACCAAGGGAGACCAATACGAGACTGAAGCGTAGTCTGTCCAAGCCATCCAAAACAGAGAGATGGGAAGCCAAGGAGCTCCATACATGGCGTACCAGAGTCTGTCTTCGGGTGCCACGTCTCCGTCTACTTTTTCACTGGCACGTTTGTATTTGACGTAGATGTAGGGTACAATGGCAGATGCGATAAGGAAACCAACGTTCATACCGATGAAAGCCAGACCTGTTGATCCCTGGGACAAATCATATACATCCCCGAAAATAAACTCATATCCAGTCAGGAAGCCGAATAACACAATGTACACGATAACCAAATACATAGTGAACAGGAGGACCATGATCTCGGTGAAAAACATCCGGAAAGGTCGACGGCAGCTGATCAGGACACGTTTGGGGAAAGACTCTTGGGAAAGTTCGACCTCGGCCATGAATCGATCATCTCCTGTGATGGTACGAAGATTTTTGGCTTTCCATTTGAGAAGTATGGGGGCATACGTTTCGGGTACGAAGAGGAAGATTGCGCCTGTGATGAGGCCTGCGAGAATCAAGGATACCCATTCCGTCCAGCGCCAACTGATATGTGAACTCTGACCGATGAATGCTCCAACCATAGGAGCTAAGAATGGTCCAAGGAAAGACAACGAGCAGCAGATGGGAAATATGTAGGTCCGTTGCATGGGGTAGAACATATCTGCCATGCTGCCGCCAAATGTCGTGAGGGGTGTACATCCGAAAAGACCGGCGATGAAGCGAAATGCGAGCTGAGCACCGATATTTGGAGCAAGACCAGATGCCATGATGAAGATCATGAGTAGCGATAATGTGGCGAGATAGACTGGGTTGCGTCCTACTGTCTCTGACAGAGGTGCAGCGATCAAAGAACCTACTCCGAAGGCAATCAAGTAAAGTCCCGTCGCTAGTGACTCGGCCACTTCGCTCACTCCGAATTCCATGCGAGCTTGTTGTACCACAGCTGAGTCGATAGAAGATACCCATCCCACCAAGAACCCCGTCATGCCGACAATGGCCACTGTGATGTACTTTCGGGGGTGGGGCCATTTCTTCGGATTCAGTTGATCGTCGGAGCCACCAAAATCCACCAGAAAAACATCTTTGCCATCATGATTGTGTTTTCGAACGCCTGGGAGATTTACTCTTTCGCCATTGCGTAGAACAATGTCTTTCGAATCGTCGTCAGAGGTTGTCGGCGTCCTGGCGCTCGAGCCCGAGTTTCTTTTTTCTGCTTCAGCATCATTATCGTGCTTCAATCGGTTGCCGATATCTTTTTTCAGGCGTCGGTATTGGAGAATAGACTGCATGGTATCGGCGCAAAACACCCAGTGGTACAGTTTCCGAAGGGGGAAATAAGTTTCAGTGTGCTTTGGAGGCTGTCCGGCTGTGGGAATTTGGTCAGTTACAGCTCAGGAGATGATGGATAGGATTTCCAACCTACGATGCATTGCCAATGATAAGAGATAGGTTCAACTTGACCAAGATATGATAGATCCTACTGAGATAGCTATCTTCCTCTTCTATATACAACATGCGGCGGATGTCGCTCCCGACATAGCCGCCCATCTCAAGTCGTGACGACGTCGCCATATGGAAATACACCAAGCATCCGCTACTTTGACTTTCGTGATATTGCGACGTGAATGCTCTATCTCGTTGCGAAGGATCGAGTCTGAGAGCATTTAAAAAAATTGGTATCTCGCAATGTCACGTTCTCAAGAGGCTCCCCCTTTCCAAGGTTTTGGTGCCAAGACAAACTTTGAGTGCCAGAAAAAGAGCATTACTAAACAGGCAACGAACAATTCATAAAGTGCAAACTTCTGCTAATTAATACATCCATAACCTTTTCAAAACGGATATCAAATCAATACGGTCAACGACTTGTATGAAACAACGCAATGCTGAGTTGGACGCTGTCGGTGGATACCGTCACGTGCCCTCAGCAGTGGTGCTTGTTATGTCAAATAGATCAGTAAGATTTCAGATACGTCAGTGGCACAAGTATCATTTCCAATAGCGCTGCGCTGTTTCTTCTCCTCCATAAAATGTCATGATGTCAATCATTCCAGACTTTCGGTATGTAGGTACATAAGTACCTTCCGCTTTAGCCGATCCGATCCCCCTCTGAGCTCGAAGGATCTAGATTTGAAATACATCGCAGTATTCATGGAAATTGAAAATAGCAATGCATCCACGACTAAATTCTCGACATGCCAACATGAGTCAAAGTCCAACAGATGTCTCGAGCTCGAGCTCTGCGGTCAATGGAAAGCGACAACGCGTGAAGCGAGCATGTACACCATGCAAATCCAGGAAGAAGTAATGCAATGGCCACACGCCCTGCGCTACATGCATGAGATTCGAGTACGATTGTTATTATGAGGATGCATCTTTAAAGCGACCAAGAACGAGGTCGCCAGACCCAATTTCAGCGAAAGTCCCAAGTGCTGTGGGTGTCTCCAGTGCGAACGTCGACGCCGATTCGGGAGACATCCAGAAAGAAGAGTACGCAAGACTTCGATCTAGAAGAGCCAATTTAGAGTTAATTCAGGAACTGCCTTTGCTCAAGCTCTAATCGCCAAGTTCAATAATGCAGGATCAGACTCTGGGAATCTGGCATGGAATCTGGGCATCGGAGCTCATGATGCAGGTTTTGCTCGACCTCCTATAAGCAGCATCATTTCGGAGAACGAGATGCTGAGACTGTCAAGAATATACTTTTCGACGATTCATGAACTTTATGGATTTCTGGATGTGGCCGACTTCAACCAGAGAGTCTCTGACAGGTGGAGAATACCCGATTTTGACGATCATTACGACGCTGTATTTTGTGGCGTGGCAGCATTGGGGTCTCTCTTTTCCGGTGGAAACCCATGTTTGAAGGAAGTAAAACTCGTTCAACTCGCAAAAGATACCCTCGAGACATCGGGTCTTGCGAGTCGCCCGCCCCAGACTCACGTTATTGCTCGGATGATCTTTCGAACCTTGTATCTTCGGTGCACAAGTCAGCCACACGCGGCATGGATGTCAAGTTGCATGACGATCCACAGTATTGAATGTATTGAGGATCGAGAAACAGGCGAGAGTTCGGTCCAAGAAATTGAGATCAGAAATCGGATATTCTTGATTGCGCGGATTCAAAATACTTGGATTGCCAACGAGTACGGTCGATCTAAACTAGATATCAGAGGCGTTTCATACCCACTTCCAAATTTACCGGCTGGTGATGGCTTGGCGGATTTGTTCCATCTTTTCCAAATATCAGGACTACTTGACCCCGATAACCATTCCGAGGCATCGGACTTTGAGCAAGGCATAGCAGATCTAGTCGAGTTCAGATCTCCAAGAGACGCTATTACCCTATCACAATGCAATCTTGGACTTGCGCTCTACCGCCGTCTGCGGATCATCAGTCCTCAGATCCCCCAAGAAATCTCTGGCAATATCATATCCCTTGGAATAGCAGGCCTGGAAGCAGTCAATAGACTCGTCATAGCACGCCAACCCTGGTGGCACGTCGCTAATGTGCCTTTTCAGTTCGTATGCATATCACTCGCAATGGATACCCCGAAAGCTCTGAGAAGTTTGGAAAATTCTATCAAGACTCTCGAAGTGGTTGCACAGTACTTTCCAAAAGGAGGTATGGAGGAAGCGTCGAGGATTGCCACACTTTTAGTTTGGCTGGCACGAAAACGTAAGCAGGAGGATATGCTTCTCTTGGACACCATCCTGGAAAATCGGTCTGCTCCCGCTTCTTCGATGGATCTGAGCCAGTTGTGGGAACAGACACAACCCTACTCCAAACAGATGCAAGGCAGCTCGTATTCGAACCTAGCGGATGTCGCAAACGATGATTGGGATGCTTTGCTCATGGTTGATTGGCTTGCTCTAAGCAACCATGAATACCGAGGTGAAGGATGGAATAATGGCCGTTTCGAAGACTCTACAGTAGTATCTTAGTACTGAAGAATTTCACTTTGAACTCTCTCCAAGGTGCAATAGTCCTGGTCTTCTTGGGTGATCAAGTCAAGGCAGAAGTTTACATGAGCACCGGGGAGGGAACTTCGACGATTGTGCTGGCAAAACGGAATGTGCCACTTCCACATACCTGGCCTATGCTGAGATGGTGTCGACGTTCGATACAGATGACTGGATGCGTGAAAATGTCCTCGACATTTGATTTTGATCCAGACCGGCAAGACTCGCTAGAGCAACAAATATAAATAAGTAAAAAGAATTAGCAAAACGAAATTATTTACATAACTCAATAAAACAGCATCGGTATAGTTGCACAGCAACAGCCTCCACGTAGCAATCATCGTTCCTTGCACTCGCAATTAGTTCGCCGCTCATTCTCAACATACCCAACTTCTCCTCATACAGCCAAAAAGCACCACCACCAACCAACTACCACCACCCAGAACCCCCCCTCCTCCTCCTCTCCCCCTCTCTCCTCTCCCTATCCTCCTCCACCCTCCTCTCCTTCCTCACCCGCTCCTCATAATGCACCCTACACTCTACCCCACACCTCCCACAACAAGCGCAACTCTTTCCCATCGGCACTTCTCGCGAATTCGAGAAACCAGGTAGGGTTCCCTTGCACGTCAGACACAGATGGTCGATTCCGTGGGCGGGGTAGTGGATATTGGGGTTGCGCTTTTCTTTGGCGTTGAGGTTGTGGAATTGGCAGGTTGTGTTGCAGGCCGGGTGGCAGCAGCAGAGGATGAGGAGGCTGATGGGGGTGTAGGGTTGGTGGCAGGTGCGGCAGGTGGGCATGATGTTTGTTAATTGTTTTCGTGCAAAAAGGTGGAAATTGTGGATTGGGTGGCGCTTGTGTGTGGAGATTTGGGGAAGTGGAAGAAGGATAAAGGATTTCGGGGACCGTTTTCTTTATGCTTCGGAGATGGTAGTGTTTGCTGTGAATGTGATTTCTTTTGTGAGCTTTTGAGTCATGATCTCGTGGAATTTCTTGCTTGGGTACCGAGACCACAAGGTATGCGGTTCAGAGATGAATGACTTGACTGTTTGTGTGTTAAAACAATCTCAGTCACTATGGGCCCTTAAATTGAATTGAAGTCGAAAGGTGGAAGAATTTTGGGTTTGTAACAGAACGCAAACGAATTTCGACCAATTTTCAAGACTTCGTTTTAAGATATGGTGGAAATGTGCAACTGAAGCAAGCTTTACAAAAACAACGAACGCAATCCATTTTTCTTGCCGAGGATCAAGTCAATCTAGAGAAAACCCTTCCGTGTTCTTCCTTTCCCACCTAATCTTACAACCTATACTTAAAACGCAGTGCATGCTTTGTCTTAAGGTCCTGCTAACAATGGTCATGACCAATTCATCCACTTAGTCATTAGTCGCCCCACTGGAACTGAGCTTCAAAGTGATCGTTGTCGGAGCTACTGTCGCTATCGTGGCTATTATCGTTGTTTTCGGCCCTGTCCTCCCTGTCCTCCCTGCCGTTGCTGTCGTTGCTTTCATCACTGATATCGCTGTCATCGTCATCATCATCATGGTCGGTCTCCTCATCACTCTCATTGCTATCCTCGCTCTCGTCGTTTTCATCGCTTTCATCACTATCATCACTGCCATCGCCACCATCGTCATCACTCTCGTCGCTCTCCTCCTCACTCCCCTCCTCACTCTCTTCACTCTCCACCTCATCCCACTCATATCCCACCAACTTCCGATCATACAAATCGTACCAAGTATACGTACCCCGACTATGCCCCTCACACTCCAGCTCACAAAACGCATGACAACAACACCCCCAATCATCTTTCCCCAACCCACATTTGGAGCACGGGAGTCCGGCACTTGACTGTTCTTTTTCTTGGATGATGTCGTTGGGATGCCGGAGGTGGAACCAGCATTTGTGGCCGCAGCCTTCTTTGTGGCAGGGACACGGACCTCTGGGGAAGACTTTGCGGCATTTTACGCAGTATCTTGTTTGTGGTATGGGTCAGTCGGCCATGAGAAAGGATCTTCTGTGGTGGTCGAGTGGTGGGTAAAGAGTATCGTTGTTGAGGAAAGGAAGTGGGCATTGGATATCGAGGCTCGAGACGCACTTAAGTATCCACAAATCGACGATGAATCAGCTCACTGGACGTTCCACTGATTCGACTAACATTTCTGCACACTTGTGCATGTTTTTTTTTTGCTTCCAAGTAATCATGACCCAAGTCTTCATACACACAGACCCCTCTCAACTCAACGCAAAAACTTCCTCTCAATCTCCCTCATCTCCTCATCACCCTGCAACTCAAAAGTCTCCTCCACACTCGCAATGCTTCCCTCAACACCCGCAATCCCACCATCCTCCAAGATGCTCTTAAACGCCCCCCGCATCCCAGAAACCGCAGCTCTCACTGCATGATTCCCGCAAATAATCAATCCCACCTTTCCCAACTCTCCCACCTCCTTGAAAGAAATACTCGGGTAAGCAGTTGGCACAATAACCAACGGCACCGCTCCCTTCCACTTCCGACAAAAGCTCAGAATCTCATCTGGAGTTTTCTTCTTACTGTGTATCAGCACCGCATCCGCGCCCGCTTCGACATAAGCTTCTCCCCTCTTCATCGCCTCTTCTTCACCTAGATCAGCGATCAAGGCTTCGGTTCGAGCAATGATGACCATTTCTGAGGACGCTTTGGCTGCAGCGATCTTTCCTTGGAATTCCTCTATCGAAACCAATTTCTGTCGGCCTTGAGAACGTAGACTACTGTCTTTAGGAAAGGTCTTGTCTTCGATAACCACAGCTGCTGCGCCGGCTTGCTCGAATTGGGGAATGGTGTAGGCGACGTTGACAGCGTTGCCGAAACCAGTGTCGATGTCGGCTATTACGGGGATGGAGACCGTGGAGGAGATTGAGCGGACGACATCGAGGTGAGCGGTCCAGGGGAGGATACTGGCGTCGGGAAGGGCGTGAGAGGCGGAGAGTTCGAATCCTGAGGCCCAGATTGCGTTGAAGCCGGCTTGGGATGCGAGTTTGGCGGAGAGGGCGTTGTGGGATGACATTGCGATGCTGGGCTTGGATGTGTTTTTGAGGGCGGTGTGGAGGGCGTGTATTGTGGTTCGTTGTTGAGACATGCTGATGTAATGAAAGATTGATACTACTTTGACTAAGAAATTGGAAGTGTGACGAAAGGAAAGATGCGTAGACTCTTCAAAATACCAATGGTATTTTGTCACTTGATAATGCAGTGGAGGAAAGCGAGGAATAGGTCACAAAAGAGATGAGTAGGTCAAGAAGCGAAAGTGGGGATTGATATCATGGTCACGAGATCCATATCTCTCTTTAGCCATCAGATACAAGTATCTCTGTTGACTGCAAAGATCGCAAACTGGAAAGGAAAGCTAGGGCAATAGTCAGGAATGAGTTGGGAAGAAAAATACGACTAGGAAGGACTTTGTGACCTGAACCCGGATTTATAGAGCGAAGAGCGAGAATAGCGGAGATAACCAAATAATGCGGGAAGCCTACTTACTGTACACTCGAGTAACACCAACCAACAAAGCAATATGCGAGCCGTCCCAAAGCCACGTTCTGGCACCCGTTACACAACATGACTCTCCAGCATGCCAAATTCACCCCGTCTGTCTGACACTCGCCAAAAGATAGGAGCCCCCCTTTTCACTGCTCTGTGGATGGACCCGAGCAACCCGAACGGAACCGACCGCCCTTGGGCATCGCAGCTGGGACTTTCCCTTTCGATTGGATCATCCACAAATTCTCGTGATGTCGTGATGCGTTGATTTGCGCTGCATGTCAGCATGCGCGGGGCGCTGATTCAATCAAACTTGAACTTTGCGGAGGGAGGATTTGGAGGGGTAGCACGCCGCTTTGTGATGATTATCTCCATTCGCGCTTTCGTCAGGCCGAGGCCGAGACGATGGAAATTGATGAGTCGAAGAAAGTATGACTCTCTCTGACTTGATATTTGGTACGAGGAAGAAACACGTCAAGTGGACGAAAGTGTGTCAAATAATAAAAAGTGATTCTCCCGATGTCTTGCTTGGGTGGCCGTGATGATGATGATTCGGCACCGAGTTGGAGCAGTTGGAGGAGAAAAGATCGAGTTCCGATGCCGCTACCCCTGCACACTGCGCGAGACCCCTGTACATTTCAGAATCAGAAAATACCTGACAGCTCGGGGAACTTGAAAGTCCGCAGCGCAATGACAACTTCATCTACATATCACTACTTAATGAACACCAGAATGCTTTCTTTATAGCGAGAATCTCAACACATACACATACACATACACATCAACATCTGCTACGACGACGACGACAACTATCACAGCAATGGATACAGAGAAGCAACTCGAGGCCGAAAGGCAAGCTGCTGCCGCGGGACCAGGCGCAGATGGAGGAACAACAACAATCGAAGGCCAAACCGCTGAACACCACACCCAGAACCTCGAATCCTCCTCCCTCTCCTCCAAGAATGTCCCCAATGGCTCCCTCGACACCAGCATCGAAGAATCCGCCATACCTCCTCCCACCTCGACAGAAACCAAGAATGGCGCTCCCGCCTCCACGAACCCCGAAGACTCGAGGACGAAATTCCAGACGACCGTTATCATGATCTCCCTGTGCATGTCTACCTTCCTTGCCGCGCTCGACATCACCATCATCACTACCGCCCTCCCTACTATCAGCGAGCATTTCCATTCGAACGCGGGCTATACGTGGATTGGTTCTGCGTATCTGCTAGCCAATGCCGCAAGCACGCCGTCATGGGGCAAATTCTCTGATATCTGGGGTAGGAAGCCGATTATACTTGTGGCACAAGGTGTCTTCTTTGTTGGAAGCTTGATCGCGGCATTGAGTGTCAATATTGGCATGTTGATCGTTGCAAGAGCCATTCAGGGTATTGGTGGAGGAGGACTTATCATCTTGACGAATATCTGCATTGGGGATCTCTTTAGTATGCGCAACAGAGGTGCATATTATGGGATCATTGGAATGGTGTGGGCTTTTGCTTCGGGTGTGGGACCAATTCTTGGAGGAGTGTTTACAGAAAAGGTATCTTGGAGATGGTGTTTTTATATCAATCTTCCTTGCACCGGTTCGGTGTTTTTGGTCTTGGTCTTCTTTTTACATCTACACAATCCTCGAACACCGGTTTGGGAAGGACTGAAAGCTGTTGATTGGGCTGGAAGCTTGACTATTGTTGGTGGCACATTGATGCTCCTTCTTGGACTCGAATTCGGAGGCGTTACCTACCCGTGGGCTTCTGCGAAGGTTATCTGCTTGATCATTTTCGGCATTGTGGTTGCTGGTCTTTTTGTCTTGAACGAATGGAAGTTCGCACGGTACCCAGTCATGCCTCTACGCCTCTTCAAGCAGAGCTCGAATATTGCCTCCCTAGGAGTTTGCTTCTGTCATGGATTCGTTTTCATCGCAGGAACTTACTACCTCCCTCTCTACTTCCAAGCAGTCCTCGGTGCCACGCCACTCCTCTCAGGTGTCTACCTCCTCCCATTCGTCATGGCTCTATCCTTCACCTCGGGCATAACCGGAGTCTTCATCAAGAAAACTGGCAAATACCTCCCACCAATCTACTTCGGCTTGACAATCATGACCCTTGGCAACGGCCTCTTCATCAACCTCCCACTCACGGAAGGCTGGGCCAAAATCATCATCTATCAAATCGTAGCAGGAATCGGCGTTGGCCCACTCTTCCAATCACCCCTCATCGCTCTCCAAAGCTTGATTCCCCCAAAGGATATCGCCACCGCTACCGCCACCTTTGGATTCACACGCAACATCTCTACAGCAATCTCTGTTGTCATCGGAAGCGTAGTCTTCCAGAACGAGATGCAGAAACGCCACTCCTCCTTGGTTGCCTCGCTCGGCCCCACACTCGCCAATCAACTCGGTGGCGGAAACGCTGGCGCGTCAGTAGGCATCGTGACCGCGCTCCCTCCAGCACAAAGAGAGATCGCTAGAAGGGCGTTCTGGGAAAGTTTGAGGATTATGTGGATTCTATACGTGGCGTTCGCTGCGCTGGGATTGTTCATCAGTCTATTTATCAAGAGCAACAAACTGAGCAAAGAGCACCAGACCGTCAAGACAGGATTAGCGGAGGAGGAGAGAGCGAGGAAAGAAAGAGCCGAGCTGAAGAAAGCGGGCAAGGAGCAAGTAAGAGCCGATAAAGAGGCTGAGAAGGCTGGGAATCTGGTGGATAATGGAGATGTAGCTGGGGCGAAGGTTTAGAGTTAGATGGTTGGGATATTATATGCATTTTCGGCGTTTTTGTGACGGGAGCATATATTGTATAGATATAGCGTTGGAGACAACACGTCTTGTTGGATATCAAAATGGATGTTTGGGCTTTTTTAATGAGTATGTAGTTTGTTTGTTTGAATAGAAGGATTGCTCATCTCACATTTGAACTTTGACGGATTCTCTAGTATTTCCTCTCTGTTTGCCCTGTTATTAAGCAGCGTGTTCTCGGCAAACACGAGCCCCCAGTTTCAACCGTCATTCGAAGTAGTAGTTCACCTGGTATTTTGTGTTACTTGCGCCATTGGCGCTAGTATCCGTGGAGGTGGAGATATAGAAACAGTGAAAGAGCCACAATGGAAAAACAAGCTAAAGTCATGGCTTAATTTCAGCAAGGGTCTTGTGCTGTTTTTAAGAGTTAGTCGATTGAAAGGCTGGTGAGTGAGGTTAAGTTTCAGTTAGAGTCTCTAGGAGTTGATATCTAGGATTCTGGAGGAATGATCGCTATTGTGAGACTAGGCTCATAGATATCATGAATTGTCTTCACATCTGGTCCTCAATCCCAACATCCTCTCCACCCAGTAAACACTACCCCACGCACCCCATCTCTCCCCTTCAAACCCCCAACCCCACCAACATCAAGGCGTAAACTCCCACCCCGTCGTATTCGCCGGAATCACGTCACAAAGATGCACCGACACGGACCTCCAAACCGGCGTATCCACAAACGTGGTATTAACCCTCACCTCGATAACCGTCACCGCCTCATCAAAAATCTCAATCCTCTTATGGCCAATACTCGTCCCATTCGCGACCTGCATCCAGGGAACGTCTAGCGTGCCGTCCGAGACGCCGTCGTCGTCGATGATTTTCGCAAAGACGGAGTAGGAGCGGATTACTTGGCCGTTGGTTTGGTCTTCCATTAGCACGATGCGGTCGATTGAGGTTGCGTAGTCGAATGTCAGGGTATAGCCCCCGTCGTCTGAGGAGGAGTTTTGGGTATGCGGCGCGTTAACGGGGGAGTCGTAGCAGGAGGAGATGAAGTCGCCGAGTTGCTTGTAGCGCGCGGCGTGGGAGGCGAGGATGAGGCCGGAACGGTCGGGAGAGATGTCTAGTTCGAGGAGGCAGTTGCGGCCGACGGAGAGGTGGTAGACGGCTATGAGCTCTTGGATGGAGCGGAGGGGTTGGTCGATGCCGTAGAACCAGCGGTCGGAGGTTTGGAGGGTGGTGTCGCAGACGGAGGGGCTGAAGTAGGGGCTTGTGGAGTTGCCGCCGTCGTTGGTGATTCCGCTGGGTAGGTATGTGAGTTGTAGAAGGGCGAAAAAGGGGGGTGATTTGGACTTACGTTGACCAGTTTTCGATTGGTGCTTCTCCGGATTCGGTGCCGACCCATCGGACTGAAGCGTTAGTTTTGTGATAGGAGAATCTTTGGATTGGGTTTACCAGAATTCTCAGTCAAACAGTCCCCAGAAGTGACATCGCAAGCATTGAAAATGACAGCGTCAGGTTGCAGTTCTGCCAACATGTCTATGTATGTGGCTTGTTGAGTTGCGCTGTATCCTCCATCAAACCAGATCTATCAGATTAACAAATCATCAGCAAGTCTCTCGCTCAGAAGTGAGGACTTAGTTTACTCACCTCAGTCAACGATCCATAATTCGACCACAATTCAGTCAATTGATCAACCACAATCGTATCATAAGTCTCATTCGTAATCCTCACTTGACCAGCAGCCCATGAAGTATCATTAACTTCTGATTTTTGCACATTCAAAAAGTTGTTCACAACCGTGCTGTAATAAAGTCCATGGCCAACCCCATACTTCTCAGCAGATGCCGTGAACATCTTAACCACGTCCTCGCCTGCGACGGGAGATTGAGCGATCGTGTAGTTGTAGCTGATTGTTGTATTGTCTCTAGTTTGGAATTTCACCTGACTTGGCCAGGTTGTGAATCCGCAGTTGTGCTTCGCTACGAGCTGAGATTCTTAGACAAAATGCTTTCATGAAGAAAGGCATATACTTACGGTGGCATACTTTGCACCTAGTGCTGTAATGCTATCCATCCATTGATCTGTATTTAACAGAGCCGGATCGAATAAGGTCAGATCCGGCACAAGTGAGGGGACGTTATTGCAACCATCGATGTCCAAATATGTGCCCATCTCAAAATGAATGAGGACGCCATACTCGCGATCTTGGAATGCCAATTGATCCTTGGTAGGTAGCGCAATGATGGAACCGTCGATGGGTGATATGCGATAGTGTGGAGTTGGGACTGCTGTGCTTGAACTGGATGCAGTTGTTGGACTCGCTGAAGCGATGCCTGCGAGGTATCCTCCAACGAAAGAGAGTCCGATTGAGCACTTCATGGTGTCAGTGAGGCTTGAAAAGGGATTTGAAACATGAGGCGCATACCACGGTTAAATACAAATGCGTGGAATCATTTTGGATACATCTGATCTCCGGCAGATCCAAGTCATTTGCAGATATGAACGTCCAGGAACATCGAAGAAAAGACGATGTTCACTGCCATGAGCAACGTTTGTGGACATCTTTTGGTTTTCTGCAGGTACGTTACATGCGTCGGCGGTCCACTTCTTCTCTCAAGCAGCAGCTTGTCATGGAACTGGTTTGGTACGAGTATCCTATCGTGGCGATCATACCGATTATGGGAGTTGTAAACTTTTGATAAGAGCGGGGTCTTCAATAGTGGGACTACCAGCACCGGGTGAGGGGTACTTCAGGCAGTGCGGGGCTGAAAGCTTATAAAATAGATGAAGAAGATGCAACCAGAGACAATCAGTGCGAAGGATGGCGAGTATTGAGGGTCGAGTATAATCGAGAAAGATTTTGGTACATCAGGTACTTGAAAGGGACGTGGACGATGACGGTTCACGGAACGGTGAGCCTTCCCAACAAGGTCTACTGTAGTGCTCTCGCTTCAATGGCAGCGTTTCACTATTTGTTCTCTAAATTCATCCCTTCTGACACAAATTATTTATTTCAGAACATATTTTCAGCAACAGCATCTGGTTAAATTGACAAACCAATTGGAGTGCAGTCAAGGCCACTTACTAACTGGAGGCTGATGCTGTGAAATCGTGCCGACGCCACTGCATCAAGCGCGATGCACACGACTTCGTCTTGCCAGCTCTGCTGCCTGCTTTTCTGAATTATGAATTCCAGGTATCTGCAGCTATCATTAACGCTTCAGCGACATGGCATCCCAGGAGACTTCAGGGTACCGATACTTCTCACTGCTGGAGAAAAGAGCAATCCGCTTGATCGAGCTTCAACCTTCTCACGAATTCAAAGATCAAATCCATTGTTCCATTTAGCTTGTTTATTGAGCGACAGCACGATTCCTTTTATACGTCTACCGTATTCTGTTGGAGAAAGTGCCACAGAGACAGAGCACATTGATAATCAACTATTGGCATTCTTGAAAGCGCTGAGAAAAGCTCTGCGCTGATGGCGAGAGGACATTTCCGCTTCATTGGTAAATCTTTCATCGACGGACTCATGAACAGTGCTCACCGGGTCGAGACGTTGCACTTTCGTTCCGAATATTGACTTCGATAGCCTGTACTATTCACATGTCATTATCTTGTATCAAATTGGCCACTTCTGTTTTGAAAGTCTCTCACATTTGGTGTTCATCTGCTCTCTTGAATCTGTTCTATATCCTGTTCAACATCTTGTTTGTATCTCCTCGTCCTTGACTGCCACTCGATTAGCTTTGATATCTGCATTCGAGATTTATTCCAAGTCTTAAAATTCTGAAAGATTCGGGGAGCAAGACATATGACACAGACATCAAGGAGCAATGATATACGAGATGCCAATAATCACCGCATTACCCTTTGATCTGCGGAAGACGCCACCATTGGTCAAAATCGACAAGGTCGCGAACGGGAAGATTCCCATCCTGACTACCACGTGGGTGCAATATTCATTCAGCCTCATAATTTGCCGCCCCTCTTTTCCCCGCTTCCTCCCCGCTTTCCTTGCCCGAAATAATCTGGGCGAAGAACTTCACACAGTATATCGTGTTGACAACGCAAATATATACAGATCCCATATTTGCTTGCTCGTGGTACAGATACCATCGGAAGTCAACGTCCATGTCAGACCCGAGTGACAAGCGTCTCACGCGCTAAGAAACCGAAAATAAACGCCGGAAGGCGTCTCTACTTGGGAGTTCACAAAATCTCCTCATCGGTATAGTTAATTATATTGTTCACGAGAAGTCTTTCATATACTGGCAAGTGCGCAAAGAGGGACGCCACACTGACAACGGCCTGAAAGTCATGGTTCTGTTGGAGTGTGGCAAATTGTTATCTGCTTGTTATCACATTCGCAAGATGCCAATGGATGTTCATCTGAAGTCTGTCGCTTCCGTCATTCGGATAGTTCATCTATCTATGATCGCAAGAGCGTTGGGACCAACTAGATTGATAGATCTTGCCTCATAGGCCAATGCTTATCAAAGATCGAAACTTCAAGACTGACACATGATTATGAGCAGGCTCGGCAACGATACCTAATTTCGGGTATCGATACGGTATCGATCCAGAATCGCTAGTATCGATACCTAAGCGATTCTTAACCCCTAAATTCTCTTTACTATTAATAAAACTAACGCAAATACTTATATATTAAAAAAAAAAGTATATTGCTCTTTTATTTAAAGTATTCTTTATAATTTAGGCTTTTTTAAATATCTTTTCTAAGAATTTTTATTTATTATACTAATTTTTAGTGTTCTTAAGCTTATTAGGGTTCGGGCGATAAGCAAATTTTCCGAGTACGAGGCTAAGAATCCGAATACGAGAATATATTATTATCTTAATAATTTATTAATAACTTTTTAAATTTTAAAAGCTAAAATATTTTATTTATAATAGATTACGTAAGGGAAGCTTTTATAGAATATAATTTCTTTTAAATTAATAAATATAAAGGTATTATAAAATTAAGGAAGGATCGCTAAGAATCGATTCTAAGCGATACCATCCAGTATCGATCCAGTATCGATACCTCAGGAATCGTTGCCGAGCCTGATTATGAGCTCCTAGCCTAATACCTGATATACTGGTCTGTGTTCCCTCAGATCCACGGCATTTCCCCACGTGGTTTTCATTGGTCCTCGCAATGCTACAGCAATTTGTTTATATGATATACACTTTGGTTGGCACGATGAAAGGTTGTATTGCCAAGACTTTTGACAGCTTGTCGGCAATTGTATTATAGAGTATGCAAGGCAAATCGATCAAGAATGGAACCGAAGATAAATTCTTGGGCCCCTACTTATATCCTGGGGGAACTCCGAATGTTGGTGTTCAGCTTGACGCTATTCCCAGATCACAATCCATACAGAGGATTCGAAGTATTTCCAACAATTGTCAGGGAATTCAAGAAAGTCCAACATGCGTTGGGGGGCTCTCATTACCGCTGCGGCGTTTATTTCGCCTGGGGTGAATGCTGCAGGCGCAACCCTTCGTTTCTCTTGTTCGCAGCTTGTTGTCGAGCGTCTAGACCCGTGCGTCAACTCCTACCAAGCAGAAAGGACAATATACTAACATGCTACTGCGCAAAGCCTCATTAATCCTGGACTAATGGGATCGCCCCATCTTCACCAAGTTGTTGGAGGAGATGCCTTCAATGTAACCATGGATCAAGACCTACCTACGACAGCATCTTGTACTTCCTGCACTCCTACAGAGGATTTCTCAAACTATTGGACCGCTGTTCTATTCTTCAAAGCAAAGAACGGCACCTATCATCGAGTCAAGACGATGGGAAATCCTCTTGGATTTGGGACTGCATCTGGTGGCAGTACGTATTTCTCTCCCTTCATATCCTAGTTTAACACCGAAGGTCAAAGATTCTTGACTTAGACCTGACTGGATGCTACGCCTTGCAAAGCAATGACACTAATTAATCTCAGTGACCGTTTATTATCTCTCAAGCGGCAAGGTTACTGCTTTCAAACCTGGCTTCCGCATGACTGTCGGTGACCCAACTTTCCGAACAGCTGCCCAGGAGAGCAAATACTCTTCGCTCATCTACACATGCCTTGCAACGGCCTCAACGAGAAGCGGTTCAACCACTGGCTTCCCAAAAGCTCCTTGCAAAGTCGGAATCATGGTCAGCATCCGCTTCCCCACTTGCTGGGACGGCAAGAACCTCGACAGTCCGGACCACCAGAGTCACACCGCTTATCCATCTGGCGCAAGCGGCGGAAACCCAGGGGCCGGCGACAAGTGTCCTTCTACACATCCTGTCTCAATCCCGCAAGTTTTCTTCGAGACGTACTGGGACACATCTCCTTTCAACGACAAGTCTATGTGGCCTGACAATGGTGATCAGCCTTTCACTTGGTCCATGGGCGACGCTACTGGTTATGCGAGTCATGGTGATTATGTTTTTGGGTGGAAGGGTGATGCTCTTCAGAGGGCTATGGACGCCAATTGCAACAGCGACCTTTTCTCGAATAGCATCAACTGCCCCACATTGAAGACACAGTCGCTTGCTCAGGCCAATACTTGCAATAAGCCAGTGCAGATGAAAGAGCAGCTTGATGGTTGGATGCCGTCGATGCCAGGTGACGTAGTCGTTCACTGAGCTTTTTGAGATGAGTTTGATGTTGAGCTCAAGATCTGGTGGGTGGAGAGATTTGTACGATGTATGGAATACTTGAAGCTCCGGGATATGAAGGGCGAAGGAATGAGACGTGGCCAATTGCAATATGCGAAGAACGAAGTTTTTAAGTTGAGATCTTCATCTGATTACCCTCTCTAGAATAAACTTTTGTGCTATCTGTTTTTCTTGTAAGCTATGAAACAGGCCACAATCACAATAGCGACGAAGAAGACATACATCAAACTATGAAGGTTCCAACCCAACCCGAAAGACCTTCTGAACGAGTCACTGTCGTTGACGTGAGGGAAGTCAATCTCTGGAATTGGTTTTCCTAGGAACCGGCATAGCGGTTCCCAATCATCTCCTAATCTAAACTCAAGAAGATCTCTGTTTGCGTCAAGTGCAAGCTTCTTGATCAAGGCATTGTGCTCCTCAAAGGCCTCAAGTCCATATTTCGGAACATCGCCTCGGAAATAGTACTTGATAATGGTGTTCAATAATTGGAATAGCTTTTTCGTTTCCTTATCTGAGAGCAAAAGAGACACTCGATTGAAACGTGACGAGTGCAGAGCATGGATAGTGCTTTTCATGGACTGTAACCAGCTTTCTGGTGACCGAGTTGTGAGGATGATCTTTGCGTTTGGGAACGCAGCCATTAATTCTGGAGCGAAGCAAACAGCTGGAACGTCCGTTACAGCCTGGATCAATGGTTATTTTTTTAGTTCCCCTTTCTGGAATTGTCACATACATTATAGTCTTGGAAAAGCTCATGCCAGTCAGGTGATGACTTTTCTTGAGACTGAATCTCGTTTCCATAATTTTTGTCGAAAGCTTCGATCCAAAATTGTGAATGTGAAGCATTGTCTGGAATCTCGAAGAAATGGTAGACTCTAGAGTACCCAAGTTCTTCCAGAGCGAGCTTCATTGCTGAGTGATGTCAGTTTCTGGCTTCTGTAAATGTCTGGGGCTAGGTTAACACATTGTTCCTGTGCGGCATAGGCCTAGCACAAGAACCTCCATTTTTGACATTGCTGAGTATATTCCAGCTGTGAATTGTTGTTCTCAACGAACTCTAATTGAAATGAATGGTCAACCTCATGATTTGGCCTTCGGCTGGGCAAGTTTCAAATCATCGAAGCAACTACACGAGGCTATGACAAGGCGTCTGCATCTTACCTCATCAGACTAGTAAACAACGCCACGAAATCCTTCTGCGCCTCCAGGAAGCCTTGTTGAATGCGGAGAAGATGGTCACTAATAATCCTTTGCCTTCTTTTTCGTGGGGTGTCACCAGGCTGTGCACAGCCACCACGGTGTTCCAAGCCACCAATTGGGTGTCCATCTATTATTGGCGATCAAATCCCTCAAGGCATAGGCGCGCATAGGAATTGATCAACAGATATTGATGCCTAGAAATGCCATGGCATGTGTTTCATCGTAGCTGGGCGCGCGGGTCGATCCATCTCACTTCTTGTTTTGGGCAGAATCACTGTGAGGCTGTCAGCGTTTTTGAGATCTGCATACATGCGAAGCTGGTATATATTATTGCCTGATGCCCTGGGACTTCTGGAATTTCCTGTACACCTGAGACCTAGGGATCTAATACAACCATCCTAAATCGCCAAAATCGCGTCAAACCCCCTTTTCGGCTCGCTTATGCCCAGCTTCCGCCAAACACCAAACAAACATCGCATCTTCAACCATGGGTGGAGGACACAGCCGACCTAGCCGACCAGCCAAGACTCATGCACAGCAGGAACAAGAGAGGTTCGCTCGAGCACAGCGTGAAGCAAGGAGAAAGAAGCAGCAACGAGAAAATCAAGAAAGGAAAAGGGAGGAGCAACGCGAAAAAGAGGAATGGCTCAACACTCATACAAGGCTTGGATATGAAGAGAGAAAGTGGGGACTAGCAGGATGGTGGCGCTTGCCTTTCTTTATATGGTGGAAGGAGAGACAGGCTTGGAACCAGGAGCTGGAGAGAAGAAGGAGGGAAAATGGTGTGCCATTTGGGCGAATGACGGCCGCAACCGGACATCGGGCCACTGGTGGCAATTCTGAGGAGATGCCGTTGAGGGAGCATCAAGACTGATGGAAGGTGGAGAGAAGGGTCGTTGTCAAAATTATTATGAGTTATTCTCAATGGTTTGCAATTATGGATCCATGACCAAAATACTTTTTCCTCCTCTATTTCATACACTATGACCGTATAAAGATTTCATGCTAAGATGGCATAATTTATTAGAGAATTAAGGAAAGTGATCCATGATATGCAACTCGGACCCGAAATGGTGAGGCAAACTTCGTCTCTGAAAATCTCGCTCACCAATGCTAAACTTGAGGCAACTCTAGAGACTTGATGACCTATCCCAAGATGCCATGTCATCTACGTAGTTCAACGGCCTGTGGGGAGATATGATCCAATATCCGAAAATGTGTTGAGCAGCAACAATTTCTACGTAATCTTTCGAGAATTAAACTTATTATTTCCATCGTAACACATACCACAGCAAGAGGAAAGCATACGAAGTACAGTCAAAGGAGACATGATAAGCGAGGTTGCCCTCGGACCTAAGCGAGGCGCTTTGAGGGGCACACTTCAAACAGCTGGAGTGAATTTTGCGAGAGATTGTACGATTATTGAGTTAGAACACAGAGTAAAATGCGTTATGTGCGCCCAGGATGACTGAGTACTCAGGTTTGCCTCGAAGAACGTGTTCTTTACGGTAGATTCTTACTAGATAAATATGCTCTTCTAGATCTCCTCAGGAAGCTAGAGATGTGACCGTTGCGAGATTGGAGATAATGCAAGCCTTGATAGCAACATCTACGTCCAAATGCAATGACCAAGGCTGATACCCATCTCTTAATGCTATTCCGGATGGCAGACCACTATCACGTGGGGTATACTGCCCCACCCTTTGAGTACCTGAGGCAGCGACTCCACCTTATCGAGGTCCGAGGCATTTCCTTTCCTCTTCCTAACAAGCTGCCAGGATCTGAAGCACATTTTCATCCCCAGACTTCATGCACCCCAATGAGGGAGCCACGATAAGGCGTTCAGGCAAAATGATCTTTATCCTGGAAGATGCCATTCCAGGCCAGGTCTCTTGCCTATATCGGCTCATGTACATGATGCACCCCAGTCGAGCCTCAAGGCTTGACGAATAATAGCCATGAGGGAAACATATCATCGGCCAATACCCAACGCTTGTCCATATGCACAGTATCAGCTACATGGAATGGGGATGGAGACGTTACCATACTTTGTTTCATTTCCTGATACGTGCTGCGATAAAATCAACCACTTGTCCGTTTGCGACGTCTACGAAGGACATCATCAACCTCGTTTCCAATGGCGAGCACACTACGACGCCTTAGAGGCTCGGCCAAGAACGAAGAGGAGATCGTGGATTCTGCACGGCCAAACGATGTGTCTGACGAGAAGTCAATTAGTCGTGCGGACATTGATCCTGTCTACCTCGATGACGATGGTGAGGAACACTACAAGCTTCCTCCAGAGACTGCAGAAGACTTCGTCACGGAAGTCATCCATGCCCGCGATGATCCAACTCTAAATCCGTGGACTTTCCGGACTTTCTTTCTAGGTAAGGGTGAAAATTGGATGTCGCTCAAGAGGTACTGACATGGGCAGGTATTGGGTTGGCCTCTTTTGCAGCGATTTTGGCCACTATCTATTACTTCAAACCTCAGACTGTGGTGGTGTCAACAGTATTCCTAGCTGTTATCAGCTATGTTCTAGGCGAAGCAATGGCAACATTCATACCCAGAAAAACTTGGCTTGGAAGGTTTCTCAACCCGCATCCGGTGAGTGACACAAGTATGATCTTATGATTCAATACTGATAACTCATCAGTTCAACAGCAAAGAACATGCTGCTATCATCATTATGGGCTCTGCGGCTGCCAATGCCCCTGCGGCCATCGAGTTACTATCTGTCCAGAAGTTGTTTTACAACGAGGAGCCGAGTGCCGCTGTCGGGATCTTTCTAGTCTTTGCTTCTCAATGTCTAGGGTATGGGATTGCTGGACTTCTCCGTCGCACTCTGGTCTACCCAACAAAGATGCTGTTTCCGAATAATCTACCAATGGTCTCGCTCATCGAAGCATTGCACGGCGAGAAAAGTCAAGTCAAGAAGAAGCTTCGGGTCTTTTACATTGGCTTCCTTGTTCTGTTCTTCTACGAAATAATTCCGGAATTCATCATGCCAACTCTTGTGGGTATATCGATCTTCTGTTTGGCAGAAAGAGATAGTATACTGTTTACAAATCTCTTTGGCGGATCCAATGGTAATGAGGGTCTTGGCATTATGGGCCTCTCATTCGATTGGCAATACATCTCCAACCCCAGCCCCCTCTGGTATCCACTCCAAACGCTGTTCAACAGTTTCGTAGGATATGTGCTCTGTGTGGGCGTTTTTACTGGTGTATATTATGGTAATATCTGGCGTGCCCAAGACTTCCCATTCCTCAGTCAGCTGCTCTTTACCGGCGCATCAAACGGAACCAACTTTGTTCAATACAATCAAACCGCGATTTTGAATGCCAATGGAGAGGTCGATCCGGTTCTCCTTGCTCAAGAAGGGCTACCTTACTTCGCTGTCACCTTTGCGCTCTACATCCTTGCAACCAACTTGTCTATCACAGCCACATTTACACATATATGTCTTTGGAATTGGGACGATATCAAGTCTGCTCTGGACTTTATATCACTTTCAAATATCATACATCTGCTCAGTCCCTGGAGATGGAATTGGAGATTCTGGACAGCCAAAGATTCGAGAAGTGGAATTGCTGACACAGAAGATGATCCTCACTTCCGACTTATGATGCAGTACAAAGATGCTCCTGATTGGTGGTATGGAATTGTTCTCGTTATCTGTGTTGCGCTCGGCTTCACTATGATGTACTTGACAAACTCTACTTTGCCATGGTGGGCTTTCTTCGTTGCTTGTGGACTTTCTTGCATCTGCATTCTGTTCTTTGGTGCTCAGTATGCCATGACCGGCTATCAATACAATACGCAGCCCGTCATTCAGATGATTGGTGGATATCTTCACCCTGGATATCCCAAGGCCAACATGTTCTTTGTGGTTTTCGGATATAACAGCGTTTGGCAAGGGCAATTGTTGCTGAGCGACTTGAAATTTGGACAGTACACACATTTGAGTCCTCGTGCTACCTTCACCATGCAGATAGTAAGTTGTCTAAGTTGATTCTACTTACTTTGAGCACTACTTAGGACAGCACTAATAATTGAGCTAGGGTGGAACAATCGTTGGCAGTATTTTCTCATATATCCTCATGTCCTCGATCACCACAAACCAACGAGACATCCTGCTTTCTATCGAGGGCTCCAACATCTGGTCCGGACAGGCACCTCAGAACTACAACTCGCAAGCCATTGCGTGGGGTGGCTTGGCAAAAGATCTCTTCTCGGCAGGCGGAATCTACCAATGGGTCAACTTCGCATTCTTGATCGGATTCACGTTGCCGGTGCCTTTCTGGATCGCTCACAAATACTTCCCGAAAATGAGATGGGACTACTGGAACACTGCAATCATCGCGAACTTCATCGGTTTGCTCTATGTGGGTATCAACAGTGTCACGATGCCATGGTTTTATGTTGGGGTCATCTCTCAATTCTATATGAGAAAATATAGACCGAATTGGTTCATCAAGTACAACTACATTCTTTCGGCGGCCATGGATGGTGGGACACAAGTACTAGTTTTTATCCTATCGTTCGCAGTGTTTGGCGGCGCTGGAAATCCCGTAAGTGGCCTCTTCAAGAAATAATTCCTGTGAAACGAGACTAGTACTAATTTCGGTATAGGTTACTTTCCCTCCATATTGGGGCAACAACTTCAACCAAGGAAATCTCGACTATTGCATGCTGAATCCTTATATCGGTAGTTAGAGAGTATCTTATGGAGGCTTCATTGAAATGGGAAGCAGGGGTGAAGTTGGCGAGAGCCGGAGGGATACAATTGTTGCGATATCTTGGTTCCATTGAGCTCTAGCTCTGACGAACTCTTGACACTCTTTCGATAAGAACTACTGCACTGCTTCTCTACTTGCCTCTCGTCTGTGCCACTGAGTCTGCACGCTAAGTAACGTTACCATGTGCATGGTTTTCGGATCGCAAGCCACTCGTACGTCTCTATCACGTTCCCCCACTTACGAAAAAGTTTGCCTGTGCCACCTTCCCCACATTGCATTACTTTATTAAAAGGCGTCAGGGTTGAGACGACTTGGCTAAATAGGTCACTTAAGCGAAGGCTCAAGTTGAAGAGGCAGATAGGGACCTTCACTGCCGCTGCTCTAGCTGGGTCAACATATCAGCCCTGTTTCCTGGAAAGGTCATGCAACCTTTGTTCCAAGGGTCCGGATATCTAAGTTGCGACCTTACAACGGGTAAATCCCAGACCCATGGAACCATGGAAAATTTACCTCAGCTGCATCAACAAGACACGAAGTCATCTTCATTGATTGCTCATGTGAGGAAGGTGATTGTGTCGCTATTTCATATATCAAAACCATCAGCTCGAAGAATAGAATCGCCCTGTTTTCAACGCTGTCGCCATTTAATCACCTGAGCACCATTGGTCTGTCCAATAACATCGACAGATACATTAGCATCTCTTCCAGCACCTTATCTCCAGACATGAACCCCCACACTCCAAGAATTCTGGTCATAGGAGCAGGTTCACAAGGCCATGCCTACGCTGAGCCAATCACAAGACTCGGCCTGGGAGAGATCGTCGGGGTATGCGAACCGATTTCTTGGAAACGCAAAGACTTTGGACGGAAATACATCTGGGGAATATCGTCTCGCTCTCCTCTACCGCATGAGGAATTTGAAGATTGGAAAGATCTCATTGAGTATGAGAAGAAGAGACGAGAAAGGCTCGGTGCTGGTGAAATCAAGGAAGGTGATGCTGAATTCAAGGGTGTCGATGCTGTGTTTGTTTGTGTGTTGGACGAATTGCATATCCATATCGTGAAAGCACTTGCCCCATTGGGACTTCATGTCATGTGCGAGAAACCCTTGGCCACCTCTCTACACGACTGTATCGATATTCAAGCAACCCTGACAAAGGAATGGGAGATCCTGGGGAAGAAAACAATTTTTGGAATAGGGCACGTGCTACGATACAGCCCACACAACATTCTCCTCAGGAAGCTAGTCAGGGAGGATAAAGTTGTCGGAGATGTTGTTAGTGTTGAGCATACTGAACCGATTGGCTGGTGGCATATGGCTCATAGTTTTGTACGGTGAGTGCCTTCTTTCTCATATACCAGCTGCGAGGTGATCCTGACATAAGCCACAGAGGCAATTGGCGACGTCAAGATATGACTGCTCCATCACTCTTGACCAAATCTTGTCATGATATCGATTTCCTGATGTGGCTCCTGTGCAGCCCTGGAGCAAAGAAAGGCAGCATGCCACATTTACCGTCTTTAATCTCCTCAACCGGAAGCTTGAAGCAGTTCCGCAAAGCTCGAAAGCCTAGAGGAGCAGGGAAAATCACCAATTGCCTTTCCTGTCCCATAGAGTCGAATTGTCTCTACTCCTCCAAAGGCATTTATGTGGACAGGCTGCTGAATCCAGATGACCTTGACTGGCCACTCAAAAGCATTGTCCCTGAGATCGAAGATCTGTACACTCTGCAGGGAAAGGACATCGCTAAGAACAGACTCCTTGAAGTCTTGGCTGAAGACTACACCTCCGACGTTCCCGATTCGGAGGTAAAACAAAGGTCCTGGTACGGACGCTGTGTTTGGGAATGCGACAATGATGTCTGCGACGATCAAGTTGTCATAATTACATGGGAAGACGATCCTCTAAAATCCTCTGACACTCTTCCTCAAGCAGGAACGACAGGAGATGTCGGACACTTGGACGAGAGAGGTGCCAAGACAGCAATCTTTCACATGATCGCTCCTACCGAGAAGATCTGCGAGAGACGAGGTCGGGTGTATGGTACCACTGGAGAGATCACTTATGACAGTGACACCATTTCGGTGCACTCTTTCGCTTCTGGGCAAACTGTGAGGCATCCCACAAGTGTCGCGGGCAAGGGTCATGGTGGTGGTGATGAAGCTATGGCTGAAAAATTCTGTCGAGCAGTGCAAGCAGTGACTTCAGGAGAAATGACAGCGGATGTAGCTCAAAGATATTGGTTGGGATGCGATATTGAGGAGGTCGTCCGAAGTCACCTGGTTGTCTTTGCGGCCGAGAAAGCTCGCTTGGAGAGAGTGGTCGTGGATTGGAAAGAGTTCACGGACGAGGTTGCGGTGGCTGAATAGTTCTGATGACTTGAGAAGGTTTACATTTCTCTTGAATGTCTTTCCCTGCGTTGACCTGCACTGATGTCGACCGTCACACATTCTCTATTGCCTTCTGGGTGCTGGAGCTTCCGAGCCCGGTGGTGGGCGCCAATCCGCATGACACCCTTCGTACCATGAGCTATAGAACACAGGACCCTCCAAGTCGATTCGCATGAGAAATTCATGTAGTAAGCTCGGTGAAGGAGCCCAGGTCCATCCACTATCTCTTAGGAACTCCTCTATATAAGGCTCCCAGGGTATTTCTGTTCCCGTGATTGCGCGCTGAAAGTTCCGTCGATCGATCATGGACTCAAATTGACATAGTTCAGTTATTGTAAGGCACCCTAGGGAGTACATTGTAGGAAAGATGCTCGAGGTACTTCTTTGATTTGAAGTATAGCCGGTGTTTTCTGATGGTGTCTTCTGGAAGTGGTTGTTTGCTCTGAAGTAAAAAGTTTCTGGAGAAAGAAGCAGGAGGTAGAAGTAATGTACGTCTTCAGATCTGTGCTAGTCCGAATCAAAATGTAGACACTAAGACTGTATTTAGTCGACCAGACTATATTAGACTAGAACAAATACAAGTATTCAGACTACAGTCCTAATCAAAATTGTAAAGTGCGGACATACAAACACTAAAACGAAACTAGCCAAGCTTACCTCAGAACCCATCTCATCTAGCGCCTAATCAAACACCCAGGATTTGCGTCTTTATAACTGAAAGTTCCAACGACGATGTCGAATGTGATCGATCTCGCCTTTTCCGAGCGGGTCTGGCTCTAGGTGTCGAGCTCTCATCTGTCGAATTTGGGGTGACGATTCTTTGCAGTTTCGAATACTGGGCAGCTAGGATCTGTTCATCCAATCTGTCCATATCTCTGGCAAGTCTGCATAGAAGTTCATTTTGCTCCATGGTTGCCCAATCGTAAATAAGAGCTCGAGTCTAGAATCGTGAGTCTGCACCAAATATTAAGGAGCGACTCAGAATTGTGTGCCCTTGAATTCATTAGACAAACATGGGTAGATGCTTTGTAGTATAAAAATAATAATCTAAGACAGCAATCAGACAAAGGCGTTGATGAGAAATGTTCTTGTGGTGCATTCGAGTTCATGTATTCACATGCGTCGAAATTACCGAAAACGGCTCAGGAAGGTAGATTCGAGAGCGCGCTGTCTCGGAAGCTGGAGTATAAACAATAACTGCAGTTGTACGGCTGGCTGTTTAATACTCGATCTCTAATATCATTTCGTAATTTTGGCTTCCTGCAACGTCATATTTATTGAGAATCACTCAGGTGAAATTATGAATGTGCAAAACTGTAGGTGACGGTAGGGTTTCGAAAAGATATAAAAACTCCTGTGATGTCCTTCTCTTCACGATCTCTTCCAACGGTTCATCTTTCGCTCCAGATTCGTATACTTGAAACCCAGGCAAAATGAACTTCTACAGAGACCCAGTGCCCAGAAGGTCATATGGACGCTTCACCCGCAACGAACTAGTCACCCTCGAACAGCTGTACGATCGGCGGCCACCACGGGCACACTGGGCCCCTTTCCTTACAGAGTTCCGGACCCAGTATGGCTGGACTCCTCAACGACGCGATGTTCAGTGGTTCACTGATATGTATACTAGTCCACGTGGTGGCCCGTTTTTCTACGCTGGGTATTACCCCGACCAAGGCCCGGATTGGAGGCTACCACATACCTACCGGGCCCCACGACCCCCACGAACGAGGTAGTGATGGCGACCTGAAGAATCTTGGAGATGTCGTTGAGTGAGGGAAAGGAGAGAACATGAAGATACAGACGAGGACATATCTCGAAAATATGGTTAGGGAGGACAAGGGAGAATATGTAGATAGAGACGTGAACATGTTTCATAATCGATGCTTTCAAAAAGCTGTACCGTCCGTGAAGATGAGAAGATGACGATTGTTAAAAATGTGAAAGTAAATTTCAGCAGCTCTGTGTTCATGAAAGTCCAAGTGATTGTTAGAAATCTTAGTAGTGATTGTAGAAGGACAAGCCCACCTAGACTCCCAGTGAGCAACTGCACTGAACAACGCATACGGCTTATTGTCTTCCCTTCCACTAAGCTCGCTTGAGTCCCGACCCTTGAACTTGTTTGTTGATATCCCAGAACGACACTTCAAGGCCTGGATCGTAATGTGTGGACAGAGGTGGAACTTCAAACAGAGGACAGGATCAAAGTTTGTCATCGATGCTTCTAGAGAGTTATCCCATTTGTGACGGTAAAAGTAATGGACCGAGAACCCGAGCACAAGCTCACCTCGGCTCCCATTGAGCATGACTAAACGAATCATAATCCTCATCCTTCTCCCGTTTCCCAACCTTTCTCAATACCATCTCTTTCTTTCCTTCAATACCACTACTTTCACCACCAATCACAACCTCCTCAACAACATACCTATCCTTCCATTTCTTCCCCTCCCTCTCCTCCTCCACGGCGTCCTTCCCACCCAAAGCCCCAGACTTCATCCCCACAACAACCAACTCACCAATACTCTCCCACGCCCTCCCCCTATCCCCCATAACCAAAACCCATCCCATAAACCCCAAACAAAGCACCACATGCAACAACAGCACCACCACCCCCACAAAAATCAACCTCGACTCCTGAAACCCGTACCCATACCCCCACCTGCTCGCCGCGAACTTCATCTCCAAAAACCGACTATCATCCTCAAAATCCTGCAACGAGATCCCCAACACCTGGTACTTCGCTTCAGCAAGCTGCGACTGTCCCGTCGTCTGGTTAACGATCATTTCCGTACTGCCGGGAAACTCGGCGTAGAAATCCTGGACGTAGTACACGTCTTCCGGGAAACCTTCGCCTGATGCGAGATCGGTGAGATGGCCTGATGCGACGAGGTAGATGGGGATGGAGTCTTGGAGGCGGGACATGGCGTCTGCGAGGTAGATGGAGAGGGCTACTTCGAGGCAGGAGGTTAGGCTCATTACGGTGCCTTGGTTGAAGAGTCTGGTGCCAGAGGTGGAGTTGATGAATGTGTTGCTGTCGAGGCATTTCTGGCCTAAGGTGTCGAGGATTGTTCTGTTTGTTGGTTGGGGGTCGATGATGGAGTCTGAAAATGGGACGTCGAGGAGAGAGGAGAATGAAGGGGTTATGGAAACGGTGTCTAATGCGTAGGGATGCAGACCGGAGAGGTCTGCATCGACGCCAATGGCAGCATTTGGATTGGGGTTCGAGTCAAAGACTGCAGCTGTGCCAGAACTCGAGTCCCAGAATGCAGTAGTTGGCATCCAGCGGGCGTCGATCGTGCAAGTGAACAAAGAAAGATTGCCACTTCTGGGTGCAGAGAAGCTTGACGTAGCGAAAATTGCCGGCGTAGCAAAGAAGGCGCCTAAAGACGGAGCAACGGTGCCGAACTGAGAGATGTCGATAAAACTCGAGTTTACGACAGTGGAATTCAGGTCGCTGGAAAGAGAGCTGTAGTCCGAAGCTTGAACCTCCCAGTCGGCTGAATCAATTGGATCAGAAGTGAAAGGCGGCCAGACCATACGTGAATGTTGAAGAGTGAGGGAGGTAGCATTCGGAGCGTAACCCGCACATTCCACTTCTACCAACGGTTTCCTCGTCGACACCGTCTTTCCTCCTCCAGCGAAAGAAAGGTCATATCGTGCCAATAGTGAAGTATCCTCCGACTGGATCGTCACATCATTGGTTTGCTCTCCGAAAATCTGCTGAGCCTGCACACCAATCTCATACAGAACGTTCCCATACCCGACCAAAGCACTAGCCAAGAACTTCGACAACGTAGATGTCAGGTAAACATCCTGATTGCCCTGATTCACAAACGAAGTCTGTCCCACCATATACCTCAAGAACGGTTCCCCAAAGCTGTTAGTCTCCTCGATCGATTTGTTGATCTGTGCCGGTCCTTGATAGATGGGAAACAGATCGTCTTGCTGTAACCAATACTTCATCCCATAACCAGGACACTCGCCTAACAAGGAGGCATTCAAGCCCGCGCATTCCGCTGGAGAGTTCCCGGCCGTGAGAACAGATGGATATAGCATCGTCTCGTTAGCACCAATGAAGACCCTGAAATCCAAATTTCCGGTCCCAGTCCATAGTTTATTGATGCTCCAGAACTGCAGTCTTGGGAGCATAGTAATAGCAGACGCTGGACCAGCCAACATCCCTAGAAGGAATAATGGGAAGAAGATAAGGACGTATCGATATCCCAACGCTCTGAACTCGGAACTGAGAACATAGGTCAAGGAATGAAGTTGGAAATTCGAGCTTAGGAATCCTAGTGGAGCGCCGGACGATGCGCGGAGACAGGTGTGCACATAATGTAGCAGTATAGCAGCAAGAGACACAGCTATCAAGCTCGCTATTGACAAGTCAGCGAAACGCCTTGAAATCTAAGAACAATTGTCTCTTTCTCCTTGACAGAAAACGACTGTACAGTTCGACCGACGACCGAATCCTGAAAGCCACGGGACAATTTTCTCTTTCTCCTCGACAAACTCGACTCCACAGCCCAAAACAGCAAGAACAGAATAACATACTATGCAACTGGGCAGCAAACTGCAAACTATTAAGCACCGCATTCGTATTATCCCCCGGCGGTCCCCAAAACGCCTGCCTAAACGTAAGAGTCAAGACGCCCACACTAATCACCATCGGCGGGACATGAACCAGCAGCGGGACCGCCCTTTTCACTATGTACTTTCCATTAGCACTTGTTTCCCTCCTGACTTTTTCCTTGTCAATTTTAGACAAGTAAGAAGGTTACTACTTACAAACGCCTATAAACCGTGGCGAAATCCTCCTCTTCTCCGGCGCCAGAATAGACATCGTCGTCGCGCTCCTAGGACGTTCCTTCTTATCCGTGGTGGAAGAGTCCATTTTATTCCTCTACTCTCTTATTAACATCCATCTTCATCATCTCCATCAATCACATCATCGTCGGGTAGGGAGTCCATAACCTTACCAATTCAAGCAACGGCACGATATTCTCCCCTCCTCTTTCCAGGAAACTCATCTCGCGCACGTGACCTCAAATCTCAATCCCCAGAGCAATTGAATTTCAGGTTTCGGATTCTAACAGAAGCACATTTTATGAGATGATGACGGAACTGAAAACGACCGGACGAGGGAGCTAAGATGGATGGGAAGTGCGCATCTTTATCCCATCATCCCATCCCTGGTTTCAGGAGCGTCTTGGTGCGTGCTGTGCCGCACCCTTGCCAAGGCCTTGCGCCCCGGATCAACATTTTTCTGCTGTAGGTAAGATTGGGTTCGAACTGCAGAGGTTTAATTGGCGCTGTCTAAGCCCTGTGAAGATCTTTGAGGCTTGGAATCGTAGTGAGCGCAAGCTTATTAATGAGGGACTACCTCTGTTGTTCATGTTCAAGCTTCAACAGAATGGTGCGATATGTAAGGACTATTCTCTCAGATGATCTTCGTTTGTATGGACTTATATTAACATTCTCACACCTGGTATCTAGCTAACCATCCCCCATCTCATCTTTCAGGCTCTGCATTTGCATACTTTTTGCTCTCTCCCATATTAACGTTCCTTTCTCTCACCACCCATTTTATCACAGATCTGAAAAGAATCAAACAGATGGGGAACACAGAAAGCCACCAGGGAAATTATCCACACTTCTTTTGCCACCAGCAGATCAAAATAAAAGCCAAAGAACTGGAAGGGAGATCGCTAGCAATCCGACAGTGGTATCTCAAAAAACGTGGTATTGTATTGGTACGTGCCAATTGCTTGCTCGCTAGCGTGAATAATGTGTAGTCGACGTGAAAATTCGGATACAGGCAGAATCGAAAGTAGAGGTAGAAGCACTAGGAACAGGGTCGTGTTGCCGCGGAAAATCTTTGTTGTGAAAAAGTGTACGAAACGTCGAAGTATTGTTGGGCGAAGAATGTGTATGTCGAGGTTCCCGCTAAACGGGTGTGTACAAGGTCATCTATTGTCTGCGTGCGGGTCGATAGCTGGAAGTAGAGGTAGGGCTACCACTCGTTTCCATGTTGCCGGTCAATTCAGCAACACGGGCTTTGATTCGGGCAACTCGAGACTCAATTGCTGTTCCAATTAGTACTTATTTATGAGGGCCATGGGAAGGGAACTTACTCTCTTCTCCACTCGTCTCACCATCTTCACCATCAGTCTTCTGACTATAACCTCCTCTGCTCTGTTCTTCACTCTGTCGTTGAGCTGCTCTCTCGGCAGCATTCTTTCGAATCTGTGCCCATCTGTCCTGAGCTGGAGAGACTTGCTGTGTCAGTTCGGCACCATCTTCCGTGCGGACTCGCGAGATGTTTGGAGGAGCAGCATCATCTTCACTCTCTCGTGGGGAGTCTTCTGGAACAAAGGCCGGAACATCCTCGAGTGGGCCTTGATCGAAGTTGGAGAAAGCTTGTCGAGCCTCGTGTGCATCATTGGTGTCGACACGAGAAAGGCTGTCCTGGACTGAAGGGTCATATGAACGTTCATAGTCTTGGTGTGGAGAAGCTACGGGTGTAATGTCGTCTTCCGAAATTGGTCGAGGAGGCTCAACTACAGGCTCGGGTGGAGTGTTAGATGGACTCTTCTTTCTTAAAGCGGAGAATCGTCGACCAAGACCAGCACCTCCTGGTTGGAGTCCTTGGTTACCATTCAACACTTCTGGAGCATTTGGAGGGACTGTGGATTGTCGGTTCTTGTTACGACCAAACATCTTCCTGAAACCACCACTGGCAGGCTCTTTCTTCTTCAACTTGTTATGCTTCTTGCTTTCAGGACTGGATCCACTTTGCTCGCCAGATGGTCTGTATGGTTCTGGAGTTGGCTGCTCAACGCGTGGCAGAGGTTCCATGACAACAGGAGCGGGGACTGGCTTTCTCTCCATTGGATGAGTATCTTCGGGAAGGGCGACTTCTGCTGCCTTCTCGGACAGTTGTACGTGAGCTTCCTCCTCGTCATCCGCCGCAGGGGTGGGAGGGAATGGTGCCGGAGAAGGTGGTCCGTATGCCTGTGAAGGAACAGAAGGTCCAGATGGTGATGGGACTGCGGGAAGCTCTCTATCTCTGTCGTAAGAGTTGTAAGAATTTTCACGCTCGAGGTTCGCGGTTGGTCGCAACGTATCTTGACTCTTGGCGTGACCATTTGTCTGCATTGTTGCCTCACCAAGTCCTCGGCCGGTGTTGGTATTGGCAAGATATGCTTCTCGAATGGCGTCCTTGTCGTACTTGTTGGCCCATTTCATGGCTGGCGAAGCTTCATTCATGATCACAGGTTGAAGGGTAAAGACACTGCTGGTCTTCATGGAAATAGCATCCATGTCGCTTCGACCACGTCTTGTGTTGTGCTCTTGTGCCTCCTGCTCTCGTTGTCGGCGTTGTAGCTGTATCGCTGCTGCTTGGATTCGTGCGTGTTGGTCGGGACCTATGCTCGTCTTGCTTACACCACCACTCTGATTAGTCTTGAATTGTGGCCGCAAGTCGGGGTTCTGCTCTAAAGCATGCTTTCCTGTGGATTTTCGACGAGTGATGGCCTTGTTCTTCTTCGATCGACCCCAGAAACTCTTTTTCTCAGCGATGTATGCACCTTCTTCTGGCACTGGAGCTGCTCCCTTGACCATCTCCTCCATTACTAGCCAGCGGCCACCAGGAATAATGGTTTCCACCAAAGCACATCGTCCAAAAGCTGCCTTTCTTTCAGGGTATTCCTCTCCAGCTAAACTGCTAATCCAGACCCACCAGAACGAGTCATCTAAATCGAATTTAGTGATACTTGCAAGCTCACCCGGCTCGAGTTGATTCGACTCTAATCTAGGTCTATGCGATTGCGAGCTTCGTCCTCGTGTATCGATCGGCGGGAGAATCTTGTCGGGTGGGAGTAAAAGAGGTGCTGGTCCATTTTTCGCCTCATCAACAAAACCAGAAGACAGAAAATCAGCCCATGAAGGTGTCGTAGGTCTACCCATTCCCATTTCTCTCGAATGTGGTGTTGTTCGGAGACCTTGCGGACGTCTCTTGACGAAATTGCTTTCGTCGTCCTCGTCGTGTTCATCAAATCCAGCAGAAAATCCTATATCCTCAAATCTCGACCATGAAGCGTCTGTCAACCCAGTCGACTCCTTGGAATTCGATACCTGAGATTGATTCGCGGAAGAGATGGACCTCAGAACACGTCGACATTCTTCAGTTAATGCCTTCACTGGGTCCTCATATTCCGCAAATTCTTGTAAAGCCCTATCATCGTCGCGATATTGGAAGTGGTTTGCGCGGCGAAGTAATGAGAACGGTGTAGGCGACACGGCATCCACAATCATGACTACCTTCATGGTTGTCGATTGCAGTAAGTAAGGCCTCTCTGGTGGGTATTCTGTCTCCTGGACAAGCTTTTGAAGAGACATTGGCAGAGTCGAAATACCACTCACGCCCTTAGTGGGCCCTAGAGACCGAAGGTAGGCAAAGAATAAATGGCTGGTAGCATCTGCTGCACTGGAAGGTCGTTAGCACCAGTTTTCCTCCTAGAAATATCATATTCTTACTGTGCCCATCCCTTGTAGCCTCCTTCGAAACCATTGCCAGTATCAATATGATCGAAAGCCCACCAACCAGCATATCTTGATAATTTTCGGCCTCCCATACCATTGGACTTGGCATGTGCTGCAGTCGCAGAGAGAAGATCAAAGAAATCGAAGATAATCTTGTTTCGCGCGTCGGATTCGACACTCAGAGGAATAAATGTGGTAAAGGAGTCGCGAGCCATATTGGAATCTGGAAAGTTCAGCATGCCGACCATACCGCCCAATCTCGAGACCTACCTGATTCTCCTGTTCTGAATAGCTCATATGCCTCCCATCCTACAACGCCTCCGGGAAGTCTGCTCCAGCACCATTTCACTACGCTGCATAGAACCTATAATTTATCAACAATTGCCCCTCTATCGCGTCAATTGACTCACCATAGGCTCTGTGAGCCGTAATTCTTGTGCCAAACCCTCGCCATAGAGACGCTGACTGCGATCGAAGAAATGTCTAACAAAGGTACGCGCTGCGCTAGGATCTGAAGTTGGTCGGAAAGGAAGCAGGAGAAACGGCATATCCAGAGCTGCCGAGAAGAAAATAGATTAGCCTGTGTAACGCGACAAGATATCACAATGGGATCGTGCATAAGTGATAGCGGGATGATGACGATGGCTGTTCGTATCATATCGTACCTCTAGACTTCAATTCGGCGGTGCAGCCATGGAGCAGCTCTTGCACCTCCTCTGGCTCCACGGATTTCCGCGTCCACGCATCTTCCCAACGAGGTTTTGGCGGTTCGGTGATTGCGGCAGGTTGGGCGCCTTTCTTGACTTTTGCTGGGCCGTCTTTGCCCTTCAGCCTCGAGAAGAAGCTCGGCATGGTGGTGGCAGATGTAGAATTATTTGCGTCGCGGGCGGAGGAGGTTGCCGACGCGATGCATTCGAGTTGGGTTGATCTGCGGACAGCGGGATCACGAAATTATTCTGAAGTTCCAGGGACGATACGCGCTTCGAGTGCGGCGGGAGAGAAGTGAAAGTCGGAGAGGGGTTCGAAAAAAGCCGGTACCGGGGTTCGACTCGCAGGACGAGATTGAGTGCGTGCGTGAGTGAATGAAAGGGACAGATCCTGGCTGGGGATCTTGACCTGGGGGCGGCGATGAAGAAGAGAAATTGAGGTTGTCGTCGACGTCGTCGAAATAAAATAAAATAAAAAGGGGAGAGTCTCGTTGGAAAGGGAAAGGTACGCGACCAAATTGGTGGTGGTGGTGCTTGGTGGTGGTCGGTGGTTGCAGGGCAGGAACAGTAAAGTTTATCGGCTCGATGATTCAGGGGCCCGGCAGAGAGATTGCAGCACCACCGCAGACTGCACAGCGTCTCCGTCTCCACTCCACTCTACCAGCAATCCTTCACTGACAATCAGCACTCACTCTGGAACTCGCTCTGAATCTGGAGGCGGTGAGACCTCTCGCTGTCGGAGGTGCAGCTGTTGATTATGTATGTCTGGGGGAGCAATTGATAGCCGTGAGCTGAGCTGTGCTTCTTCTGCAGTTCCTCTCCAGCTGCCGGTGTGATTGGATCTCTCCGCGTCGATGTTTCTCAGTCACAGAAAGAGGGGACCTTCGAGTTCTGGACAGTTACGTAGAGGTGGTGGGATGGATGTGGCAGTGGTGGTCGTGACGGTGATGGTTAGGGGTTGACGGCGAGGGTCGAGGATCGTGAGACGCTGCTCCGAGTGAGTAAGCTGGGTGTTGCTATTACAGTACGGACTGCTGCTCTGCTGATGCTGATGGGCACTCGAGTGAATGAGTGAGTTAATGAATCATGATCCTAAATATAGGGACAAGGAACAGCGTTCCTGACCGGCTCGCGCAATTGGGTGTGTGAAGCTGGACTGTTTTCTTCTTCGACTTAATGGCCGTGTTATTAACATTGTCAGGACCACTCTGCACCTCGAAAAATCTACGCGGACCCTGGTTACCGTCCAACGCAGACAACCTCCAACTCCCGTCTGTCCTGTCACCACTGCCAGCGCATCCCCATCCTCCGTCGTCGTCGCTGTTGCTGTTGGCACTCCCAATCGCCCAGTTAGTCCAATGATTACAGTATCTCTAGAGTGCCCAATCCCAATTGCCATGGTCAGGTCCCGGGGCTGGCTAGGATCATCGTCGATACAGACCCTTCCAGCCAGTCGGTCGTCTTCACGTGGAATTCCAATTTCCAGACGGCTTCTCCCAATAACAGAATTGGGATAAGAATTTTCCGACACGGCATCCCATCCTCTATTTCGTATGGGCGCGCCAGATATAGCCCTAGTGGGAGCGGGAGTGGTGATTCAGGACAGTGGCACTCTATTTTATGCGCCCGCTCGAGCCTTTTCGGATCCGGACTGTTGCAGATTTTGTTCATGGCTTGAGTGTTTGTGGCTGCAGTTCATGCGCCGTATTTGTACCCTCGCCAGGAACGACCCTCTTCATTCCGTCTATTTGAACCTGCGGTGGACCCGTCCAGAATATTCTTCGGCCGCGGATGAGAGCGAATGCACTCCATTGGAATGTCGGGACATCGAGTTGTGGAAAACGGTGTCACCTGATACCGTGAATCGTCCCAATCGGATCCGAACACGAGTGTGACTGGCCTGCAGGCACATAAAGGCTTCCACAATTCAGCCTTCCTGCCGTGATCTCAGGCATGAACGGGAAGTGGATGACGATGATACGGCTAACGGTGTGATCGCTGATCATCGAGCAAGCCTGTTCCCAGTTTGACCTGGTGCCAAGTCCATGGTTTTGGAGATGGTCGACGACTACCAGTATTCGAGAATCTTGGATCAAGATATTTACAATGCGAGTGATTGTCCTCCAACCATTGTTACCTTCAGAAGTGGAGACAGTTCTATTTTCTCTGTAGCGCTCGGAGTTCTGTTTGGAGATATCACGGGGCATTGCGATGCCTTTTCGTCCCCCAAACTTTCAACTTTTCTCATAGAAAAATCTCGAGCAGATATTGAAGTCTTTGATACTTTCTAGCCTAAGAACAGGACTTATTTGTTGTCAAAGTACATTCTTCAGTATGGTGATTCAAGTCTATCAAAGTGCTTCACATGAGTTGATGGAAGCACATGTAAGAGGACAATAGAGACCAAAGAGTATTAGATTGCTGTCGTTCTCACATTTATTGTCAACTGCTCCCTAGTTTCATCAAAGAATTACCATTCATAACGAACGACAAGGTACAAATATCTACGCTCAGAAGTCTCTAGGAAGAAAAGCAACCTCTCATCTGGACCCGGGGGCTACATCTTCCCCGGACCCAGAGCCCGGACCCAGAGCCCGGACCTGGATCCGGACTGTGAATGTTGTGTGGTACGACGGCTGACGGGGACGAAGGCGGCGAGGTATTTATACTTGCTGTTCAGCGGGATTGCAAGATTGTGAGTTACTCCAGCGATTCAGTGAATCAGTCTCACCGCAAGATCCAGGCTAGACCTTGAGGGCTGGATTTACAGTGAATGCTTAGAAGACATTGTGTGTTTCCAATAGTTACTGTTGATTAGAGAGGACTTATTGTAGTAATAAGTCAGGTTGATTAGAGAGAGCTTATTGCAGCTTAAAGTAGGGTTCAGTAGAAACCACTTATTAAATTGGCAAGTCAGGCTGATTGGACAGAATTTGTTATAGTGATAAGTCTGGTCTGTTTTGTTGTAATAGCTGTCTTTGATATTTATTATTAATTAGAGAGAACTTGTTGTAATGATAAATTGGAGTAATTAAAAAGAATTTATTGTAGTACTGAGTCTGGTTAATTGCAGGGACTTGGTCGTAGTGATAAGTCTGGTGAATATGAGAACACTTATTGCATTGTTAAGTCTGGTTTATTGATTGGAACATATTGTAGTGATAAGTCTGGTGGATTAGAGAGAACTTATCGGAGTAATATGTCTAGTTATCAAGAGAGGATTTCGTCTAGTTATAAGTCTGGTTGATGGAATAGTACTTATTGTAGCAATAAGTCTGGTTCATGTCACAATCTTCATTTCGCCAAAGAAGTTTGTCTTGGAAATTTTCCAGATCAAAAGCAAAGAATACTTTGATACTAAACCTCTAGTTTTCCACGGGACTATATTTTACAATCAGCAGCCGATATTTCTTGACAGCAGGACATTTCGTTTCCGAATCCGACTCGGCATTGCAAGGTTAAGTACTGCAATTCTGCAAGTGACTAACAAAGATCCTGGAACGCCGTCCACGCGCGAGCCCAACTGGATCACGTGCACTTCCAACTGTACGGCGTTGCACTCTGAAGTGACCGTCACAGTTCTGACCTGTCCTGTCACAGTTTCGAACGAAGTTACCGCCGCTGGAAGAAATATGCGTTGGAGAGGGCGCTTATATCGTGTTCTGGTTGGCGCCTAAGGCGGCATATCCTACTCTCCTGAGCGTTGAAAATGCGTGAATCGCTTTGTTTTGTATAATACCTGACTCCCATTTTCAAGTATAATATTCTCGGTTCACAGCCGCGTGTACTGGCGCTCTATACAAGACTACTTATACGACTGAACACACTTGGGTCCACCTTTCAAAAACATCTATCCGCAGTTCGCTCCCCTTAGTCACCTCACCTCAAATGCACACTCAGCACAGGTAGATGTGCTGTGGTCAATACAAGGCATTCCAAGGAAATGACCCTACGACAAGATTACAACCAGTGCTGTGCTACGACATGATAACCTCAATGCGAAAGCGTTAATGAGCTCTCAGAATATTAAACAGAAGTTCAAAGACGAAATGAGTATATATTCCCTCTTTACTCAAAGTCGCGACAGTGAGTTGCCCCACCAGCCAAGTCATGACGTCAAACATATCTTTCATACAGACCACTCTCAACACTTCAACTTCTATCTCATCTCTATAAAAATAACCTTTTCAGGATTTTGCTCATACAGCAGTCCCAATAAAACCTCTCATCCAATTTCAACAAATCCATAAAAATGGTGAAAGACAACGAAACAGTAATCCAGTACATTCATGCCCTCTCCCTCCCTTTCTGATCTTAACTAACAAGAGCAAAAAGAGAGTTCAATGAGCTAGTCAACATGTCAGCCTCCGAACTCGAACAATGGCTCAAATCAGAAGACTCCACATCCTCGGGCTGGAGCAAGGACGATGGAAGCGGGGAGACGGTTGGACATGATAGGTGCCTTGTCCCAACCTATCACAACAACACCTGTGCTGAAATCTCAATAGTGGAAGAAAGATAATCGAAATCTTGAAGAAGAATCCTAAGAAAGATCCAGAGGGTTATGAACAAGGTAAGATATCTGCGCGTGGAGTGAGGAGAAGGAGTAGAGGCTGACGAGCAACAAGATGATATCGATCACATGCGGAAAGTGGTTGCGTATTGCAAGAGACATCTGGCTCAGGAGGAGAAAGCGAAGAAGGATACAGATAGTAAGAGCTATAAGAGTTTGAAGAATTGGGGACATGATGCTTTGAAGGCTTGATTTAAACTGCTGAGGTACACTATTGGACTCCCACACTTGGAAATAAACACAACAGACAATCAAATCTATCAACTAACCTCATCATTGACTCTCCATTCTGACATCATCTACCTTCCCTTCGGTAGATTCCCCAACACCCTCACACCAAAAAGCCATACTCTTGTACCCCGTATCAAAGACAGGCAAACAAAAAGCCTCCCTATACACATTCCCACCCGCCTGATCATAAAACACAGGAGAACCTTTACACCCACCCCACCAAAACAACGCAACCTTGGCCTTTTTCCAATTCCGACATCTCGGAATCCGGACGATCTTGAGGGGACCGAAATCGCTGTAACATTGATCTCGTTCCACCACCGGGAAATGAGGATACAGGTAGTCGACGTCTCCATGGCCCGGCTCAGTCCAATGTGCATGTATAACGCCGTCTGAGCCACGCACCCGTGGCATTGGGGGCATCTTTGGTTTTGGGAGGATTTGGCCTGGTTACAGGAGAGCTTGTGGAGGAATATCCTCTCGTAGATATTCGAAGTGAGGAAGTTGTTGCCATAGGAATTCGAATAGTGAGAATGGCTGTGATATCGAAGCTGGAACAATATCACAACCAAGTTCTACCCCATATGGTCCATCACAATAAAGCGCGATGCTTCCAATCTGCCTCATCTCTATGTTCAAGGTGCGGCAGCCGTTATGAGCAAGATCGCCATCACTGAGGTTAGTTATATCATATAGATCTCTGCAATCTTCATCCCAGTATCGTGCCATGCGGGCAAGCGAACCATCAGCGCAAATCCCCAGCTTTTGAACTGCGAGGCCCTTCCCAGCATATGTTCTCTGACAAGTATCGATAGGAAGCGGGGAGTACTTCCAAGTAGTATGATGTGTGGCTCTTCGCACTTCACAGTCTTCGTACATGAGAATAAGGTTGCCATCTGTGAGCCTAGGTGGTCTTTGCTCGCACATTTCGAGCGGAACGTGTGGTTTAACCGGAGCTTGCAAGTCCCCACCCATAGTGTACGATCTTTCAAATGGGTCCAGTGTGTCGTTGGCTTGCACTTCATGACAGTGGAATATCAAGGACCAAGGCCTTCTGGGCACCAAGTAATCATTTGTCATGGGGAAATCGATGCACCCTGGCGCCGGGCCCATATATGGTAGCGTTTGTACCTTGTGGGGACCGACACACTTATCACCAGCGTAAGTGACGAGCGTAGCCGGAAGCCAAGTCTTGTCGTTATAAATGCAGCGTGGTGCATTCAAGACTTGGAAAGGTTTGTGGGGACCTATGCCGGAAAGACATACTTCAGGTGGCAATGCGAATTTATTCGCAACGTACTTCGAACAGTGAGGAGGTGCGCCAGCTGCTCTGCAATCGCATTTGCCGTGACCTCTGCCTATTGAAATGGTGGCATTCTGATGTACTCTCGTTTTGTCGACCAGATCTCGTTGATCTTGTTCCTGGTCTGAAGTAGCGCCATTGAACAACATGATCAGGATGAGCAATCTTGATAGTGAAAGCTGGAACTGTTCAGAAATGACTATCATATTCGATGACAGATAGTGAACAATAATGTATACGTTCTGTTATGCGCTTCCAATTGAACCTTTGGTATCATTCCAAGTGGATGTAAAAGTACTATCCCAGAATGTTTTCTATTTGTGATCGAGCAAACGAGGAAGTGAACTATCAGAATGTTCCACACAAAGATTGTGACACTCCTGTTAGAATAAGCGAACAGAACGCCCAATCTTCCTTTGTTGGAATACTCATGCAGCCTTGCTCGTATTCAAGAATAAGCCTCAAGCTAGCAGCAGCAATGAGCTGATCACAAAAAACATAACGAAACAATATTGAGTTCCCGAGACAACGAGATCAAGCATCGAATACTCTATACGAAACAGATCCTTCGGTCTCGAAAGTGATCTCTGGGTTATTTTTACAGGAAGAAGTGTAATATCATTGCCTCACACTTACAAGGCAGAGTCAAAACATACACATGCGGCTGTTCTATATTCTAAAGCATGTTTCATGCTTCTTATGACAGTAGGGACGCCATGACTCTGTATATGACAAATGAACCAAGACTGAACATCCTCCTTTATCCACCATGAATATATCCCTAACAAACGAACGTACCCGTATACTCCATACACCAAGCTCAACTATCATCTAAACACCAGCCTCAACAGCCTTGACATCCAGATTCCAATCGATCTCTCCACCCTCTCCATACCTCTGCACCAACCACTCATTCGTCTTCTTAAAATGCCCGCAATCGAACCAACCCCTCTGTGCACTCAACGGACTAGGATGCACGCTCTGCAACACCAAATGCTTCTTGCGATCCACCTTCGTGACTCTCTTACCCGCGGGTGTTCCCCAAGCTAGGAACACGACGCCCTTCATTCGCTTCTGGGCTACGATATCGATTACCTTCTGCGTGAAGCGCTCCCAGCCGCGGTTGGCGTGCGAGTTGGCTTCGTGGGCTCGAACGGTCAGGCAGGTGTTCAGGAGCAGGACGCCGCGGTCGGCCCACGGTGTGAGGAGACCGCCGTTCTTGGGAGGAGGGTTGAAGGATGGGTAGTCTTTTTTGAGGGCGATGTAGACGTTTTTCAAGGATGGAGGAGCGGGTGTAGGTGCGCGGACGGAGAAGCAGAGACCGTGGGCTTGGTTGAGGTTATGGTATGGATCTTGGCCGATGATTACGGCTTTGACCGTATTAAGTGGTGTATGTCTCGACCTGGAGATACTGTCGTCAGCTTAAGCTCTGGTGAATAGGGGGAAGACGAACCAAGAATAGACATCTTCCATTGGCGGAAAGACCTTCTGGCCGGAGTCCTGCTCTCTCTTCAAGAACTTCTTCAGCTCCAAGAACTCTTTGCTCGTAACCTCATCTTTTAATTCCTTCAACCAGCTCTCGTGCAAGGTGTCGATCTCCAACTTCAATAACTCCTTTTGCTCCGCAGTCAACTTCTTCACCCACGCCTCCTTATCAAACTTGAACGCCGCAGGCGCGGGTTCAATCTTCTCAGTGCCGGTACCCGAAACTTTTGCAGTAGTAGATACAGTCTTCGGAGGTCCAAAGAACGACGTGATAGATCCATTGGCTTTTGGCTTCTTAGCATCACCAGTAGGCGCGTCCGCAGCTTTACGCTTGAGAGACATGATGAAGGTTGGTCGACGAAAGAGGATTAAGAGAGACAGGTTGGATATCTGGTCGCAGTAGGTCTTTTTGTAGGATGTGAAGTGGAGAAGGAGGTTGGTGTTAGAGGACGGGAAAAGATGTTGGTTCAGCTCTTCGCGTGGAGACGCGGGTTCGCGTTAGTTGATTTTCAACAGGGGGCACGCGAGGTCAGACGGTCCGAGCGAGCGACTTCAGCTGACCGAGTAGGAGAATGTCTCACAGAATCAGAAGCGGAAGATTAAGTATTGGATGAACGAAGAGGTATTTTTGGTCATGCTCTATCATTTATCTATCTTACATTTAAAGTAACGTTCAGAAAACGCCCAACTCGCTATGCAAATGCAGCTTCCAACCAATTTTTGGTGGTACTGTACATGGGATAGAAAACCCATCAACGCCGAAAATCTAAATAAACAAAAGAGAAGAGAGGAGATGTTGTACATCAGATCGCTGTGCGCTTTTGCTCTGCTCGCTCATTCGTGCTTCGAAATGCTCTCTTCCCAACTTCATAAGAACTTATCATGATTGCACATGCAGGTGCTACTTTCAATGTTCTTGGTATCCATCCCTTGAAAAGGCCAGAAATCCCTTCTGTTCTGAAGATATGCCACAGAAATCTGGGCATCGACTTCTCTTCTGGAGCAAGGGCTCTTTCAACACCTGCTTGAGTTCCCGGATCAACGAAGACCTGCCGTCTTGTCTTTCCAACATCAAATGGCATAGTGAGGACTGACGCTACTGCGCCAGATGATGCTCCAGCTATGAAACTGTCCGTGAAAGTTGCTGTGTGGTTCTCCCGACTTTGAGATCGAGTCCTCACTTTCGCTCGAGTTTTCGATCCTTCGCTGGACAGAGAACGGCCACGGCCTCGCTCTCGTGCTTCCGTCAATGCTCCTCGAATACTTTCATATCCCCACCAATAGATACCGGAGAATGGCACATCTCGCCATAAAGTCAAAGTCAATCCACGCCACAGAGAAGTATATCCATGTGCAGCGACCATATCTGTGACTCCCTTGATTGTCTCTGCGAAATGCGCTCCTCCTGTGGATCGACTTGCTTGCATTCTTGTCCTGAACATCTCGATTGGGCTCACAATTCCTGCAGCTAATATTCGAGCAGAAGCTCCAGCCACAAGAGGTGCGTAATTGTCCGACAGTGCTCGATTGATTGGACTCTTGCTGTTGAATCGTAACCAGTCGTATCCGGTAAAATAGATGATATTGCCTGGCACCGTCATAGCGAGGGTGGGTGATAATCCTCGCCATAATGTAGTAAAGCCTTCATTCCGTGCAATCTTCTTCAATCCGTCGAAAGTCGAGTTGAATGTTCGTCTTTGTGTTTCTTCCACTGCACACTCTGCTGCACTAATCGATTGGGCCGGAGCAGCCATGCAATATTCCGCATTGTTCGTCGCGAAGAAAACTTCTCGGCAGCATGCCGTAACTCCGAGATTCGGTGGGAGATCCTTAAGGGCTTGCAGAGAATTGACGGATCCTCGAAGTGAGGTCAATGGCGACGGAGTAGGTTGGGATTGCAGACGGACTCGGACGACATCAAGGGGTGTAACTACACAAGTTAGCATGTTCGGAATGAAGGCTCTCAGAGGACAGGACATGCCTAACAGAGATGTCAATAAGCTCCCCGACATCGCCGAGATCATTTTCTGAGTTGCAGTAATGTCGACCCCGACATCATCATTATCGCCCGACATACCTATTGTCGCGCTTTCGCCTGGTATTGGGTCGTCTCCGTGTATTCTGTCATGCCCCTGGCCTCCAAAGCTCCCTTCTTTTGCAAAAGTGGTGGCGAAATCGTCCGTTCGGCCGTCACGATCCCAATGCCCTGACATCGACGGCAGTCTTGTCCTTATATGCGTCGTCGGTCAATGGTGCTTATTGGGAGAACTCGCGACAGCTGGAAGGCACGAGTTTCTTGTCGTGGTGGTGGTGAAAGGTGAGAAGCTCGTGAAGGAGTCAATGATGTAGCTATAAATTTTGGTCAACATCGGAGCCGATCTCTGGCAGAAAAACCCCCAAAGAGCCTAGTACGCGGAAATATAGCGGCCTCGGCACTAACAAAGCCCCCCCTTGCACCATTGACCGATAAGACTCACCGTCGCTTATCAACATGGGCTTCACCTTTCGGATTTAAGTTATTCACAACGGCAAATTCATTCTCTCAACCTTTGCACCTAGACTCGCCCTCCTTCTCCTATCACCATCTAGACTGTACCATATCATACTATGGAAGATACAAACCCAGAATTAGAACAGTTCCGCCAGCAATGGCGCGCAGAAGTTTCGGCAAGACAGAACGATACCCATAAAGGCTTAAAGTCTTCAAAGGCAACACGCAGACCCCCACCTATTACAAGCCTCTCTTCCAGCAACGTCCAGCTTCCAGCAGTGAACGAAGAGGAAGATCATGCGCCTCAAGTCTTTTCAGGCTATGATGGATCTGCAGACAGAGAAGAGCATGCCGAAAGCTCCAAAGCGGTTGATCAAGAACCACAATCTGCATTGGATCACTATGAGAAAGCGGTAGAGAGAGAGAACCAAGGAAGTCTTGGAGACAGTTTGAACCTCTACCGCAAAGCATTTCGAGTGAGTGGATTCAATTGCATTTTGGGGACAGAAGCTAATATTCTCTAGATGGACCACCAGGTCGATCGAAAATATAGAAACAAGCATTTCCCACCTTCCTCCTTTGTCTCGAAACCCATCAACCCGAACCCTTCGAACGCACCTGTCACAGTACCAAATCCCGCACACCACTCCCTAGACGGGCCCCCACAATCTATCAAACAACTTATTGCTGGTTTTGCGAGTCTCTCGATTGAGTCCGCGCCACCAGCTATTGAGGGCACTCCAGCTCCACCATGTCCACTCGTGGACTTACCAGAGGAGATACTGGTTCATGTCCTGAAGGAAGTGGCCATCCTCGATGTTGCTTCTTTTGTTCGACTTGCTCAAGTGTGCAAGAGACTAGCATATTTGGTAGCAACGGAGGAGCAAATTTGGAAGAGAGTCTGCCTTGGGTCCGAAGTTGGGTTTGGAGCTATGCATTATCAGTGGCAACGAGAAGTTCTTGGCGGACCTCTGAAGGAAGATATTCCTGATCTAGGGGATGGCGAGGATGATGCCCACGAGCCTCTCCCCAAGGAAGCTATCACCGAAGCACTTATCGTCAGTGCTTACTCGTCTTCCTGGCATACGATGTTTCGCCTTCGACCCCGAATTCGCTTCAATGGCTTCTATATCAGCACTGTCAACTACATCAGACCTGGACAAGCTTCGGCATCACAAGTCACTTGGAATAGCCCTGTCCACATTGTGACTTACTATCGCTACTTACGCTTTTTCCGAGACGGAACGGTGATCAGTCTCTTGACGACTGACGAACCTGCAGACGTGGTTCACCACCTGACAAAAGAGCTCCAAGAGCTTCATCGTGGTGGGCTCGCACCGCATCTCCCGTCCATAACCATGCAGAACGCGTTGCGAGGACGTTGGCGGCTATCGCATCCCGACGATAACCCGGATGCAGATCTCAAGGATGCTGAAGGAGATCTTTTTGTCGAGACAGAGGGGGCCAATGCCAAGTACTTGTATCGGATGAAGCTCTCTCTACGTAGTGTTGGCAAGGGTGCAAAGAACAACAAACTGGTTTGGCAAGGATTCTGGAACTATAATATGCTAACAGACGATACTGGCGAGTTCACCTTGAGAAACGACAAGGCATTTTTCTGGAGCCGAGTGAAAAGCTATGGCAATGGTGCATGAAGGATAAAACAGCCTACGAATATGAACGACATAATGCTTGAATGAGAAACAGATTCCGCAAATGAGATGCCAATGTGCGAAGTATACTCAGCCAAGTATTCCTTATTTTGGGGAACTTTGTGCCTACCTCAGACCACCTATGACATGCATGATTCAGACGAGGATTAGCCTTGTCGGATCAGGGGCTCGCTTAGACGATCCGGAGACGAACACCACAACTCCTGACAGCCTTCGTCCTCTCAACACACGATCTCGTCTCCAAGGAAAACAAGTCAAGTGCCTGAGTTTAGTTTCAATTGTGTGTTTTCATCCTTCATATCGAAATTCAAGTGGCTTTAGATTAAAATTGCCCTGAAAGTTGAGTCCACCAATCTGGCTTTCTTGGCTAGGATGCATTGTCTGAGGTTGGACTTCCTGAAACGACATGGCCAGAAACGACTCGATTCGCGGACTTAGTGTTCTCACGCCATCCGATCCACAGCCCCGGGCGCCGTGCCGAGACTCATAGTTTGGTTTCAGAGCCGTTAGTTGGGAGACGTGAGCGCCGCGTTAGATATTTTATAAAACACCCCACGTCCTGCTCTTTGATCAATATATGGTCGTCGATCATCTCAAGAATGACTGGCACGGGAATTTTACGTCTCTAAATATCTGGACGACCTGATCAGGGGATTCCTTCTCGTCGAGTCTATTCTGTCTTTTCTGCTAAGTTCGGGAAACAATATCTTCGTAGCCTGGGCTAAGACCGAGGTACACGACTCATACCTGAGATTCCAAAGTCCACCTGCTACCACTATCAATACCATGCTGCGAAAGACTTGGATATCTGCCCGTCTGCACTGCACTGTATAAGTGAAGCAAGCATTGCCTTCTCTGGCCCTGGTTCGGCCTTCGTGTTTTCCAATACTCTCGACCAGCTCGCAAACTCACCAAAGTCACCGTAATGTTACTTCTGTTTTTATCCGTCTGCATTGCAGCAGTATTCGCCACTGCGTGCTCGCCACCAAACGTGAAAGTCACAGTCAACAATGGCAGTCCTTTCCAGGTGCCCATATTCAAAGACTGTAACTACGGATCTCCAGCACCTACTACTCCCAGCAGTAAATCCTCCTTCTTTTCTCCATCACCTATTTCTCAATTCTGACATTCATTAGATGCCATCCCAGCATCAGCAACAAATGCCTCGGCGGACTACACACAATTCGTCGATTCGACCGGCGCAACCCTGGACAAGGACAGCACAGGGGAACTTCTAGAATTCTTCGGACAAGCAGTCAGTCTCCAGGTACTGCTCAGTCAAACGTTATGTACGGTTACGGACACGTCGAACGATGTTGTTGTTATACAGGATGATGACGAGAGTTTGGATGGGGATGGTACGGCGTTGAGCGTCTCGAATTATCGGTGCATTATTGATTTGAACTGAGGGATTACGTTGGGATAGAAAGGGGCTTGTATGTTCGACTATTGTGTATTGATACGAGATGGCTATTGAGATGTTGGTCTGGTGTTAGATTGTACATTGAAGGCTTCAATGCTCTGGCAGGCTGGATAGAATCCCTTGCCTTGTTTACCAAATACGAGAAACGTTCAAGTGTTTCATGGTGGCAATATCACCTGGAGAACATGAGTTACTGCATGAGTTGGAACGCATCTAAAGTCTGGCAATGCTTCATTTCTCCAACACATGGCTTTCACTACTCAGCCGTCTGCTAGTGCAGCATCTCAATGTCAAAATTGCGTACAAGTTAAGCATAAATCACGTCAAAGTCACGTTCAAAGAGTCAAATTATACTTTCCAACATTTCGTATTTCTTCTATTTACACCAAGACTCAGCAGTACTCCTCATATCCGTCTCCTATCAATACGATAATGAAACGGATCGCGCCGATAATTCTTCACTCGTTTCCACTGTAGTTCTCCAGTGCCTTCATTCAAGACTGGCTTGAAGTTTACAAAGTTTGCTGGCCGCCCCGAAGTGTACATATCGTCCGGGTGCGGGATCGGATCGGAGGCTGGTAGGCCTGCGTATGTACTACAGTTACGTGCTTCGATTAGCTCTGGTGTTTCTTGCTCTGGTGGTATGTCAGCTTGTGGCTCTGTGTTGATTGATGACTCGTTGCCTTCTGTGGGCTCGAGACCGTCGTCATTTGCAGGATACAAGAGCATGTCCTCCTCGCTTAGGACAGCGAGTTGAGATGTGTCTTGCAGAGCTTCGCTGTCAGACTTGAGGAGGATAACGAGATCGTCAAGCATGCTTGCGGTTGGTCTGTTGGGTTGGTATTGAGTGTGTGTTTGTTGTATTGAGGTTAATGGTCTAAAGTCTCTTGTAAGTAATGTCGCGCATCTTATGTTTACAGAAGTATATCTGTTCTGCAACTCCACCTTGTCTCGTTTGGGATATGGTATACAAAGCCATTGTTCTTACGGCACGCACGTGTACACAGCTCATGGAACGTACAAAGAGCTCATTGTCGTGATTAAAGCCGCACAGGAAATCCATTTCCTACTTCAAAGCCCATTGTTGGCTTACTAAGCACACAGTCTTTGATACTATTGATATGCTTTGTTTGATACATGTGCTTCGTTTCAAGACAGTAATAGGACTTCAAACTTGGCCATCTCTTGTAAACAAGATTCATTGACACGGAAAAACATGAGCAACTGCACCCCTGAAAAATGTAAGCTCTGCTGTGAATCACAAACCCGTTCTTCAACACACATACACTCAGCTTTTTCGAATAGCCTCTGCTCAACTACAACTCTAAAATAATTTATATATCTAAAATCGGATCGAATCCTCAAAGCTTTGGCTGCGCCTAGAACATGCAGTCTGAAATTCAGGAGGCTATCATGAGAACACGGGTTGAAAAGTGGCTCAGCTCGATCAGCGAAGCAGAAATCGTCCCAGATGCCACGAACGCTCCACAAACATTCACTTATGATTTGTTCCACATTGACTTCGGGGAACTTGAACCAGAGTCCCAAGCTTCCATCCCTGGAATCGAGATATGGGACTGGTGTGGGAAGTGGTGTGAGTCTGTGAACGATGCCGATGACGAGGCATCTTTAAGTGACGAACGTTCTACTCCGGACTCCGACTGGGATACTTCATTTTACCACTCAGCTTATTCTCACTATGAAAGTGACGACTCGTCTTCAGACAGTTATTCGGGATCCAAGTATTCAGAAAGCGATTCGAAATTCGAGCCGACGCTCACGATGACCTGTGTTGTGCTTTGATGACTCGAAGCATAAGAGTCAATCCAAGAGACTATATAGAGAGAGTGGAAGGAGAAGTATAAACTCACTTGATACGGTAGATGACAGAGAGGTGAAAGAAGAGCCAACTCGAGAATACGAATTAGCTTCCTAGTGAGAATGAAGACTATTGAATAGCTCAAAAGATCGATTGAGAGTGAATTGCAAATTATGATCCGAGTGATTCGAGTATGAGAAAGTGAACCATTATTTCTAAGCAGGCCTAGCTGTTAACTTATTTCTCGAGCTCTCAGAGCGTCGATATGCTTCTTAGGTAGTAGGTAGTGGTTGCTGAACAGGAGTGCAAAGTTAATCACTACTCGATCTTGTTATTTCAACAACTTGCGAATCATCTATCGTGGTTGTATGGCGTATGAGCCGAGTTATTGTCACGCATCATGAGAGTTGAGTTATATAGAATGCTCTTGTCGTTCCCTCTTCTTGCAAGTAGCTTCGAAGCATCAACTCAGCATCATTATCTATACGCCTTCCTATATCCCACCGCGAACTAAAAGAATCCAGCAAAATCGTGGCTAAGAACAGACCCAACTAACCCAACACCATGGTGTACGCGTACGGCCTCGGACGTGTCACCCGCAACGAACTTATGACACTGGAGCAAATGATCGGCATGCGAGACGCTCACATAAGTCTCAGACATGAACCTGGGACACCGTGGGCTCCGTACCTTCAATTTTTCCATGACAAGCATGGCTGGTCTCCAAACCGCCCACTGATTGATCTCTTCGGGCAGAGGATGAGGGATGATGGGGCGTTTTTCTGGATGAACTGGTACCCGGGTATGAATGATGACTGGCGCCCGGGACCAGGATATAGACCGCCGGTGCAGGGTCAGGTATGGGAAATGGACACAAGAGTGATAAGGTATGGGCAATAGACGCAAGATTGATGAGGTATTGAGTAGAGGGAAGAATGGTTAGTAAGATATGGAACATTTGATGAGAACCTTTGTGTTCTGCGACGGATAGTGAATGGTCTGATGGATATGAACGATTTAGGCGCGTGCACGGCTTCTTGTCACAATGTTAGCTTGCAATTGCAAGCAAATGCAAGAGAATAAACAGACAGATATCTTGATATGATGTGAAGCAATGTTTACGAAGCTCTTTCTATTACAAGATGCGCGCTTGTGTTCGATGAGGAGTAGCTATTCATTGTAGTCTGACTTGAGGCTAAAGCCTAGTCATTTTTGTTGTCAATGAATGTAGCTACACCCTCTTCCAAACACAACTGTATGTGAAGAGTCAAAAACAAACAAACAAATAAACAACTTTTGGACTCCCCCACCAAACAAAGGGTGCGTTGGCTGAAGTCAGCCCACGTGATAGCACACCAAGACACCTGCATTGTTTAAAGCTCTCAAAACTATGAGATTCATATATGTCAAAGCAACCTTTGACGATGCTTCGGGCAATCGGTACGTAGTCCCGCTCTTGTAGAGAGGAGGAGCTGAGCTTAAAAGCCCCTTCTGACTGCGTGTACTGCACGTGATAGTGAACATCTTCTCATCAACCTGTCCTCAAAGCAATAAATGACGAACGCAATTCAAAGAGTAGGCACTTGCCTCAAATGCTCAAGACCGCAAAAGAAAGGGACATAAGCAAAAACGCGAAAAGGCTAAGATAGACCTCGATACATTCACTACTATCATCTATCTACCCCAGATTTCCATCCCCCGACCCCCATACACGATCAATTCCAAAACGCCACCTCCATCGACAGAAGCAAGGGTATCTACAAGCTCAATCATCGCTCTTCGTCGTTCGTAGATAAAGTTGCCTCCTGTCGATCCCGAAAAATCATCAATACAGGTCCGGATCCATAAGTATGGATTCAACGCCAACCAGAAACGCCGTGGAATGCAAAAAAGTTAAAAACAAGAAAACCGCCGCCTATTACCTTTTCTCGCCCCCTTCGGAATACTTCCACAACGACTAAAATTCGAGAAGTTCAAACAGTGACTGGTCAGAAGCTTAATCGTGCTTCATTCTCTTCGCATCTCCGCCATCACTACCACCTTCAGTCTCAGGCGTCTTTCTCTTGGTTCCATTCCCATTCTCGCGCCCACCACTATCTTCTCTCAAGAAGCTGGGTCCAGTGCCTACAACAGGAGTGGCGAAGTTGAGAGGGCTAGGTAGCGTATTGCTATCATTGCCCCTAAAGTTCCAATCTGGATAGAAGCTGCTCGGAGAAGGCAAGAATTCATTGGTCATGAACCTCGATGGTAGAGCGGAGACTGGAGTATCGATCATGTTACCATTATTGGAATTCGATTGCGAAGGCTGTGATACCGGCATAGGTCGAGCAAATGGATTCGGTGGACCAGAAGCACCTGCAGACAACAGTGCTGAAGCAGAAGGAGACGGAGGTGGAAGAACAACACCAGACGAATGAGAGTCTGAGTTATTGCGTCCATTCCTGCGACTATGCGATCCCGTTGCATTGGTACCGGAGCGAGGACTGGATGCCGAATCTGCTGTAGCACTGCCTCCATTAGACGGAGACGGCTCATCTGGAATCTGCACCTTCAAGACAGGGCGTTTGGCACCACCAATACTGGCCGAATTGGTACGAGATGGCGGAGTGAAATTGTCTGGCATGGACGACATTGACACATTCCTGTTCTTGTTGTGGGTTTGAGCCCGAGCTGGAGGCGGAGGAGAATTGCTTGACTTGATACGAGTGACCGAACCAGTATCAACAGACTGAGACCGGCTATTCGATGTAGGAGGCTCAGTTCGTGCAGGTTCAGAGTTCGATGTAGATGAGGCCCAATGTTGAGACAGGATAGAGCGAGATTCATCAATCGGCGTGAAAATACTGCGTGACTTGACAGACATCCGCTTCACAGGCTCAAGCATCTGCTGAGGCGCTGGCTGTGGCTCTTCGTGCTGAGGTGGTGATGGCTGGGGAAGTGGCTGTTGTTGAGGCTGAGGTGGAGAAGGCTCAGGACGCGATTGTGGTCTCTCTTGCTGAGGGAATGCTGGAGGCATCGAAGATCTGCGCTGTTCCTCGGCATAGAGCTGCTGAACCTGCTGTGGATGAGGGTGTTGCTGCTGCTGCTGTTGTTGCGGTTGGGGTGGTCCATAGTTAGGGTATTGAGGTCCTTGCTGGGGAATGCCTTGAGGGGCTTGCATTTGTGGGGCTTGCATATGCGATGGAAGACCATGGGCATGAGGTAGGTTTGGACCATTATGAGGATTGTAGAGAGGTGGGTTTGGCATGAAAGCATATCCGCCATTAGAAGGAGGAGGATGTGGATGTTGCTGTGGGACCAGATTGGAACTTGTTCTACGGGGAGCATTTCTGGACGAAGGACGGGATCCAGGTTGTGGCTGCGGTGTATGTTGACGTTGCTGAGGGTGATGTGGGAAAACGCCATTGGGAATTGGAGGCGAGGCAGATGGGGTGGAATGTCGGACATGTTGGAAGGCCTGGTTGAATTGAGGAGGCATCATTTGAGGCTCGACGGAACCGTGGTGGGAGGGACCAGATCCGTCATCATCATCGTCATCATCGTCCATCTTTCCCTTCCCACTGAAGTCTGCCGGACCCTTGTGTTCATTTGCACCTCCATACTATGGCAGTGTTAGACTTGAATATGCGCGTTGGGCAGGGAGACGTACATATTGGTATCTGGTCAGAATCTCTCCAATATCGCTACTCGAGTATTCGTACAACTTCTTATTATTGCCAAAGATTATGACCGCGACATCGACGGAGCAGAGGACGGAAAGCTCATGCGCCTTCTTGAATAGACCGCCTTTGCGCTTGAGAAACGTACTGTTGACAGCAGATTAGTAGGGCAGCGCGTGCGGCTGGAAGTACAACTTACACTGAACGATTCCTATCATCCTTGATAGCCTTGATTTCAATCTTTCTTCTCCCCATTGCGGCGACGCGCCGATCTTGCGGAAGATAGGAAGGTTCTATGAATTGATCCAGCGCCTCGAAAGTTGAAGGAAACGGCAGAGGAAGCAATGAAACAAGTGGACGTGGGTCTGCGATTCAGCTGGAAGATCAATGCTCGCAGACGATCGCACACATCCAAGCTGTTCGCGCGCACGATAAGAAACTAGAATACAGTCGTCGATGGCGCAGAGGGCATTCGGTATAATAGAGAGGGCGGGTCGAGGACAAGGCCGACGTGGTGTGTGGTGGTGATGAAGAAAAGAAGAAGAGAAGAAGAAGAGACGATGCGACCGACGGGTCTTCAGTGCAGTACTGTTCTCAGGACCTGAAACACTCGCAATAGTGATACAGCGGGGATGGGCGTGGAGAATGAATGGCTCGCGGGCAGCAGGTTCGTGATATAGATTCGGTCGACAGGTATCATGTACCTGAGCTCTGCAATGGAAATTTTGGTGGATTTGCAGCCTGATAGACTGATAGAGGTTGCGATGCTAAATATAGAGAAGCTGGTGGTGGTCGGTGTTGGCTTTGGTTTGGGGACGGACAAGTAGTGCAGAGGAAATGTGTGGGCGTGGGCGAGAGGCGGGAGGGGGGTGTGAGAGGTAAAGTGCGCGTGGACGGAGGAGGGGTGGCTGTAGCGGAGAGGAGACGGAGGTCGCCGTAGAATTATGGCGGTAAGACTGAAGGAGATTGAAGGTCGCCGTACAGGGGACGGATAATTGGTGGGAGATGCAATAGTGGAGATGTGGCAGGAGATTGAGGAGTGCGCGAAAGACTGAGGCAGAAGTTCTTTAAGGCTCGCAACAATCACTCATTGGCCCGCGCACCGAGAAACGATTGACGAGGAAGAACCGAGTACCCAGGTATTGAAAACTCGATGGTAGGTTGCTCACTGAGAAGAGAGTCAAGAGACAAACATTCATCTGCGAGTCACTTTAATGTCTAGCCCAGAGTTAATGTTCAACCCAGCCAGATAACAGCTCCATTGCGCAAAGTACTGTCTGTATATGCTTGCTTTACTGTCTCTAGATAACATCTCAAGGTGAAAGTGTCGAGGGCAGTTTGATGCTGACGGAGAATGCCGCATATAGAGAACTCATCCCATCCTCAAGGTCACATTTGACATAAGATGGAAGCAATAAATGCAATCCCCTTACAAAGCCTACCAATCACCCTCTCCTCAGCGTAAGCTCAATCGTTGCGAGCGAGCAGAATCGTCATCAGTTTCGATTGTTTCGCCGTCCAAACATCATGCTCGTTGGATCCGCGTATCAAGACCGCACGACGAAACCAAAGATCTCCACGAGAAAAGTCCCTAGAGGCAAGATTCGTGGACTCTCATGCAACGAATGATCCTCTTCTATTCTCATTCTCATTTCCATGAATCTAATTGACCGTCAAGCAAACGAACAAATCAATGTCCAACTTCCTCCCTACAACCGTTCCATCATCTCCCCTATTGTTCAGCTGGATCCCGCTTGGATCTTTATGGCCAAGTTGTCTTTGTTCCGTGAGCAACGGCATCAACCTCGCTTACTCTTGTTCTCCCTTGCATTCTCCTACACACCCTCCTTTCTCCCTTATTTCCACCCCTTCTCGTCTATTTTCCGGCTCCTCAGTGGCAGATTACTCGAGCGTGTAAGCGCCTGAGTCGAGCACAAGTCTCGCAAACTGCCCTCTGACTGGCTACACAAGCCGTACCCGACCTTCCAGCCACTCCAATCCCGCACGCATCACAGGGGTTTGTGCTGACAACCGTTTCTACAGGCCAGGGTCAGGATTCTCAAAGGTCCCAAAATAGCCCGCATCAAGGTCTTTTTGTGCACCAGACCACCACAAACTCATTCCAGCTAATTACCCTCGATGTGGTGATTATTACTGGCATATCGAGACCAGGGTCCCATTTATCCCCCCAGCTCTTGGCAGCCAAATTATGTACAAATGCCTCAAACTCGAGGACCTCTTGCATCGTGTTGACTGGATGGCTTTCCAGAAAGACAACAGGATGGACTTTGAAGGTTACCAGTTGCAGACATGGATTCCTCGGCATGTGCGATGTGCTTCCATATTTTGAGGATAGAGTTCTATTCTTGCCATCACACCTCTTCCACATGGAAGCAAAATATGCAGGTACGTCAATATCAACACCTTCATCCTGGTCATGAATATTGTTCCTGCAACCGAGAGAGCTTCCAAGTTCAACATGTGAACGGTATGATGCAGAAGCAAAATGTGTATCAACCGAGAAACAAGAATTAGTCACCCAAACATGAAACGCATAACCTCTGATAACACACAAATAAGAACAAGAATCTGGCTCGAAATCTGCCTGTTTCACCTCAACTCTCGGTATCGCAAACCAACCTTCAATCAACCTTACCAGGCCATCAAAACGCAACAACCTGCGGGCCTGTTCTTCAACCACGGATCCGATCCTGCCGCTGCTGAGGCATACTTGCGTAATGCGGTACAATCCAGAGAACACCGAAATCGACAAAAGCCTTAATCATCGCAAGGCTGAAAGCGACCACAGAGTCCGAACGAACGAATATCAAATTCATCCCTGCGGCAATCACTTTACCTCAGCGTTTAAGATGCTCGCAAGCGATCAATCAACATCCGTCATCCCACAGAACCGACCCTGTCTCTGCTGACCAGACCCAGATATCCTCAATATCTGTCTGCACATTCCTTCACATACAGTATCACTAACTCAATTCTTCTCCGTCTTACCTGCAGCCATCTATCCATAAATCCGACGCTCTACTGTCTGTCACTCACAGCGAATCTGCTTCACGCATCGGCCCATCCCATTCGATGTCCTCCCCGGAAACCCTTGTAATCTGACCTTTTGAGGCTCCAGCCACCCGCACCACGCTACTGCAGCGTGTTCCAAAAAATATCTATTTATATCACATCCTCGCTTGCCCTTGCTTCAACCCCACTATCTCTGCAACGACAACGGCAACAATGAATTGTGATAGTGACACATCAGTACTTGAACTGCCTTGTACAAGTACGGTAAGTACCGCGAGAAAGCACGTGTACGATGCAACAATCCGTTTCTTTCAGCTCCCCAGCTCCCTGCATCAATCCACTCTTCCTTCCCGCGTGCGCTTCCTTCCGTAACACAACACAACACAACACAACACAACACAACACAACACACTACCACATCCTGAACCGTGCCGCGAAAGGAAGGAACCCAACAAAAAGCAAAAGAAGTACAGTAGGAGAAGGATCAACAAACTTTAGATCCACCACCTACCTGCACGCAATGTATGCCAACCCCTCCACAACTCTGGATAACATAGATAGATATGTTTAGCTCATCCTCCCCTCCCTCATCCCCTCCCCTATCCCCTCGCCTAATTTCTCTCCGGGCGCCTACGTCCAGCCCTCCTCTCACCATCCGTGCCACGGTACCGGGACACCTCCCTCTCTGCAAAAATAAGACCCTTGGTAAGTACCGACTTTCTTCTTTCTTTCGGCCCGGTTCCTGCATCTGCGCACTCTATCCCAAGGAACGAGAATAGAATTGCCTTGCACGGCCTTGTATTTAGGCACCTAAGCGAACATTTCCCCAACCCTCTTCTTTAAATTCCAAATCATCACAACGGCATCTGCCAAGCGCCCTAAACGCGCTTCTCTTCTGCGAATCGTACAGTAACACCACACCCAACACGCCAAGCTACAGCGCCACACCCGTACACCGACCCCAACATCTCATGTTTTCATTTCCCCACCAACATCTCCTCATTCTTCAACACAACACCACACAACTGAGGCGCAGCTCCTCCTCACATTCTCACGTCACGGCGGCGGGGATGCACGACATCCGTTCTGCAGATAGCTGTCTCTCGATCTCTCGATCTCCATCTCCCCCGTCATCAATGTTCCTGCGTGCGTGCGTGCGTGCGTGCGTGCGTGCTTCGCAGTTCCTGCATCAAATGCATACAGTAAGCCAGCGTAGAAAAACTCTCTCGAGAGCAAGCACTGAGGGCGCGGGCTGGTCTTGTCTTGGATAATCTAACCTAGACCAACAATTGCCCCAGTCCCTAATACCGGGATTGGGAGTGGAGAGGTCGGTACGGAAGCGCTTTTCCTTAGCGGGGTGGGATGGGAGGAGGATGGAGGATCAGCGCTGGGGTTATGTTTGGATCTATGTTATGCTGTGGGATGGTGTTGGAGAATGCAGGAACTAACTTGCCTTACTCCCAAGGACTCGTTGAGGGGAAAGGATGCTGGAGTTAGAATGCTGAAGGAGGAAGAAGGTGTTGGTTTCGCACTTGAACTTTTGATTATCGGAAGCGTGAAGCTGTCAGAAATGACAAGTGCATCAATTCACAACATCATAATGGAATCAAATCTCGAATCGAATACATTCAATATAAAAATCATCGTGACCACGTCAATCTATCGCGAATCAGGTGCAGCCCCGCTTCCAATGCAGATCTCGCTTCCTGATGGTATACGCCCCCAATCGTACATATGCCGGACGCCACAGAAATCCATGTCATGCCGAGGTCAGTGGCTCCAATTATGTAACGCCAGCTCCATCGCCATGCCCAAACGCCTGTAAATGCTTCCGTATGCGCCCATTGGTTTTCGTAGTATACAAGGGAAAAGGAAATAGCTTTTTGCGTCATTAGGTGTCGCTCTGTCTGGGGACTTGGTTTTTGGTGGCCCTATTAACCACATATTCGATTCGGTCTTGTGTGTATTCGTGTGATGAAGAAGGTAGGTCGAGAAGTAAAAGTGTAGCGCACCCAACCTAAGAGAACATGGGAGCTTGGATTGCACCAAAGCCACCGTGATTCTGAGCTATGTCCTCTTGCTTCATAGTGCCATTAAGCATGGGACAGAGCCTGAAGATGAAGCGTTAGCATAAGTGAACTAAGACATGGAAGTAGATGACAAAATATGATAACAGAAGATTGAAGGTTCTCGCTTGAGGACTACAACGACCCGAATTCCTTCATGGTTATAGACGAAAGACAGGACTGGCAGTACTTTTTGTTGGTCTTGATATGGCCGACCATGCCGCAATTAGCACACTTTCGTGCGGTGCCTGTTGGCTTTTCGGTGGATGGAACTGGTGTGGAGGATGGTGATAAAGCGTCGCCGTTCTCAATCAAGCTATGGTTCTTCTTTCCTCTACCTAGGCCAGACTTTTGCTTCTCACGAGCTTGTCGACGCTCCTTGTTCCTAGTGAGTCGATCATGCTCGGCTTTGATCCTGTATTTTGTGAGCATATTGGCTTTCCTGGCATTAGAGTCAACCTACCTAGCAAGTGCAATCTTGTCTGCCTCCGGATCACCACTGGGTTGCCAATTATGGACACTACAAAACTTAGATTAGCATGTGCTCTCCAAAACTGGATGGTTGGAACGCCGAAGACGACGTCAAGAACTGCAGGATTTGCAAAATGTGCTTACTCGATCTCAGCTCCTTGCTTCTCACGACGCAACTTCTCGTAACGAAGCCAGACCTTGGGATCTGTGACCTCTTCGATCTCTTCACGGACTTCACCATGTTCGTCCTCGTACTGTCTGGTGATTCTCATTACCTTGCCTTGGCGACTCGTAACGCTGAAGACGCTAGCGTTATCATCATCGAAAGGTGCAGGGGTGTTGGCCACTCCATGACCGCTATTATCACCACCATTCATCTCTCCATTTATAGCTTCAGGTTCATGGACGTTGCTAAGCTCAGACTTTTGTTGATCCCAAATACGGCGAATTGCTTCATTATAAATGGACTGTTGGGCTTTAACGTTGTATGTGTGACCATTGTTCGCCTTGGGATCCTTTGCGACACGAGCAGCAGCAGAAGCCATGGGTCCATGAGCGATTGCCTCCAGGTATCCACCTTTCATCGAGGTCTTGATGAAGCTGAACGCAGAGCCTCTTCCAGATGGATCTCCTTCGCCATGGAGCTGAAGCATTGCCTTATCGGCTGAAGCCTCAATGAATGCCTTCGTGGTTCTCCAAGGTGCAAGATTCTGCTCCAAACTTTGGTCTTCTCTTTCATTGGCTTCATCTTCTTCACCTGCTACGTATCCAGCATCCTCGAGATGCTGTGATCCGACCTGCATTGCATCAATAAGACAGACCTCTTCTGGCTTGACCATAGCACGAATTGTCGCTTCATCCGGTAATGGTTCTCCAGACTTCACCCGCCAGACTTTGTCGGCCTTATCATACGTCATAAATTCCTTGAGTTTCTGCCTGTTTTGCATATCGGTAGAGCCGGAGATATGACGGGTGATCTCTTGAATCTTGAGATGTCCCTCTCTGCTATGGCGAATTCTACGGAATGCAATCATCTTCATACGGCTTTTCGCAGCGTTGGTAACCTTTCGTGAATGTGGGCCTGGAATTTCCATATTTGGGAATTGTTGTCCTACAACGAAAAGATTGTCAATGTTGCGAATATGGTAATTAGCGCCTTCCTTGCCAGTTTGAGAACGGATAACTAGAAAGTCGGTGCCTTTCGGTTCGTGTTTGAAAATGGGCGCACGGTACATCTGGTTGTGGATGGCGCGTACTGTCTCACCAGGATCGACCATTCCAAAGTTTGCAAATGGAGATTTATCCTCTGGAAGCAACACAGTAGCATCGCCGACCTTGTCTTCTGGGTTAGGTCGTTCCGCATCATCGGCGTCCTTCCGCCTATAATAGTTGATGATGCGGTTGCCCATTCCAAAGTTCGAAAGAACAGTGGGATGTTCTTCGGAGTATTCTAATAGGGTAGCAGAAGAATAATGATCTGCAAGAGACAGATCCTTGGACTCCTTGAAGATTTCGGTAGTCGGTAGGTTCTTCACTGCTTTTCTCTTTCGCATACCCGGCTTAGAAAAGGTGAGAACTTGGTTAAAGCCCTTCATTTGCAGATAAGGACGGTGATATTCACGGAGTTTCTTTGGCTCCATCTTGACAACGTAGAATGGATACTGAAGCTTCTGTGCTGGCAGGCTGTGCTCGACAGAAATATTGCCAAGTGTAGCGCGAACCTTGCTTTGATGATTTTCCTTCAGCGCCTCATATGCCTCGTCGTTTGACATGTTGAATCGCGCAGACAGAGTCGATGCGAAGCTGCCAGCACCGACACCTTTGAAATTGCCTCTCTTATCAAGACGTCGACGCTTTGTTGCTTGGCTGGGTTCCAAGGTATCTACCAGGAGAAGAGGGTCGTTGAGATCAAGTACGACGCGCTTCGCAACTTGTGCAGTCAACTGCTCAAAATTGTCGAAATTGGGAACGGGATAGATAGGAGTAATTGTGAAGTCGTCCTTCGCTTTCTCCTTCCCCTTCAATGAAGGCCCGAGGAACTCTTGCTCCCATGCGTCCATAGGCTCGATGTTCTCTTCCGGAGGCGGTGTCGGGACCTGCGGGTTGATGTTGGATTCCCAATCTGCACAAGCAATCTCAATGTCTATCATAGACCGTCCCCCCAACTCCTCGTCACGGTCTTGAGGAGAAAAGTCAAATTCATCCTCACTATCCGCCTCCTCGGAAGATTCCTCTACAATAGCCACCAAACCCTTCGCCTCTGCTTCCAGACTCCATTTGTTCTTATCAGATTTGGCTGGACCTGCTGCTCGAAAGACTTTCTCTTGATCAGGCGCCAAGTCCAAGCTGACCTTCGTGGGATTTACTGGCTTTGGAGGTTTGACCGGCGCTTTAGGAATGAAGTGGGCTTGTCGGGGAGGGAAGAGCTCTGTGAGGTTGATGGCGCTTTCTTTCTCATAAGAAGGCCAGTTCTGGCGGATGAAGTCATCATCACCTTCGTAGTCAGCGGGTATATCGTCCTGATGAGTTGTAGGAGCATGTTCGGGGAAGTTGAGGGCGCGCAGATTTGCTACTGCTTCTGCAGGATCCACGGGTGGCAATGTGAGTGCTCCGTTAATATGCGAGGGATCGGTCACACCGTTGGCCTGGGTATCATCCTCTTCATCGAAGTGATCGTAGGGTGTCGAGGGCTGATTGTCTCCAAACAAATCGTCATCGTCATCCAGACCCATGTCTACATCATCTGTGAGACCAAGCCCGTCGTCATCTTTGGAACCTGTAGCCTCTTCTTCGTCGGGGAGGTCATCGTCGCTGATGTCTTCGAAGTCTTGCGCGTCGTCTGCCTTGTCGCCCAGATCAAGGGGACGATTGACGTCAAAGAGACCCTCATTTTGACCTGATTGCTCTGGGTTCGCAAGAATTTGCTCCATAAGACGATCATCTTCAAGCTTCTCCTCTTCCCAGCTCTTCCCACCGTCGTGTTCCGCCATATCCAAATCCGCCATCTTGTCGGACCAAGCTACTCCTCCCTGAAGCTGATTCCACCTCGCGCAGAATTGCAAACCATCAAGTCGCAGTCGCCGAAAGACGTGGTTCGTTCAGCAATATTGTTATGTGTGGATCCAAAGGTTCGATTGTGCGCGCGCAAAGGTGTTTGTTGAGGTGGGGAGGTTGCAATTTATAGTAGGTAGAAGCTCCCTCCAGATCGCGAATGCGAGGCGAATGGGAATGTGCACTACTGGAAAGAACGGAGACCGGAATTTCTGCTCAGCCTTGTCACGTGTCTATTCACTGCCCCACTCTTTCCAAAAACCTGTTATTCACGCTTCCAGAATATCTGTTGGCGCGTCTCTGGACCATAATGATAGTTGATGATTCTTTATCGTGAGCTAAGCAATATACTTGGCGTTGAACAAGCTTCATCGCATCAAGCATCGGCACGAAGCACGAGTTGGTTTGGCATTGTTTGCCCCACGGCGAGAACCACGAAACAAGAAGTGGGACTACGCCTTTAAAGATTTGACTAGAAATCATGATTCAAATTTCATTCCAATCATAATCACTCAATCGGATTTCACAAACTCTGTTCGCGGTCATTAAATACTTACATCCCCGACTTTGTGTCGTTTCAGCTTCACGGTCCTCTCATCTTTCATCATATCAAGTCACCATCGAGTAGTCTCGATTCATCAATATGCCAAATATATCATTATATCCTCTCTCTATCAAAGAGGAGCTACAGAAGCAATTCGTTGGAAAATCAATCAAAGATGTGGCTGGCCCTGCTGCCGTCCTGGACCTCAGCAAAGTACAGAATAACTGCAACCGAATGCTGGAAGCTGTCGAGACTCTTAAGTTTGGCTGGAGGGCTCATATCAAGACTCACAAGGTAGGGACTTACTTCTGGTCCCCTCATCTGAATCACTATGAACTTGTGATATAGATTTGTGGATAATCACCCAACTCTACATTTCAGTATATATTTGCTGACAATCTCAGACGACGGAGCTCACCAGATTGCAAGTCGGAAGCGGAGCAGGACCTGTGAACATCATGGTATCGACCGTGATGGAAGCAGAGCATGTTGCTCCACTTCTGCTTGAATACAAAGGTGCAGGACGGGCTGTCAACGTAAGTCTCCATACTAAACTGCCAACTGGGGCATTCAACTAAATTTTACAGCTTCTATACGCCTTTCCTGTTACCCCATCGGCGGTCGAGCGTCTGTCCTTGATAACAAAGGCTTTAGGTTCCGGGGGACTGTCTCTCATGATCGATCACCCTGCACAACTTTCATCTGCTGTAGCTATCTACAAATCTTCCTCCATCGCTCCCCAGATCTTCCTTAAGATTGACATGGGCACGCACCGTGCAGGAGTACCTCCACAAACCGAAGCTTGTGCTCAACTAATCTCCTCCATTCTCTCCCTTGAGTCCTCTGGAACTGTCGAACTCTTAGGTCTCTACGCTCACGCTGGCCAATCTTACAACTCCTCCAACCGCGCCGACGCCCTCGACCTCCTCCGCCAGGAATTCGAATCCCTCCTCGTGACGGCCCAAGCTGTACAATCGGTCTCCCCAAACAAGGATCTTGTTCTCTCCGTTGGAGCCACGCCCACCACGACGTCTGTCCGAAATCTCCTCATCGATAACGAAGACACTCCCGTTGAAGAAGCAAAAGCAATCGCTTCCCTTCGAGGCACCTTCCAAGCTATTCGAGACTTGAAATGCAGTCTAGAGATGCATGCTGGAGTGTACCCTACGCTCGATCTTCAGCAACTGTCTACTCATGCTCTACCTACGGAAGGACCGCACGCAATGCTGACTTGGAATGACCTCGCACTCACGATCGTAGCTGAGCTCGTATCACTGTACCCAGGTAGGGGTAAAGACGGCTCTGCTGAAGCGCTGGTTGGAAGTGGTACCCTTGCTCTGGGTCGAGAACCGTGCAAAGCTTACTCGGGATGGGGAATCATGACGCCGTGGAACAGGCCTGAGGCACGAATGCCAATCTCTGGACCAGAGAAATATGTTGGCTGGCAAGTGGGTAGAATAAGTCAAGAGCACGGTATCTTGGTTTGGAACGGGCAAGGAATCACTCCTGAGCCTTTGGAGGTCGGCCAGAAGGTCAGAATCTGGCCTAATCATGCTTGCATTGCTGGAGCCGGGTTTGGTTGGTACCTGATTGTCGATGAGACTAGGAAGGGAAAAGAGGATGAGATTATTGATGTGTGGCCTAGATGGAGGGGTTGGTAGTCGTGTCGGATACAATTATGAATTATGAAGGGGTTGTTTAAAGATACACAGACGAAAATGGAAATGAGATCTTTTGTCATTGTTAATTGCTGTTTGCACTCCAGAGCTTTAAGGTGTAGCTCGTGTTCTAGCGTGAGATATATGCAGAAGCTGGTAAGATGGTTAGAGAAGAGCTGGTGGGTTTTCAGGACAGAGCTAGAACTGTGCATTGGAACTGATCAAGAAGGAAGTTGTAGAAGAATCTTAGGAGTGCCAATCAGAAGGGAAATCCATGCTCGTGAATCTTGTGAGTTAAGCAACGTTCTATAGCTCTGCTAGCTTTTCCTGTTTAGATTACAAGCCTGGGAAATGGTATCCAGTAATAAACACCTGACTCCCAGAAGACCCCAGCCACCTGAAGCAATGACTTTTGAAGCTACTCAGGTCATTTGATTGCTCATTTGCACCTCTTCTCTACAACGGACGAACCAAATTCTTCAAACTCCTTTTTGCTAATCCACATCTGATGGAATGTTCCGAGACTGCCAAGTATACTGCCTCCAATCCAACTTCCGAATCTTCTCTCAGCCGTCAAACCAGCTGCTTGGATCTTTATTCTTGCACTTGGATACATGACCGTAAGCTCGTTGTTCAGCCTGTCCGTAAAGCCATTGACAAGCGTCGTGCCTCCAGTTACCACAATGTTCTGCAGCAGCTGGGAACGCAAGTCCATATCCACTGCATTGACACTGGCTTTGACCATCTCAGAAATTGTTTGTCCTTTTTGAACCGGTTGCTCTCCCGCAACAGGAAGAGCGGCTCTCTCATCCCACATACCCTCTGCAACAGTGAAGCGCTCGCCACCCCACATCTGATTGTAGCCATCTGGCATCTCGAAGACTCGTCCTGGCTGGCTCTTTGCGTACTCGAGGTTGGTCATGCCAGCTTGCATGGGGCTATTCAGACGGCCTGGTCCAGTCCATACTTGTACAACAGACTCTTTGAACTCGGTCAAAACCCGCTCCTCTTCTAATGCTCTGAAGCTATCGGTCACCTCTTTCTCGTATGTGCGGTATGTGGCCTGGGCCGGAGCACCTGCATCAACGGGCGTCTTTGACATGATCGTGTAATGCGGTACGAGCTCAACTTTGGGTTCTGATGTCGCGAAAAGGGTTCGAATCTGCGACGAGAGCCAATTACCTGCGAGATGTGACTTCTGGATCGACTTTTTCAGTATAAGACCATCGTGTATAGCGAGGACTGAAGCTGTAGATGCGCCAACATCAACAACGAGTGCAGTCGCTTTTCCAGCTCCGAACGCAGCCAGGACACTATTTCGTGCGAGCCAGAACGCGGGGCAGCCCCACGACTCCATTGCAATCTCGATGGCTCTTTCGCGATTCTTTGGACTATTCCATGCTGTCTCTGTCATGAGCAAAGGGTGCTCCTCAAGCGGTTTCTCTCCTTCCTCGACCCCATCCATCTCCACATCCAAATCCTTCAGATCGTCATTGAGGCCATTATTTCGCGGATCTGCCTGTTTGAAGCTCGTGAGCCGTGATGTGATCGCGTACTCCCATAACCGTGTAGCTGTGTCCCAATCTTCCACTATTCCCTCCTTCGACATAGGATTTCGAATGTCCAGCCCAGCGAGAGGGTTGTGGATTGCATCGTCGCCGAAAACCTGTCCGCCCTCATTCACCCCATAGTATGAACTGACGAAGGACTTCGGTGTATCTTCTCCAGCGAAGCCCGCGCGCACGCTTGAGAATCCTGGATCGAGGATAATGGCTGAGACTTCATCTATGGAGGGGAGCTCTGTTAGCCAGGTTCAAACGTCAGATTATGAAGAGCTTTTTACCTCCGCCATAAACATCTGTAGGTTGCATTGATGAGGTCAATGTTTGGGATGCCATCTTGCGCGAGGTAAATCGTGACGTCCGCGGGGTGGTATCAACTAGTGAGGCTTTGAAAATCTCGGGCGCGTTGTTGATTGAATTGCGGATTTCGCGATGTGAATGTCCCTCCGGCTACTGACCACTAGCGTTGTTTCCGACCACCACCTGGATACTTTTCCAGTGTTCTTCTTAGTTGACAATTCAATATTCAACATGATATCCTTAAATTGTCATTTCCTTCGCCACATTTCATAGTGTTTTACTTTCAGGATGTATAGATTTATTGATAACGGACCGAACTGCGCGTCTGCTCGTGACAAAGCGGTGAGCCCGCATGCTTTGGGTTGAAGATTTCAGCTACCCATCGAGGCCAGACCAGAGCATCGATGATGAAAGATTTACTTCATTACCAGCGCACTAACATTCAAGAACAATATCTCTATCTTCTTCACCCTGTCAAAAATAATACTTGATGCCGTCAATTTTCGGGCTAATGGGCGAGTTTGTCTATACGCCAATTGGTCTGTTCAACAATGAAGCGTAGAAATACCATCCATTGCTTTTCATCGATTCATGTGTTATCATTTTCTGAATTAGTCTATGGCATAGTGAAGCCTTCTTTCCCTCAGATCTTTATTACATCGCCATGCTCGCGTCCTTCCTCATCTACAACAGTCGTTCTCGCAACCATGACCTTTGCGGTGCTAGCCTTCCTCGGATTTGGCGCCTCGAACACTGCATCCATCTCTTCCAAAGTCCGTCCCTTCGTTTAAACAAAGAAGAAATAGATGAAGAAGAACTCAAATACGTCCCAGAAGACGAAGAACAAATAGAACCAATAGCCAATATTTTTCAGGGCGACTGGTGCTGCAAAAGTGTTGACAAAGCCCGAGAGTCCTGCTGTTATCTAATTAGCCAAATGTGAGTTGAGAGACTCGGAAATTCAACAGGTCACAAACGTGGAAGACAAAGACTCCTTTCGCTCGTATTTGCGTTGACATTACTTCGATAGGGTAGAGTGGTCTTGATTAGTGTTAATTAAATTATTAAGCATCTCTAGGAAAGTAAATGCTTACTGCATGGAGGCCTAGGAGAAAGTAAATACGACACCGAAGATATATATGAATGCGATACTAGCTCGAGATGATAGTATGGATCCTGTATTCACATATCCGGCGGCTTGACCGTGTCAGCAAGTAGACTTGATAAGACGGAGAGTACAAACCTGTACCAGCGGTGATGGCGAGACAGATCACCACCGTTTATCGCATGCAATGGAGGGGCAGGACGTGTTGCAGTACGAAAAGCGCAATACCACTGGGTACGCAACCTTCTCCAAGGATTAGAGCTGCACTGATATAAGCACAGGGTTGGGACTGGGGTCCAATTCTGATGACCGCTGGACCCTGGAGACCGGTTTGGTTGGAGATGTACCATGCCAGAGTGGCAGATCTTTGGGCCCAGCTTGAACTCGACAGGAATCTCCAAGCAGCGACCGGGACAGTTCATGCCAGAGTGGAAGGCAAAGTTGACTTTGTAACTTTTGCTCTCACACTGCGAGGTGAAGTGATCTGGCAAAATGTTGTTCGGGTTGAAAACGACTGTGCGTCAGTCGAGACTTACCTCGAAAAGCCACAGCTGTGGTATCCTCATGGCTATGGATCACAGCCACTTTATGAACTCTCTGCCGAAATCTCCACCGATGACATTACGCTTGACAAAGTGACCAAGCACATTGGGCTACGTCGTAGTGAGTTGGTTCAGAATAATGACTGCCACGGAAAGTCCTTCTATTTCCGAGTTAATGGAGTAGACGTCTTCTGTGGAGGAAATTGTTGGATTCCAGCAGACAATTTCATTCCTCGCATTACGAAAGACAAATATCGAAAATGGCTTCAGATGATGGTTGACGGCGGTCAAGTGATGACAAGGTAAGTTTACGGAACTTCGGCTGTCCTATTCTTATTCTAGACTTTGCTGACTTCTGGAATAGAGTCTGGGGAGGAGGCGTTTTTGAAGAGGAAATTTTCTATGATCTGTGCGATGAGCTTGGCATTCTGGTCTGGCAAGATTTCATGTTTGCATGTGCTTCCTACCCTGTTTGGCCAGAATTCTTAGACTCAGTCCGGGAGGAAGCTACACAGAATCTCCGACGCTTAAGACATCATTCATCTATAGTAATGTTTGCTGGTAGTAACGAAGATTATCAAGTCCGAGAAAGCTTTGGTTTAGAGTATGACTTCAATGATAAAGACCCATCATCTTGGCTGAAGACGAACTACCCTGCGAGGTACATCTTTGAATATCTTTTACCTCTGATAATGGCACAAGAATTACCAAATGTCCCATACTGGCCGAGTTCTCCCTATTCTGAAGGAAAGCCAACGTCGGATCCGTTGACAGGAGACATTCATCAATGGAATGGTAAGTCTCACCATTATCATCTTCTGCGGAGAAAACTTACGAATACAGTTTGGCATGGAACTTAGGAGAAATATCAAGTGTTCGAATCTCTTGGGGGCCGCTTCGTTGGCGAATTTGGAATGGAAGAATTTCCACACATACAGACAATCCGATACTTCGTTGAGAGTTCTTCTGAGCTTCACCCTCAGTCACATACTTTCGACTTTCACAACAAAGCCGACGGTCACGAGAGGCGAATGGCCACTTATCTAGTCGAGAATTTCAAGACTACTGCGAATTTGGAGGTATGCATACTAGAGGCTTAGGTGAATGCAGACACTGAGCTGATAGTTCTCCACAGGCATACATCCACCTTACTCAACTGATCCAATCAGAAGCACTTATGTATGCGTACCGCAGGTGGAGGAAAGAGTGGGGCGGCAACAGAAAATGCGGCGGTGCACTCTGGCAGATGAACGACGTGTGGCTCTGTACGTCTTGGGCCATCGTGGACTATTTCCTTCGCAAGAAGCCTGCATACTATACAATTTCCAGATGTCTGGCACCCATCGCTATCGGTATTCAGAGACAACACCATGAATGGAGTGTTTCTCATGCACGTCCTGCTAACAATCTTCTCTTCAGTGTCTGGATTGTCAGCAACAAAACCAAGAAGTTCATCGCGGATGTAAAGCTGCGCTTTATCTCGGTCGATACTGGGAAAGAGGTCAGAAATACTATTATCAGAAAGGGGGTGACTACCCTCGAGAATGGGACGACTGAAGTTCTTTCCGGTGTTATCGACACTAGAAGTGGAGAGCCTTTGGTCTTAGCAGCACGAATTTCTATAGACGGTGTCTGTTTATCGCGTGATACTGATTGGCCCCAGCCCTTCAAGTATCTCTCCTCTAACGATAGAGGCGTTATAATTACCACTATTGGTGATTAGATGCATATCACTGCAAAGAAGCCGACGAAAGGATTGGTATTCGAGGAACGAGATGGCGTGTTGCTAAGCGACAATGCCCTTGACATCGTGCCTGGAGATGAGCAGATCGTTGAAGCGAAAGGTCTCCAAACTGCCTCTAAATCTCTTTCATGGCTATATCTGTGCCAAGAGGATTGAAATAAAAAGCTTCGCCAGCACCATCAGCAATGGCTAGAAGGCATTATTATAGCGTCAATACTATCTTGGGTTGACTTCCACATTAAACATTCATTAAGCGAGCCCCTTTTTCGTTGTGAACCCCATTCAGATCTCACTCGCAGCCTTGCACAACAAGAGGTCGTTGACATCAGCCCTAACTTGGGAATTCAACAAGAGTTTCATTGGAGTGTATTTGCATAACAGCAGCTATCTTTTAGTCCCGAACCCCCAAACTACTTATGGCTGGACTGGGGCAGTCGCAACTCCCAGAAATGCATCACCCTGTCCAAAATACAAGAACCACTGTCCTTTAAATTGAACCAATCCCTCACTGAAAACGACATTATCCACTTGCCCCTCAATCTCATGTACACTGGTCGGCTGCAGTATTGGTGTCTCCAACCTCGCAATCGGTGGACCATACGGGTTGTTAACGGGATCAATCAGCATCTGACCTGTACTATACTGACTTGGAGTATAGCCTCCAAGACCTGTTGCAACACCATTGTAGAACTTTAACCACATCCCATCTCGAGTCTTGACTGGCGGAGCGGCGGACTCCATCAGCGCTTGCTCCCAAACATTCAGCTTGGGTGTGTACGGCGGCTGATCGTAAGTTACATTCCAGTGTATCAGGTCAGTCGAGTTTGCGAAATAGAGAAAGGAGTCCCCAAAATGCATGTGGTAAGTACCATCTGGTTGTCTTTCGTTCAGGATCGCCCCGCTTTTCGACCAACCTTGTCGAGGAACCCAGGACACGAGAGGTTCTTGCCAGTTGTAAACAACGTCTGTAACGTTCGGGAGCATAGGTCCATACTTCGTCCAATTGACCAGATCGGTAGAGGTCGCGAGGCAGAGACGAGCAGTGTGAAGATCGTAGCCAGTGTAAGTGAGGTAGAAAGTGCCATTGACTCGAATGACACGAGGGTCTTCGCAGCCGCCAACATGCTCATATGGTTCGGTGGCATTCACTACAGGATTGTTGTAGCGTGTGAAATTGTACCCATCCTTCGACCAAGCAAGACCGATTGAAGAAGTTCTGGTGGAGTTCTGGGCTCGATAGAGCAGCCAAATCGTGCCGTCGACAACAATCGCTGAAGGGTTGTAGAGGTACGCCGATTCCCAATTATTTGCTGGGTTTGGTGCAAGAATTGGATTTCCTGCATACTCTTTGAATCCGAGGAGTGGGAAGTATGGTGCGATATAATTTGGATCGTTGTCTGTTGAATTCTCCGTAATCTGGGGAACAGTGTCTGAGCTGTACACTGGTAAAGTGCCATTCGCTGTAGTATTGTAATTGTTGAACTGTGCATTGGTCAAGCTTCTGTTGCCCAAGAGAAAGAAGCAAAATGCAGAGAGAATGCTTGAAGGCGCCATCATTCACAAATTTGAGGTTGAATGAGAGCTCGATGCCGTCGCTGATTTCTGCATGCTTGAGTTGATGCTCGAAGCTCACATCTTTACGTCCATGGGAAAAACTTAGAATGAATCAAGCTCGGATGTTCAGCCATGCTTGAAGAGGCCAAACACGGCTGGGAAAGTTTACCTGATGTCATCTTTTCGTCCGGAAGCTTGGAAAACAGTCTAAAAACTTTGAGCTCATCCTGAACTTGCAGCTTGGTATGCATGAAAGCTTTTGATGTCGACCATCCCACTTTCATGAAAACTCTCCTATTCGTGCCCGCGTTGAGCATTTTCAAGCCCCGCGTCGGCAAGGTGGGGTCAAAGCTGACATTGCGCTACTGCAGGACAGTGCTGATCTTCTTAAGCCACATCTGGGCTTCGGAGCTCGGAAAGTGAACAGAATGTGAACAGTCTCCCAACGCATCAATGCGAGGCCGGGAAAGATGTAAGTAATCGACAAGTTGGGGATGTGACGTTGCACAGCGTCTCAAGCAGGGGCAGCTGCAAAAGCCGAAGGTAAGTAAACATCCCATTTAAGGCTCTAAGTCTATGTGATCGATCCTCAACAACCACGTTGATTCTTCACGCCATTATGATATCTCACTCGCTGATTATCCTGATAGGTCTTGGTGCCTTCAGACTAGTCACTGCTCAAAATAGCACCAACACCTCTGTCGATTGGTCTCAGTATGTACAGCCATTTCTGGGTACTGAAGGAACTGTTCCCGGAACAGCCTTCAACGGTGGGAACTGTTTTCCAGGAGCTGTTCTTCCATTCGGATCTGTAAAGCTTGGACCTGACACGACGTCGTTCAATACAAGTATTGGTCAGAATGCTGGATATACGCCAGATGGGAATGTCACTGGCTTCTCGATGACCCATGTTTCTGGAACAGGTGGAGGTCCAGTGTACGGAGTTGTGTCCCAGATGCCTCTTGTTTCTCTCGATGGCGTGAACGTCTTGGACAACCTGACTTACATGGAGCCACGACAGGGAAATGATACTGCAACTGTCGGGTACTACAAATCAATTTTCCAAAACGGTATCACCACCGAGTTGTCCGCCACCAGCAATGCAGGTATCTTCCAATACACAATGCCTGGAGTTGCTTCAAGCCATATTCTTGTCGATCTTTCCCATTACCTGCCATCCAATGGCGGCGGATATCAGTCTCAGTTCTATGCCAACGGCAAGATCACGGTCTCTGACAGTGGCCAGCAGTATCAAGGATGGGGCATATACAAAGGAGCTTTCAGTGAGAGTAAGAAGAGAAATGTTTCAACCCGATATTCCAAATTGACAATTGAATAGTTCCCGCGTATCAAATATATTATTGCGCTGAGTTTGATACTGAGCCAATGTTATGGCAAACATTCTCCGGCATCTACACTGATCCATATTGGCCAGCGGACTTGAACGCCGAGCCGACGTTCAGCAACTCCTCCACCATTAATGGCGGCCCTCAATCATATCTCTTCGGAGACCGGGTCGGAGCAGTCTTCTCATTCGCATCAAATGCATCGACTATCAGATCAAAGATCGGGATATCGTGGAAATCAGTTGAGATGGCATGCCAATTCAAGGGTCAAGAAATTCCTAACTGGAATCTGACAGAAGTAGCCCAAGCCGCCAAAAATTCTTGGAACCAAGACATTTTGAGCACAATAACTACTACTGATCTGTCAAATACTACCAGACTGGAGATGTTCTACACTGGGTTGTATCATACCACTCTCATGCCAACAGACAAAAGTGGTCAGAACCCACATTGGCAAACTGACGAGCCTACCTATGACGATTACTACACTTTCTGGGACACTTTCAGATGCACGAATAGTCTCCTCTTGCTGATCTTGCCTGCTCGCGCGGCAGGGATCATTCGTTCCGCCATTGATATTTGGCGCCATGAGGTTTTTATGCCAGACGGCAGATCTGGGTTTTATAATGGCCAAGTTCAGGGCGGTAGCAACGCAGACAATGTTCTAGCAGACGCATATATTAAAAACCTTGACTATGGCATCAACTGGACCGCGGGGTACCAAGCAATGTTGACTGATGCCGAACTGACACCGTACAACACTTGGGACGCGGGTGATCCCACATCCAGTGTAAAGGAAGGTCGAGGTGCTCTCCCAGACTGGCTTTCACTTGGTTGGATTAGTCCAGATTATAGTCGAAGTGTCAGCCGGACAGTGGAATATGCTTTGAATGATTTCTCTGTTGCGCAAGTTGCAGCAGGTCTTGATCCTACGAGCTACCAGAAGTATCTCAATCGTTCAGCGTAAGTGCCAATATCTTTATTGGCTAGGCTTTGAGATCTTACAATCACTAGAAATTGGCAATACATCTGGCAGCATAATCTCACTTCTTACAACTTCACTGGTTTTCTGGCCCCTCTTTACTCGAATGGCACCAGAGACCCAAATTTCCAGCCTGGAGTTTGCGGCGAGGGGTGTGAAGCTACAAGTTACACTTATGAAGCGCTACCGTGGGAATATTCTTGGACTGTCCCATTTGACATGCAGACTCTCATCAGCTTCATGGGCGGTGCAAATACTACGGAATCCCGCCTCGATGCAATGTTCATTCCCGGATTGGGAAGTGCGGTTGGCGTGAATGGCGGCAATGGAGTCGGCACTACCCTTTACAACCCAGGCAATGAACCCAGCTTCTCCACTCCATTGCTGTATAATTATCTACCTCAACGGCAGTATAAAACTGTCCTTCGAACACGTCAAACAGTCAATCAATACTACAACAACGGACGCTCCGGTCTTCCTGGCAACTCGGACTCAGGAGCCATCGACTCCTGGATGATGTGGCAAATGCTAGGCCTGTATCCAGTAGTCACACAGCCCGTATATCTCATTGGCTCTCCTTGGTTTTCAAACATCAGCATGCATGTTGGAAGCGAGAAATACCTGGTGATTTCAGCGGAGAATTTGAGTGATGACAGCTATTACGTCCAGAGTCTGAAAGTTAATGGGCAGGGCTGGAACCAAAGCTGGATTCATCACGATATTATCAAAAATGGCGGGACTTTGGAGTTTGTGCTTGGTAGTGCGCCAGCGATGTGGGACATTGGCACCTTGCCACCAAGCCCAGGGCATATTGTGGCCAACAAGACATTTTAGATGATAAAAGTACTTGATAAAGCTGTCCATATCACTTCCCAAAGTTTAATCATGACATCGACCTCGCGTCATGAGCTCAATTGAACTTGCAAATGTTGGACATTTAGGGAATCTAGAACGACTGCTCATATCAAACGAAGTTAATCAGCTCTCACAGCTCAACTTATTTGTTCGTAATTGATCGACTGGAACAAGATAGGCTAATGCGACGATATTTAGGTCTCAGTATGCGACGTCAACTCTTGCCAAAACTGACATCTCTCCCTTTGATTCCGAGGGACAGTCTCCATCCTTGTCATATTCGTCTGTATGACTATCCTCTGTCTGTCATTACCGCTGACCCAGGTGCTCCAATATGGTCCTGTGCTCTTCTCCTCCACCGAGTTTGGGTTCAGATACCTTACAAAATGAATCCAATAATCCATAACTTCGGGAACTACAGCAGAATTGTAATTTGCATAGCTCGTACCTTCTCCGTACTGGGCTCCCGAAAGGCCGAGTCCGAAGATAGCAGGAGTCTCGAAGACATGGGGAACGCCAAGTCCGTTCTCCACATTATCAGCCTCTAGGACGTTGTACCTGTAATTCCAGACTTGGGTTGGACCGTAATACTTTGACACCGAGTCGGAGATCAAGATCCCAGGACAAATGAAGGTCACTTCTCCATAAGCTTTCTCAGCTGAAGGAAAATACGCCGCGTGCTTTGGCAATGGTGGCATCAAAGGGTAGATTTTGTTTATTTGCAGCAAGTCTGAGTGCGTCAGCCCTGGATAGTTGTTGTGCATAAAAGTAGAGACTTCTTGTGGCGAAGAAGCGTTGGCTGCAAATCCAGTTCCTTCGTCAGTGTCATCGCCAATCATGACCGGAACTTTGACGAACTTTCCTTCCGCAAACAGAATATTCGGATAATCCTTTAGCAAGTCGCCATCGATACATGGAGAATATGGAAAGATTGGTGGCGAGGCGGCTCCTGGATAAGGATGTCCCGTACTGCTTGCATTTTGTAGGGTAAGTAGGTCTTTCGATCGAAGGCATGCCATTGAGTCCGAAGCACTTGCACAACCTGTATCTTTGAGGAAGTTTTTGAATTGAAATTCCAGCTCGCTGACTTTTCTTTGGGTAGGGAAGAACACAGACTCTCCTACCCCACCAGCGAATAAATGGTCGTCTCGGCCGCCATAAGCAACGAGATGCATTGCCACGGAGCCCGCACCTGCTGAGTCTCCGTGAATAGCGACATGACCAGGGTCTCCTCCGAACTATAGTCCCTATTAGACATCTGAATTGTAATCTGCTAGCTAGAACTTACCTTCGAGATATACTTTTGTACCCATTCTAATGCCTTTCTTTGATCCAAGAAACCAACGTTCAGATCTCCATCATCTCTTACCCTCTCACTAGCAAGAAACCCAAAAGCACCAACTCGATAATTGATTTGAGCAAAGACCAGATTCCCGCCTGATCGGTTGATAATATCAGTTCCGTTGTAATTGTTATTGGTATCACCCGAATATCCTCCACCCTGGATGTAGAACCAAACGGGAAGTTTTGAATTCTCTGTTGCATTTGCTGGTGAGAAGATATTGATGAAGAGACAATCCTCATTGAGCTCTGGACCAATTGTCTGACCCACCCCTATACAGACAGGACCAAACTATCGGCCAGTCAGTACACTCTCTCTACAGTCAATGTAGCTGAGGGCAGGCATGGGTGTATCCTACATTCTTTGCACTTTGTACAGTATTATTTACAACCGGATCTACTGGTGCTCTCCATCGTAGCTCTCCAGTCGGTGGAGCAGCAAATCGCATCCCAAGCCATTGCTTGATCCCAACTCCAACATTGAATACCTGACCTTCATATTTGGTGTAACCCAAATCGACACTCAACGGAATTGTGTTGTCGCGTTGCAAGAAAGGGGCCGCATGTGCCAGTGCACTGAATGATAGTAGGAGTCGCGAACACAGGAACATGATTGTTTCGACTCAGGGATCATACGGATCGCTGAGCAGGGCCGAGCGCAGCCCCCTATGGGCACTGCCATGATAACTTCCCAGCCTCTCTCCATTTTTCGAATAAACGTAAGAACTGTCTTCGGAATTCGAAAAAGGTATCCGCGAGCATGTACGACCCCGCGTTATCTTGCGAAGGATTCATCTCACTAATGGCGGGGTAACAAGATCATCAATGCAGATGCCGTATTGGGCTCGGAGGTTCACTGTATACGAGGCTCTGCAGCATTAACTCATTTGATCGTCATGAAGTAACGTTTAAGGTTACTTTCGGGTGAGTGACCTTACTATCAAGTACTTTGTCCTGGTAGTGCGGGGTCGAGAGAAAATTATGCCGTGCTAAGAGCATATCACAACGGAATGTTAAAGCTGGAAACACAGTGCTGAGTTTTGCAAGCATGTCTCCGCTATCGAAGCTGGACGCTGGGCGAAGATGCAATTCAAGTATGAAGTATAGAAGTAATTAACTCTAGGTTGATAGTTTACTTTAGAGAAAATCTGTCCACCACTTCGTAGAAAGAGTAGTCTGCAGTACTGATGCAACTCTCGCTTATTTACCCCGCCCCCTTTTCTCAACTACCGAGACTCTCGAAATTCTTCTGCTCACCAACCTAGAGGAGTAAGATTTGTAACCATCTGCTTCGCCAATCTTTGATGCACAGCACCTTCGGGGTGATAATTATTCCACCAAAAACAGTCCGTGGAATTGAAGCATGAGTTGTTGGCAAATCCATACGCTGGAGCATCGTCCAAGATGGTATTGAAAGCTGAATGAGCATCGTAGATTGTGGTTTGAATCTAAAACAGTATGTATGAGTTTGCGCTGACGAATTAAGATATATAGAGCTTACATTTGAGTGATTTCCTTGAAACCAATCGACGTATTGCGGCAGCAATACGTCATTGAAAAGCGAGACTCCCTGTGCGAAGTTTTGGATGATAGGCGTGGTGTAATTTTGTATCATTGGCGTACGATCCAGCGGTGGCATATTGATGAACATGAACTTCCTTGCTCCAGTATTGTACAGATTCTCCATTAGACTAAAGTACTGATCGAAGCGAGGTGGAAGTGTCACGTTGAAATCGGACATGTTCTGATATAGTGAAGAGAGAATCGTGATATCGTTGATTCCAATCCAGATCATGAAAATGGTGTTATCTCCTGTCCAAGTATGATTGCTGTGAGAGTACATTGGCTCGTACTGAAACATAACTTGGTCGACCAGACTGTTAGGTATCGCGCCGCCACTGACCGCAAAGTCATAGGTGAGGATGAGTGAGTTGTTGTATGTAGTGGTAAGATACTCTATCCAGTTGGGGCCATCTGAAGAAGTACATCGATCATCTGGCGGATTACCCATGGGATTGAATTGACTTGGCTGTACACCGCTAATATTGAAGCATCTCGCAGTGTAGGAATCGCCACTATAAGAGATTAGTTGAAATGCCCAGTCCGAAATTGAGATGAAATTACAATCCAAAGATATAACTTATCCCTCCAGACCTCTTGATCAGTCCTGCATATGAGCACTGAAGTAGCAAAGCCAACGTCAATATCTTCATCTTGAGATTTCGTGATAAAATTGTGGTATCTCTAAAGCAGAATCCTACGAGTGCTTTCAAATTGCTTCTTGCGCTCTCTTACCCCTCATTACGCCATATAGTAAGAGAACCTGAAAACTCAGGAATATGTCTATCCTTGGTAATATCGTTACATTCGTCTCGGAGGACTTGTGATTAGATCCGAACGCATATGCAGCTAAAAATTAAACTCATCAGCACTAGCTGACATCCCGATCTTTGGTTGTAATCCTTGACTTGGATGCCATGTCGAGTTAAGACGAGGTCATTACTTTCGGATAGAACTTGACCCCTGCGGCCCAGCCGAGCTCCCGCCACCAGTGTCGATCATATTGCCATGGAACTTTAAATTTTTGAAACTCGGAGATAAAAGTTCCAGATTATGTGGATCATGTTGTTGTTGCTCTGCGCGACAGAAAAACAAAAGGAACGATAACAGAAATGCTGTTTTCAATTTTCTTCGTCTTAGTTCTCGTTGCGGTGATTGATACAGTACACGCCGAGTCGTGCAAGACAATTCAATATGCCTTTCCAGCAGGAACAGGTGTGAACGATTCCAGAGCTGAAGCAGTCAAAGCTGCATATGTGAGATCATGGAATGAATATGCTGGATACTGCTTTGGGAATGATTCTATTCTCCCAGTCAGTCACGGCTGCCGCGATGATCTTGATGGGTTTGGTGCAACAATCATAGATGGAATGGACACTGCGATCATCATGGGCCTGACAGACATCGTCGCAAGACAACTTGAGCATGCTGCCACTGTAGACTTTTCGTAAGCTACTCGAGAATTCTTGAGATTGCAAGTACTGACGATAGCAGATCATCATCTGTGCTTGTTGAGTTATTTGATATGAACATCAGATACATTGCTGGGTACGAACAATATTCCATCTTCACTAAACTCCGATGCCAGCCTGACATCGAGGTAGTCTTCTGAGTGCTCATGATCTGTTGACGAGCGGACTCTTTCCTAATCCTTACAATCAATCTCACATGGATGCTCTTATAACGCAAGCTGCAACTCTTGCCACCAATCTCAAGCCATGTTTCGAGACAGGAACAGGTCTGCCGGCAACATATGTCAATTATACAACCAAGCAGCCAGTTGCTGGATTTCCGTTGACAATCGGCAATACTACCTATCTAAACGTCACTAATACTGCACAAGCAGGTACCTTGATGTTGGAGTGGTACCGCCTTTCAGACAAGACAGGAGACTCCTCATTTCGAGACTTGGCAGCGAAGGCGGAATCGTGGCTTCTGAAGCCAAATCCGCCTCCAAGGTATCTCAATTTGGTCGGGACTGCGCTCGACACAAATACAGGCCATTTCTTGACCTTTGACGGAGGATGGAAGAGCGGGGTTGATAGTTATTTGGAGGTCTGTCCACCGCTCGCCATGACATCTGAACACTAGGCTAACGAAAGCAGTATCTTGTCAAAACTCACATTTACAACCCGGCTGATGACATCGAAAATACGTGGAAGAGTTTCTGGATCACTGCTGTGGAGTCAACTATAGAGTATATTGCTCTTCACCCCTATGAACATCCAGAAATCACTTTCTTGAGTGAGTTGGATAATGACGGGAATATTATGTGGTCCATGGATGACTACGTGAGTTCAGAGACCACCCAGAACATTCTGTCCCACACTAACAATAGCAGTCTTGCTTTGCAGGCGGAAACCTCATGCTAGGGGGTACCTATTTCGATAGACAGGATATCGTTGCGTTGGGGAAGGCAGCAGCAGAGTCTTGCCACGTGACATACAATACCACAGTCACAGGCCTTGGTCCTCTAAGTATGCGCCTTTTATTTTGAAGCGAAGTTCAAGATGTTAACAATCACCAGCATTTGCATGGTACAATGCTTCCAACCTCGCATACGACGCTCAGTACAACAACAACTTTACTACCCGCGCTTACGCTGAGAAGAACGGCTACTTCATCGAGCTGGCACAGTATAATTCCTTCCCCGAATCAACAGAGTCTATATTCTATGGATGGCGCATCACTGGAGACACCAAGTGGCAAGACTACAACTGGGGAATCTTCCAGGCCCTGAACACGACAAGGACAGAGAATGCTCCTTATTGGGAGATCTCGGACGTCAATGTACCATATGGCGGAGAACCTTATGACTACTTGTCAAGCTATTACTTTGCTGAAACGTTGAAGTATCTTTATTTGACGTTTACTGAGCCAGATATTGTTAGCTTGGATAGATTTTCGTTCAACACTGAGTGTCATCCAATGTTGATCCAGGCTGGTACTTGCGCTGTAGAGGAGGCGAAGCGGAAGGGTGAACTCTAACTCGGAAAATCTCTAGCTTAAGTGTTGAATTCTGCAACTAAATTAAACATGAAATCAAACTCTCTGTTGCACCTCGAGTTTGGTATGCCAAGCGCTGAACAGTATATGGTGAGGGGTCGACTCGACCGATGAAACCACAACTTCTTGAAAGATCTTCGGACGATAAGTTCGAAAGGTCAGTCTCTGTAGAGAATATAACTGAGCTCAGCTCCTAGGTGGGTCATGGGGAAAGAATATAGGAAGTAGCTTCATGCCACTCGAACTGTGTTTTCTAAGTCTCCCACGTCTCTAGCCTATGCCAAAATCCTCACTTGACCTTTCGAGAGACTTATACTACCGAGACATGACAATGGTTACCGTATAGTACTGTACATAAAAAAAGGCTCCACTCCACGCATGAAGAGACTGAGAGAATAGCAAAGCGGTTTATCTCTGCCTAGCTATGGAACTTGTCACGCTCAGTGCTAAGTAGATGAGCATAAAACGAAAGACTCTCATTGTCAAAAGATCTCTCGTGACTTCGTTCAAATTCCTGTACTGATCAGCAACTGACTTTTAAACAAAGAGAAAGACAAAGCGTACGACTTTGATCGCCTGAATAATGTTCGGGTATCCTGTGTATGAAATGACGAGAGTCTTGCCAGAAGTGTCGTATCTGGTCTGCTGTGACGGGCTGTAGCAGAACGCAAATTCAGTAGCATTGAACATAGAGAAATATTCATCCATTGATCCCCAAGGACCCTCAGGCTTCGGAGAAGTCTTGCCTCGAACTTCAGCTCCATCTAATCAGGTCAACTTATGTTTCGTACACATTGACCAGTTACACTTACAAGTATAGACATAGAGGTAGCTCTGGAGGTAGGAATTCCAAGTGATCATCCCTTGAGTCGCGCCATTGCCCAGTACTGCTTGAGTCTCATTTGGGTAATATATCCTGTCCATGGTGAATTGGGTTCCATTCCAATATTCATATTGGCTGAAGTCTTGCTGACTATCGTGAGGAACGCGGGTGAGGTAGACACCATCATAAAAGATGGTGGCATTGGCTCCGCCGTAAACATAGATGTAGCCGTCGTCTGCCAGGACTTGAGAGTGGTCGCCATATTGAGGCTCTTTTGTGCAATCCCACCAATGGCTGTTGAACTGTCAGTTTGTAGCTTAAACAACTTGATACTTTGATGTATACTCTGACGTTCTATTGCATGTGGGGTATGATCCAGTGACGTCCACAATCGCAGCGCCTCCTCCAACGATGTGGTCTTGGCCATTGGGGCGGAAGTTCTTCAAAAAGTATAGAATTCCTTGAGTGGTTGATCCAGACTGAGCGATTACGTTCGTGATTCCCATGCCGTAACTCGACTCTGGAGCCGCCGCCAACTCGGCTTCAGAATACCCACAGAAGATCTGGGCATTCCCGTTGGCATCAAGATTGAAATCTGTGACATTTCTTGGATCTGGGTCAGAATATGCTGCCGAGTTAGCATGAAGCAAGTTGCAAGGCGGTGTTTGGTAATAGCGATCTTTGGCTGAGCCATCACCGCAAATCAGAGTATCACCGTAGCTGTTCAGTGCAACATCCCCAATGACTCCAGAAAATCCGAGATCTCGAATATTTTCTGTGTTTGTGCTCGTAACATTTCCAAGTAAGACAGAAGATTGAATGGTTACAGCTGACGTGGTGAGTGAGAGGCTTGCGACAACACTTAATTTGAAGAAAATTTCAAATGGCATGATGTAGGAGACTCTCAAATTTGATGCTATTGTGGAGAGTTATAGTAAGATGCCTACTACTTTTCATTACTCCTCTGTCCACTTTTCAAGGTAAGACATCAAGAATACTTGATCCTATACGACACCACACTGACACAAGCACCACATCCCCATTGCTTACACAAATAGAACGGATTTTCCAGGGAGATTTGCTTCTGCATTAGGCGTGATTCTCGGATCCTTCGGCCTAGAAGGATGAGCCAGTTTTATTGAAATTTGATGAGGATCATGATCGCTTGAATAATTCCTGAATGAGCTTCCTATCTAGCTTTGTTTCTCTTCACGTGAAGAGAAAGGAATAGGCGTGAGAATAACAGTGCCGCAGGAGTCGGGCCGTTGACGATACCATACTTGACCCTGTTGGGAGAGGAGTAAGATTTTGGAGTTCCGGGCTGAAAATCGAATAGCGTGGGCTTAGCGCTGCATGTTGAACGCGAGAACAAGTTCAAGTTTTTGTCCACGTGTAGTATTGAGGCACAGTATGCAAAGAGACACAATTTTCAGGGCGAGGGTAACGGGCATAAGGAGAACCGCTCTTCGAAAAGCGGTAATATTGGGTTGGAGCATCTGCGGTATAGGAACCCCTTTCAGCCGAACCTAAATGGCAGGGGCATCAGAGTTGAAGAACAGTGCAATTTTTTTTAATTTGAGTGGCGTTGTCGACGATCGTTTTCAAGAGTGCATGGGAAATCAATTGGCGTTGACTCTGATTTTCACCACTCTTGAGGCGTACTCCACTCATGCGCCTCACCTGAGTTTTCCAGCCCACTGGTTCACCCCGTATTCCCCCACAATCTATAATTAGTAATAAACTATGCTTGCAAACCCACAAGACAAGATCTCTTCTTGAAGAGAGTTCCGCTCCGAATGAGAATGTGGATCTATCCAGAGAAAAAGTCGAGTTGCTTGAAAACTGCATCGCAATGTTTGGAACATTTGTTGCCTTCGAGGATACCAATCCTCCACCTCGGTCAAGGTCTAGGCGGACTACGGTTGCGAGAGCATGTGTCTTATGTCAGCGTCGAAAAGTAAAGTGTAACGGACTCCATCCGTGCTATAACTGCTGTGCTAGCAAGCAAGAGTGTATCTACTCTGAAAGACGTCGACGAACGAGTGAGCTGTGAGTCTCTCGAAGCAAAAACAGAGATACCACTGACAGGCGAAGATCTGGGACTGGAACCTTGTTGCAAGATTACCAGATTGTATTCAATCGTCTCCTTGGTCAAGTCCCAGTGAAGTCTCTTGTTGACTTACCTCGTGAATCGCTGGTGGATTTGATAGTCTCCGATGGTACATCTGTGCAGCGGTTGTCTTCCGTTAGCCCTCATGGCTTGCCACGGCCTGATCCCTCACCAGTGAGCTCGTCAGCCGAAACGGAGGCTGCTCACAGACTGGAAGCTCTGGAAGAAAGACCACCTGATGGATTCGAATGGGACGAGTCTTCTGACCAACTTTGGGAGATTGTGGTTGATGATGTGAATGGATTAGGTTTGGCTCCTAACAAGAAGGCTTCTTTCCTGGGTCTGGCATCGATATCGGTAGCTGTTAAAGTGCTTCTAAAAGCTCTTCCATCGCCTGTGGTACAAGATCTGACCAGTACCAACGGTAAGAATCGAGATCATGGATGGTTCGATTCGTCTCCAGCAGCCGGACAATTTGCTAAGTCGCAAGATGTGTCGTATCGAGAAGGTCAAAGACTGATAGATGCGTATTTTACACACGTCCACGTGTTTGTTCCTATGATCCAGGAGCAGTCGTTTAGAGCAACATACCTGGCAAACGAGAGGAAAGACTCGCCTTGGCTAGCACTTCTTCATATGGTCTTTGCAATGGGCAGCATCGCGTCGTCGACATCAGACTGCGACCAAGATATCTACTACTATCAACGAGCTCGACAGCACCTAGGATTAGAGAGTCTTGGAAGTGGTCATATGGAGACCCTGCAGGCATTGACACTCATGGGAGGCCTGTACCTTCATTATCGCAATAGACCAAATCTGGCATCAGCACTGCTTGGTGCAGCACTCCGGATTGCATGCAGCCTTGGATTGCACCGAGAATTCCCAAGTCCTTCTGATACATCCAGGGGAATAGATAGGGAAATTAACAGACGGACATGGTGGTCTATTCATATCTTGGATTCGTGGGGGTCGACAACTCTGGGAAGACCGCAGACGAGTGATGAAAATCGGGTCGAGATTCCGAAGAATATGATGGATGATCGGGTAGGTCTCAGAATCTTCTCTTTGAAAGAAATGCTCTAACAGATCCTAGTTTGGGGATGCGCCCCCAACGCAGCCCACCATCTGCTCTCCTCTCATACACAGCATAGAGTTTTGCAAGATTCTCTCTCGAATACAACGACGGCTTCAGATGTGCTCGTTTCTTGCCTTTAAGGAGATCTCCATTCTTGATCAGATGCTTGTGAGCTGGTTTGAGTCACTCCCCTCATTCATGAAGCCGCCCAATCCCTGTCCACCTGAATTACACGATGTGCGGACTGTCCTCTCATGGCGGTACTTAAACATGCGTATAATATTGCATCGAGCAGTAATTCTGGATACGACCGAAAGACATCTGTCGTTCTTCAACCTCGGAGTTGAAGAACAAGAGGCAGTGAAGAAATGTAGAGACCTCGCTGCAGAATCAATCTACAGTATCTCGACGGAGTGGCGGCCAACAAAGATGTCAGGATGGAACGCAGTATGGTTTCTATTCCAAGCCGTCTTGATACCGCTGATGGCGCTCGCAGTCGAATCAGAAGAGCATGAAGATTACCACAAGTGGCAGGAGCAGGTGGTCTTGGTCATCCAACTATGTGGTGAGATGGATCGATGGAGTCTTGTTGGGCGAAAGACTCAGCATGCAGTGCAACGTCTATACAACGCCAGCAAGACTCCTGGGAGCTTGATGCTGGTCACCGACCACCGTTCGCCGTATGATATAGAACAGATACACATGAGGGACAATTTCTTTTGTGGCATGTGGAACGATCTTGTTGGCGATGAGTATTACACTGGTTTCGGAGGGTATAACATCATTCAAGAAATGCCTGGCAGTGTTCAGAGCTGAAGTCTTTCAAGGTTTCACCTCCAGAAGCGTTCATGGAAGTACCGAGACGCGTCGAATTGACGCGTTGAACAGCCGGCAGTGTGTCCGGTAGTAGGCACTTTCGGATTCTTGTCAATAGACTCAGACCTTGGTTAGGGATTGAATGAGGCTAGGGGCCGAATGATGATTGTATGCTGGGATCAGAGTCGAGCAGTGGAGAGAAAATTTGTCTCCAAGGATCAAAACAAGGGTACTTCACGTGACTATCCGGAATGGATCATGAATTTTCCGTCCCACGTGTGAGATAAGACTTCGATAATTCGAATAGTCTATTTTTGGACGAACTCGTATCCCTATCCTCGAGCTCACATCAATACTTAAGAAGCTTATTCACGATGAGTGTCATATAAAGAGACTTCGGGGTCATCTTGTCAAGTTAGAATTGCTGAGGCATTTGTCTTCTTTAAACGAATATAGGGGTAAGTCAAATCTGTCCTCAAAGTACAGAAGCTGACCTGGTCAATAGAGATAGATATCGGACACCATTGTTACTCGAAGCAAGATGACCGCCCCTCAAACCCTTGAAGGGCTCAAATCCGGACAATACAAAGGAGCAACGCGCGTTAAAATATCCAGCGGCTTGACCGACTTTCCACGCGAAATCCTTGACCTCTTCGACACCCTGGAGATTCTCGATCTGTCCGGGAATCCACTCTCATCCCTACCCAAAGACATCAGTCGTCTCCACAAACTCAAAATTGCTTTCTTCTCGGACTGCAATTTCACGGTCTTTCCCAAAGAGCTCTCACAATGTCGGTCCCTTGAAATGATTGCTTTCAAAGGCAATCACATGACTACCATTCCTGAAGGAGCTTTTCCTCGAAAGCTGCGATGGTTGATCCTTACCAATAATGAGATTGCCTCATTACCAACGAGCATTGGGCAATGCCATCGGTTGCAGAAATGTATGTTGGCTGGCAACCGCCTCACATCACTGCCAGGAGAGATGTCTCACTGCCGCAAGTTGGGCTTGCTCAGATTATCATCGAATCAATTGACTAGTCTACCACATTGGCTCTTCGAACTCCCCGAATTGTCATTTCTTTCGTTCGCTGGGAATCCTTGCGCCTCATCGTTCGAGGACAATCCGGTGCTCGACGATATCACGTGGTCAAACCTTGCAGTTCACCAACTTCTCGGCGAAGGCGCTTCAGGCATCATCTCGAAGAGTACATGGAAGAGAGAGGCTGATGAAAAACATGTGGCTATCAAGTTGTTCAAGGGCGAAGTGACGAGCGACGGCTCGCCTGCCGACGAGATGAATGCTTGCATCACCGCTGGTCAACATCCGAACCTCATCGACCCGATCGGCAAGATTCATGGTCATCCAGAGAAACGTGGACTCGTGTTGGAGTTAATTCCTCCACATTACAAGAATCTTGGTTTGCCACCAACACTTGATACTTGTACTCGAGACTCCTTTCATCCTGAGACAGCTTTCTCCGTCGAGAATTGCAAAAGTATTTTGCTTGGTATCGCTGCTGCTGCCACTCATCTCCACGAAAGAGGCATTGCACATGGCGATCTCTACGCTCACAACATCTTGATTGATGATGCTGGACACGCCCTTCTTGGAGACTTTGGAGCAGCTACGATCTATCGCAACGACCATGAGAAAGCGGAAATGTTGGAGAGGATGGAGGTCTTTGCGTTCGGCCATCTCGTTGAGGACTTGCTCGGATTGGTGGTGAGGAGAATTGATGCAGATGATATCTTGAGTGAGAAAGATGCATATTCCATTGAGGGTTTGAATTTGTTGCACTGGAAGTGCACAAATCCAGTGGTGAAAGAACGTCCATCCTTTGCTGAGGTGTATGAGGAGTTGTCTGCACTGTGATAGATTATAATGGTTTGAATAAATGGGATTGAATAGAGGATTAGACGTTAGATTGCCTAGATTTTGTTTCGAAAGACCTTAGAGACATTAATAGAGAAAGATTGTTCAGCGAAACTACAGCCATTGAGGTGCTCAAAAGTTGTCCTATTTGCTTAACAATGACTTGAGAATTGACAACAATCTGGTGTCATGCAGTAGGTAAGAGTTTCGAGTCGAATGCAATCGAAACAAAAGCGTGGGTCCGAGGTCTCTAGAATTTTCGGTCATTATGTCCCCAAACTTTTTGATCACATGCTAGTGAATACCTTCATTCTGAACTATATTTTAATTTAGTTGAGGATAAGTAAACTCGATGCAGACTTTTTTAGCATGAAAGGAATAAAATAAATAGCAGAACCAAAGAATTCCCATGCCAAAAGGTCCTACAAACCAGCCAAAAAAATCCTCTTCTGGGAGGGCTCGAACCTCCAACCTCTCGATGACAGTTGAGTAACAGTCGAACGCGCTAGCCAATTGCGCCACAGAAGATATGACTGATCTGATTGGACACTCGAAGTGCTTGTTTAAATATATCAAGCATGTATGTGTAAGATGCAAAATCTTTCGAATATGTGGGTCGTAGCGACGAAGCGAGGCCAGCGAGCCCTAATCGTCGGCTTACCGCAACCCCCACAGGACCCCAACCTCCTGTAGTGTGACTCCACATCCACTGATATTCGAATTTCTGCTTTCATGACTAGTTTTAAGTAAAGCGGAAAAAACCGAATTGTAAGCATATAACGTAGAGATCGGATGCACAAATATGCTACTCATAGACTGAAATGAATAGAGTGTATAGGCTAAACCGACCATACAAATAAAAATTCCCACGGACTTGCTTAAACAGATCTAAAGAACAAATCAAGCACTGGGTGTGAATTCTAATCAAAAATTGGTAGGGGTATATCAGGACCTTCACCAAACAGTCTTCTGACAGCGCGTCCTTCCCGCAGTGCTGCATCAATTTCTTCCATCTGCAGGTCCATTTTCCGACTTTCCTCTTCGGAGAGGGGTTCGTGGTAGTCGTCAAGTCCAAGCAGACCAGACTGATTCGTAAAATTGTGATATGAAAATAATTCGATAGATGTCTTTTCATCGAATCCCAATTCTCGAAGCTCAATTTGATGGTAGATATCCTCACCTTCACCTAGAACAACTGTTGGAGGGACCGTAATTTGCCAGGCCCAGTCTCTGATTTGGGCGTATTGCAGCGAAGGGCAAAGTGATCTCGCAAGTTGAACATATCGCTTGGCAATGTCGACGTCTCTTTCGACCCCGGCCCACAAAGATGCTGTCTCACGAGGGTATCTGCCTCCACGAGCGCTCTTGGGGTCAATTCGAAGTTCCGTGAGTAATTTCAGCTTCGGGAGGTGAGTGGAAAATCGTGCCTGAATCCATCAGCCATGTGCTGCAGTTAGTATAGAATCACTTACCCATTGGTCTTCGAACTCGAGAGACAGAGCCAATCTCGAAAGTTGAGTCCCTCCATCCGGTAGCCGGTCCAGAACTGTCATCTTACTCTTGTCCACGATCTCAGACTTCTCTTCGGAGGGTTCCACGTCTACTGACATATCTTCGTCATCGTCAGACCCGAATGCATCTGTATCCGAATCTATATCTTCCCATTCGTCTTCCTCGCCCATTTTCTTGACAAAGACCTCCCTAACATAGAGCATTGATAGTCCTGCAAGGTTCAAAAGACTAAAATGGTGAAGATCTGTGTCGTACATGCTATAGTGGTCCGCAACCAACAATTCTTGAACAGTATTACCGCCTCCCCGAAGCCAGTCAATGACATCGGTGGTAAATCTGGAAACCGAGAGCTGACGTATCGAGTGGCAATCCGCGAAGAGACTCCAGTCGATTACAGTCTCTTCAATATCAGAGTCCTCATGCTCCAATAGCAGACTGTTGAACAAATGTAGGACTTTAAGTTTGTCAAGCTTGACAAGCTTGGCAAGATAATTACCAGTGTCCCGTGTTCCTGACGGCTTAAGAAACATCCCGTGACCCAACTTCAAAGTCTCCAAGTTCAAAGGCGGTGTATTCTTTTTTTGACGTGAAGCATATCTTTTGCAAAGCTTTTTGAAGAATCTGTACTTACCATCTGTAATAATGACTTCTGGTGTCCCGTCACAATCTGCATCGTGAGCCTTGCCAAGGCCTAAACACTTCAGGTGTGGGCTGTCGCTCAAGAGGATGACGATATCTCGAATCAGTCTTGTTTCGTCTCCGAAGAAATGGTAAAGCTCCAACGACGTCAAGTTCCGGAAGCCTCTGAGCTTGGTCCAGCAGTTGTCGGCTCCCATTCCATCAGCAATGTATTGACTCCCAAACTGTAAAAACAAATGTTTTAGTGTCTTGCAATCTTTCAGACTAGTAAGAAGCCTATTGTTTCGGAGTATCAACGCTGTTTCGAAAATGTCCTGAAAAGCAATATCTCTCCATCTGTAGCAAATTTAGTAGGCACAATAAAGAGGGTGAGGGAACCAAACCTGAAGGATTGTAGGACTGGCATTTGCTTGATAAGATTCGCCACAAATCCACCGTATATTTTGTTCATTTGCTCTCCATGGTACATATATCTACTCTCCCTGAACTCCTTGAGGAGCGTGCTTTAGATATGCGGGTATAGGCCATGACAGCCAGTCGTGAGCTGGCTTTCGACTTAACAGGAGAGAGTGGCTGCGATGTAGGAAGGGGACGAAAATGCTATGGAAGGTACGGCAGACTTGTATTAATTGGATAAACGTTTGTGGGCTATGGATCTGAAGGTACAACATCAGCAACTCGGTCGTCTCCACTTGCACATCCTTGGAGTTGGTACCTGTTCAGCAACTAGAGACCAGATCTCAGGTGGAAGATTGGAGAGGTGCATTCGTCCGATACGGGCAGATTGTGCATGAGACATTGTGGAGTCTTCGCCGTTGAAAGTATTCCCGGAGAGTGGTCAGCAGAATTGTTGTGTTTTGTTTGTTGAAGTTGCGGGCCGACACGTCAACCGTGAACTCGCTAGGGTGCTGAGGTCAGCGTGCAGCAGCCTGAAACTTAAGCGCAACCGGCAACAGTAATATTCTGAAATCAAACCTCACTTAAACATAACAAAGATTCTCGAATAATATATCTACTCGCCTGAATTGATCTTTCTTTCGAAATATAGTCGTTCAAGTGATTGACTTGCTCTTACTGTCGTGTTTCTCGTCCGTTCATGTGGTCAGCCATCATCTAGTTCACAACAGCAAAGCTACCGCCCTCTTAAATCAAAACTGCCGATTGCTTCTTCATTTCCCTCATACGGCCCTGTCACTTCTAGTTTGTCCTAGCCCTACAACAGATACATTCTCGTACACTCTTTTCAATTAGAAGTTTTGTCTTTGCTGTCTGGTCGGAAGCAGGGTTTGTAAAAACTTTCCTCGAAACTTGAGAAACTTGGGAAATTGCTACGTACCGTCAATTCACTGCCATTTCATCAAAATCCGGACACTGCCTGTTTGAGGTTGCACCCCAGTTACTTCTTGTTTAAGGAATGGTTACTCGATGATAAGGGGCCATGGCTTCTTGGTCTAACTTTTGCCAAGTATTGTCTAGTCCTGCGTTCTAGGATGTGTCTTTCAATGATGTAGTTAGCATTCATACCTACTTTGTTTCGTTTCGCAATTCCTGGACGTCGATACATTATTATGTTCTCTTGTCAAGTTGTGTCACCTCCACGGTTGTATGCCTGAGGCACTTTGACAACACCTGCCACAACTGACTGCGGAATACAGACTTGCACCTGCCTTGTATTCACACTTTAAAATTCGGGACATTAGTCTTTCAAATTCACTTTGATTACTCGCGATCGATTTCACATGCCACAATTCCTTCTTTGCGAGGCCAAACGCTCAAGCTTCGAACACTCCACATTCACAGCATCAAGAGAATTCAAGTGGCACAGCGGTCGACAGCGAAGCTCTACATGTATGCTTTACCAAGCCACCCCATCTTCAAGTATTGTAAGCTCACTATCATATAGCATGTCTCAACCAACGGAATCGAACTTCGACCCTTCTACCTCGTCTCTTCTGAAGATCGGCAGTCTAGATCCTGGTGTCACCTATGTCGAACGCACTGCCGTGCGCGCCATTCTCCAAAACCCTCTGAACAAACGACTCGCCATCATCCACGTCAAAAAGGGCAATTACTACAAGCTTCCAGGCGGCGGTATTGAGCCCAACGAGGACCATTCCATCGCCGTTGCTCGAGAAATCTTGGAGGAAACCGGTTGCATGATCTCTATGGATATCGGCACGTGCTTGGCGACATGCGAGGAATACCGCAATGATCTTCACCAGATCTCCTACTGCTACGTAACCAAGATGATTGAGGATACTGGACGTCCTGAGCTGACTGAGCTCGAAGCTTCGGAGGGATTGTCTCATCGTTGGGTTTCTGTAAACGAGGCTATGGAGGTCATGCAGGATTCCGTGCCAACCTCGGAATTGGGCAAGTTTATCAAAGAGAGAGACCTCTTCTTCGTTGAGAAGTTTGCTGATATTTTTTAAATTGGCGAGGGAAGCATTTGAACGGATTTGATAGATACACTGGGTGTAAGCCATTGCTTGCAAGTCTCAGGCAGCATCTTAATTGAAAGTTGCGTTGTTTTCCTTCCAACTTTGAATCTACATCTGCGCACTCTGACAAAAAGACTCACTTATCCCTATATTTGCTCCTCTATGATTCTCAAAGAAGACATAACGATCAAGATTCACCATTACTCAATTGAACGAGCCAATTATTTCGCACGATTTCGGCCTCGTTGAATCCTTGGTAGCTATGAATCCGTATGGCTGGTATGGGTCACAGTGATCGAAGCAATATTATCCCCCCTTGCTTTATATCTCTTTGATCACACTTCACTGAAGCACAATAATTCATAAGATCTTCGTACTCTGAGCCTACCAGATACACCCGACCGATGTACATATACGATGAGATCCTAAGGATCTACATCAATACAAGTCCTTTGATGGTCTCCATCCGAGTGCTTCAGGCAGTTCGAGATATCGATCCCCCAGTCCAGCTTTCTTGGGATGATCATGGGTTCGTATGTGGAGTCTCACATGACGTGGCGATGCAGCTCACGAAGGAACTTGGTATGCGAATGCTCTGGGTGCATGAGTTCATGCAGCTCGCTCATCAACATCACAGAGTGGCTTTACGATACTTACATTGTCTATGAAGACAGTTGTACGCACCTTGAGCATGATGGTGCAATACTACTGAAGCGAGACCCACATTCACTTCGATTCACTTGTTCGGATGACTGCATCAAGATTCCAGTGGCTCAGCCTGGGTGGTTCAATTTGGATGAAATCGACCATGATGGCCTGCCAACCACATTGAGCCCCACGAATCAGCCAGGTCTATGGAAATTTTGGAGTCCAGAGTCAACGGAGCACGTATGTGGTGCAGTGAGGAGCTTCGTCACATCTTCAGGCACATGCTCGTTGGACCTCGGGATCCCAATATTTGCGAAACATCCCAAGATCATGCTTAGAGAGTGCTATGAGAAGCTTGAACCACCTGTTCCTTCTCCACTGTGTACCATATGGCCAAAGTATGAAAAGTTGATTCATTTGAGGGACACTCTCAGTTTACAGAGATTCCTGAAAGAGCTTGATATCAGCAAAATCTCCATCTCCATCGAGGACTATCAGGACGATTTCTTGTATAACCGAGGCAAAGAGAGGTTGATCGACTTGATCGACAAGAGGCGATTGCTAGAGCGGGAAGCAACTAATCTGGAAATCATTCACGAAGCCCAATTGTTGAGTATGCTTTGTTCACCCCCGGATGACCAAGCTTTCTTCGTGATTGGCCACGCACGACCGGACGCCGACTCAGTCGTAAGTTCTGTCTTTGAAGCTATGCGACGGCATCTAGTGTACCCAAACCATGCCTGTCTCCCTTGGTCAAAGTCAATACCAAGGGAAGTTGAACATATTCTCGGTCCTGAAGTTACTGGCCTGATGTCCAAGATCTCTCCTCCACGTCGCAACAATAGCATTGTTCTCGTGGACTGTCATCAAGCTGATCCCAAGTACCAGATGGGAGTGAGAGCCATAATCGACCATCATATCCTCAATGGCAAACAATTCCCTTACTATATGGCACTGAGCCATGAAGTTTCCTGGTCAACGACAATTCAAGTGTATGTAAAGATTCTAGGATCAGGGTTGGATCTCAGTCCTGGAATGGCAAAGACGCTTCTCGAGGCGACAAGATTGGAAGCTGAACCAAGTCTCATACCCCGCATGAGTGAAACCGATCAGCTCGCAATTGCAAGACTTGAGTCCATTGCAGGATATGGAGTCGCTGCTACATACGAAGAGTTGATGAGCATCATGCTTAACACAGCTGAGATAAAAGAACTCTTCTACAAAGATTACAGACAGACATCATATGGTTTCTCGGTCATCAAATCCAATAAATCTAACGACTTCGGAGCAATTGCTGAAGCGAAAAACAGGACGTATCACCTTCCTCTTACTGTCGTCAAAGAGGTCGTGTACGCAGAAGACTTTTCAGGAGTCTGTTTAGAGAACATTTCTCTTGTCATAAATCCTGTCTTCCATGACAAGGGTTTCAAGAACGCTCTCCAGAAAATAGTCACTGTAGCGTGCCAACACTTCCATGGCAAAGAATGCCTTTTTGTCGAAGGCGATAGCATCACTCTCAAAGACATCGAGTCTCAGACTCCCAGGCTACTTCTCATGCCATTGATTGAAACCATTGTCAACGAGCACATGAGGTTCCGCTACGCAGCTAGCATAAATCGCTACATCTCACTAGGTTTCTACAGCGGAAGCCAAGAACACTATGGGAGTCCCGGCGATGAAGCAATCGTCAAATCCGGATTGTCATTCTTTGATGTCAAAGATTTGCTCAAAGACAAGAAAGCAACATCATTCCTAACCTTGCCAGAATACTAGAAAGTTTATCGTGAGATGGAAACAGGATGTGATAGCTCGGCTTTGAAAAGTTTACAGCATGATCGCTACGTAAAGCTTCTCGATACTTTCATCTCTGGATCTAATCTTGTCACTCACGGCACTAACGCGCCTCAAAAGGTCGACATTCAAGCTGCACGGCCAGCATTAATCCGTGCTTCAGAAGCTGATGAAGTGACTGGCCTGCCAAGTACTCTCCACAGTCCAGACAATTACGGCAATAATTCTCTTTGGAGATATTGGTCTTCTGATGCAGTAGAGAATGTGGCGACGAGAGGACATATATTTGTCATGGATCAGACGAGTATTGATCTAAAGGTTAGGCCTGATGAGAGGACGAAACAGTTGACATTTAGGCCTGTCTATAAGGATATTCCAGATCTGAAGGTTGAGGTTGAAGATGATGGGAGTGGGAAATGGGTTAAGGTGAATGTATCACCGAGGTTGTTCTTTATTTGTGGGTGATGCGACGCTGGGTGGTGAAGTCGAGAATGCAGCTGGCTCGATTCTAACCCTTTTTCTCTCGTGTGTACCTAAGAATAATAATAATAAGCGAAGTGAGATACTTGGCCTTCCCTTCTTAGTCGAACACATTGCAGCTCCTGAGCCTCCGGCAGTCATTTTCACGGTGCGGCCCAGAAACCTTGCTTGCGGTGGATGAAACTCGTGTACTGTAACACCCCCAACATGTAGCTGTGCCACTACATTGTAACACTTTGGCGTAACAGAAGAATGTTTGAGGAGGCATTGTATACGGATCCTCCTAGCCTTCACTTTCCCTCATGTAGAGAGCCTTGCACTGACATTGACAGCAATGAGTATATATGCTTTAATATGGACCTAATACTCCAGAACTAATTGCATGTGCAATCGCGGGATACACGGCTCTGGCATAATTGCTCTGCCGCGCCAGAATATAATTCAAATCGACCTTGTTATCCCAGCCCGGAATATGCTTGCCATCGAAGGCATGAAGAACATACGAGCTCGAGAAATCCATCTCCCAATCCTCCCCTCCAAAGCTCTCTTTCTCTATCAAGCTACTAAGCATGTCATCGCAAGTCGTCATGTTCGTAGAAGTAGAGCCCCAAATCTCATTCCCCGCTGGCATCTCGAAGTGGGGCTGGAACAGTCGTACTTGATCTGCATACTCCCAGCTCACCGGAGCAAAGGCCTTCGGTTGAAGAATCAGGACTTCATGAGGTACAGCAGATAGCCGGTTTGCGACGTCTGTAAGAAGATTCACACTCGCTGTTTCCCACCGCCCATCAAAGAATTGATCTGCTGCTCGCATGTATATTTTCATCAAAGCACTACCTGGTGCCGCCATCATGACCTGTTCACAATCACCCTGTCAGCATGACTCTTTTCGAATTCTGATTCTCATTAAGCGTAAGTCATACCGATGCAGTACGCTTGAGTGTCAACATAGGGGGAGACGACGATTTACTTCTCGTCAAAAGAAATAGGAAAATGAGATTGTGCTTCGAGAAATGGAGACTTACCCCATTGTTAATGAACCCAGAATGATGCATCGTGAGCCCAATGGCTCCACCAACGACATTTGCAAAACCACTTTCTCTCAAATCGGCGATATCACGAAGTGGGATAGCATCTGTGTCCATATATATGCCACCATATTCGTGCAAGACTTGCATACGTGTGAAGTCGGATTTATGTTCGAACTTTTCAATCGGAATTCCTTTTGTGGTCACGCTCGGGGCGTCAACGTAATGATACTCCACGTTCGGAAGTGAGAGAAGTCGTTGGGTCCATTCGCTTCCAGATCTCCTTGCCCGTTCAAAAAGTTCGAAGGAGGCATCGGTGTGGTAGTAGATTTTGTCTGGTTGGAAGTATAAGTATGCGGAGTAAGCTGTGATGAAGAACTTGAAATCGAGATGGAGCGAGGTGGGGTCCTTCAAGAACCAGACGTAGTGAACGATGTTTGGAATCTTCGTGATGCGTTCAGATAGATGTGTACCGCATACTTGCTTGTCTGCGAGTTCTTTCAGTGGAAAGCTTGGAGAGTTCGAGGTCGAGGAGCCGAAGAGAAGAAGGTACAATTTGGATGCGCCAATAATGATCAAAATGAAAGACGCAAATAGTGTAATGAGACCGGTAATAGTATGTGCTTTGCGCCACAGGCCAAGATATCTATGATGCTTCCGTTGCTGTTGTTGTTCTGATTCAGTGCCAAGAAGCATATATGGCTTACTTCCCCACCACATAGTCAGTCGATCTGAGTGGAACATGAAAGTAAAAAGAACGAGACAGAATCAGAAGGCATGAGAACGGATTGAGAAATACTGTCCATCTTTCTCTTATTATCTCCACGATTAGGCAGCAACCGTGCTCTTGCTCCTGCTTGACGGCGCAGTTGTTGGAATACGATATGCGCAAACATAACAACTTAAGTGGAACCACGAATACAGAGCCACACTTCTAAATATCCAATGAGCAAGGGTCTAAGCGCGCTGCCAAGCTTTAAGCCTCAATTTTGACTTGATCCATGAACCGGAGTAGGAGCAGCAACTTTGACGTATGCATGGGTGTTTCACGTAGGGGTCTAAAAATGAGTTGACATAATATCAATAAGCGACAATGATCTACAGATTCCTGAGGCTATCACAAGCATAAACAATGACATCAAAGTCGCAAACATGATAATTTCATAAGATGAAGTATTTGAAGTGTTGGGGGAAAACCCCCCACCTCGAATTGCGAGTAGATCAAATGCTAGGACTACTTTCCAGACCCTTGTGTGCTGGCCCGGTTTGCGCCCCACTTACTCATGATCCCTTCATGGTTGCAGTTCCAGTTCTGCTCTCTATTGATTATATGCCGGATATGATAACTGATCTTGGATCAGTGGGCGTAATCTTTGAACTTTAGAAGTCCAGCTCGTATGGGATCCAACCACTCACAGGTTTTTCTAAGCGATGATCAAAGTGAAAAGGCTCAAAGTGAGGTGAGTACGGTACATCACAGACTGATTGAGAGCCACGGAGTGTCATCAACATATGCGCAGTCCGACCATCATTGGATTGATCAAGACAGCAACTTCTGTACCCTCCACCAATGGCTGTCGTACTCCCTTCAGCCAATTGCTTCGCTTTTTTACTCGCTTTCTCGATGTCTCGTTCCCAATCTGAAAGCGAGTTGCTCCGAGCATGCTTTTCATGTCTCACTTTTAGATTTCCAGTGAGGTACTCATAGCTTCAGCCATAATGCTAAGCATTGCCATGAGCGCAATCTGAAATACTCATCTCAGTTTTCTCCAGAATCTAAATCACCATTCAAGATGATAGCCGCCGTGATCGCATACAATGACATGTCATTATGAATTTAAGGTCACGTTATGTAAGACATCTTCGGAAGGTACACAGCGAGAATTTATCTCTTTTATATTATGGCATCTTTGAAGTCTTTTCACAAACTTGAGACTTAGCCGACTCGAACTGCCTTTCAAACTTCGGAATAATGTTATCTTACAAGTTAGAACATATGTATTGATCACAGATATTCACTAATTACCTAGTACAGACAAACTTCCGCAATCCACTCCTTGCCCCAAGATATATATACTCGCACACTTTTAACCCAGCTTATCGAAAATCTATGGAGGACCGGGAGAAGTGAACTGTTGAGCCAACAACCTTACATCGAGACATAATACAGCAAGTGGAAACACACACTCCACACATCTACCTATGGTCCGCAGCCTGCCTGACTTGGGTATACACGCGAATGAGGCGCTATCTTGACGTCGAAATCGAACTCAGCTGGGAAGCCAATTACGTTGAAACATCACAAGACATTGGTCTTTCACCAGGCATTCATCGATTCTAAAGATTCAGAATGTTCCGATTGCAACCTTCTCGTCGATCAGTCAGTTGGAACTGCGAGACACCTTGGACATTACATTGCTCTTGGCTAGGCTGCAAGAGTGGAGAAAACAGCTACGACAGAATAACGTCGTACGTGTGTGCATGCGCAAACATCAAGGTAAGGTAAGGAGGTGTAACGTGCTTGGTTACTTAACTACCTTAGTAAGGTAAACCACATCGGGCTTTTGTGGGAATACAGAGCTGCCATCCATTTCAATATTCCATCCGAAGAGAATACGATCGTCTCCGCCTTTGGCTGTCATATTTCCAGACCAATTCGAATTATTTCCATCGTTAAAGGGGGGTTTTTGGCGCACGCGGCTAACGCAACAGAATGAAGTAGATTGAGATTCGAGATCTAGTTCTGAATATCGTTAGCTAATTCTGCACAGGGGAATGGCTCCAAGTCCTACCAATCGACGTCTGGCAAGAGAAGAATTTCATCACAGCCCTGATTACACCGGGGGCTAAAGTCACAATTCCAAAGACAATGGCGATTTGGGCTTCTGGAGTCAGGTGTACTACAACTTTTGTTAGCCCCGCTTTGCAACCCTTTACAAGGATACTTTGTAAGTGGTGAATTACTTTTGACGACCACAAAAAAGACCCATCTTACACCCAAAACTCCGAATATCAATCTGCAGATATAGTTATTGCAAGTCAGGACCGCTCAAGACTTTCAGCTTCTAAAATTTATTTGATTAACAATACCTGTGGATTGAATTGGTACTGATAGACAGTAATCATTCTTCAAGTTTCTGCCTGGACTGATCAGGTTGATGGTTGATAAGTTTTGATGCCTGAATTCAGGCCTGACATGGCGATACTGGCGATTAGCTGAAGTGTCAGCCGCGCAAGACAAACTTCGTCAACTCAACGTCAACAATCTATTTAGAGTTCTAGCTAGCATCGCATGGGCATGGGCATGGGCATGGGCATGACTTACCTACTCCATAGATGGGTGCCATGGATCCCTGTCCTAATTGCTTTCAACAATGTTTCACATGCTCAGAAAACCCAGAGCTAGGTTGCGCAATCTGCACGCACCTCCAAAATCAACACTGGCAACACTTCCATACGCCATTCGCACCGGGCATCTTGACAACCGACTTTATATATTCTTCAGAAGATATAGTTCTTAATGATGTAGCCTTTGGAGAGTCTGCCCATCAGGGATTTCCAAACAACGCAAGTGATCCTCACCACAGCCTCTTTTCTAATTGAAGTGAATCACTTTGGTATACCCAGCTAATATCTTATCGACAGCTTCTACAACTAGAGTTGCCCTCTGCCACCTCCACCGAAGTACCTGCGGTCCGCAGACGGCACTGGACGAATGACGAAAACCGCGATTTCGAGCAGTGGATTACCAACAATCCAAAACCCACGAAACCACAAAAGGTCGAATTTGCAACTAGCCATCAATATCTCACCCTTTCTCAAGTACAAAATAAGATAAATAATTGGCGAAATGGGCGAAATGGGCGAAACGTGCAAAACCAAACGGTTTCAAATACAGGCGCCGACAGAGAGGGGTTGCTCAATCCGCCACAAGGATTGGAGTTCTCTATCAGTGCACCCAGTTGCACCACCAGTGAGGCAAAAATCTTCTTTGCAGATAGATAAACTTTGCTCATGAACTCTCAAGATTCTGCAATGCCTATCACTCAGGGTACCGTAGCTACAGTTGATACGTTCTCTGTTCCCAGCGAGCTCTTCGATAACATGAGGTCCATATCGCCTGTCTCATCTATTTTGAGATACATTGATTCCCCTGAGCTAGAAGCCGATCGGGATGCCATTGAACGGGCCTTTAAAACTGCATCCGATGAGTGCTTACGTGCTGATCATGTACCGTCCCCATGCATGCGCCTACCATCATTGAGTCACCAGGGGTCTTCGGAGAAACTTTCATACGCGGATCCATACCTAGCAACAGTTCAACCTCGCCTTCGACAAGATCAAAGCCGAAGTCGACCCTGCGAACGGTGCATTGAGCAAGGCCTATCGGTAAGCTAGCTTCCGTCACTCCAAAGTGAGAACCGACTAAGAGAGCATAGTGTAGCCCAAGCCTACCCTGCCAGCAGTGCGATGAAGCTGAAATTCCCTGTTCAAACTGTTTGAGGCCTGTTTCTGCCGTAAATATTTACCCACATAATCACGGACACGCAGACCTACAACGCAGATCTACACATCCTCTTCAATTGTCTCCTACCCAACTCGAGCGCCTTGGTTCGCAGATGTGCGGAACTGATGTGTCTCCCAGGTCGCAGTCAGGAAGATCAGTGGGCTCGGCTAGAACGTCTCGGTCAGGCGTGTCGACAACTTACAGTGCACGTTATAGCATCAAGCTAAATCGGCGCTTCTCAGCTACCAATCGCCGCCATTCTGAAGTTGAGATTCAACCAGCAAAAAAAATAAAGCCCATTCCCCCCACATCGATCTCAAGAATGAAAAGAAGCACGTCTACACCGGCTACGTCCAAGCCAAGAAATATGCCCTCCAATTCAAGTGCGGTCAATGTGACACGGTTATCTTTGACAACTCCAAATTCACAGTCCGTGCGAATGAATGACGAAAATGCAAATTTCTCCCGGCCCTCCGTCTCCTCCACCAATTTGACTCGGGATCCAAAGCCATCAGATCGGAAGCCGGGAATAAAGTACGACGGACGGGCGAATTACTTCATGTGCCCTGATGGAAATTGCTGGGAGATCTTTGACGACTTGGAAGAAGTGAAAGTTCATGTAAGGAACAACCACTTTCGAAGCTATTGCACCTTTTGCCGACATGCATTTGCCAATATGAATGATTGGCGCAGCCATGAAAATCAACATGCTGTAAAAAAGTTTGGGAAAGGGCATGGTGGCCTTCTCTGGCTTTGTGGAATCTGTTCTATTTTTGGTTTAGCTGAACACCGTAGATATCAACATATCCAGCAACATTGGAAAGATGGACAAAGGATGGATGCTCGGGCTGGCGATCCCAAAATGTTGCCACTCTCAAAGGAGAATTTTAAAGCCTTGGAAAATATGGAAGGCGATCTATTTGAGCTGAATGCAGAATATCTACTTTCTAAGTTTGGAGATCCCTGGAGCTCTCCTGGGGAAGATCGAGATCATAGTATTACTTTACCAGGCCAGCGGCCTTATCTGTCATCGAGCCCAAAGTACGTCTTTACCTAGCCTCTTTTCCCTATACCTCGAGATAGTTGACTAATTACGGAGCTAGGGTTAGAGTACCTTCGCGGCATCCGGCAAGTACACCTTTAGAGACGTTGATGTCACGGCCTATATTACATGGACTCTTTGCATCACTGAGACGCAGGCTCCCAATGTTCCGAACAAGGGAGAAATGAGCATACCTGGAGATGGACCATGTTTGCGAACAAAGTTGGGTTTACGTTGAAAATTCCCGGTGACGAGGTTCTTGGTTTACATGTACCTTATCCCTTCCTTCTTTTCCAAGACTATTCCACAGCTCCACTTCCGTAGAATAGTAGCGAATCAATAGCAACGATCAAAGAAGGAGCCTAACCACAGCCATAGTTTCGACTTGGTTATTCAATTCTCCTCTTTCCCTTCACTTACCTATAAGAATCCCCTTGATTCTACTCGCCAAAGATATGTTCTAGTCCATAGGCAAACACCTACTGTTTATAAACTTTACCCCCGCCATTCATGAATGGCGGGGTGTATGTATGGCACCCCTAGTTTATAAACTATACCTGCCATTTGTGAACAGCGCCACTAATAAACAGGTCGGGAATAAGGCCCTGATTTTAACCGTACAACACCTCTGCTCAGCACCTCAGTACCTCAGCACTCCAGCACCTCAGTCTTAGATTCCAGAGACCTAAAGTGCTTAGAGTTTTGAGGTTTAGTGATGTAGTAGCGTGCTATGCCTTGTTGCTGTACTGAGGTGCTGGAGTGCTGGAGTGCTGAGGTGCTGTTCCCGACTGGCACCTCGCCATTCATAAACTCTTGCGCTAAACACAAGTGTTTATGTATGGCTAGTCCATTCACAAACTAGGGGCGCCATACATAAACCCTCCGCCATTCATGAATGGCGGGGGGTCAGTTCATAAACAGCAGGTGTTCACGTATGGACTAGAACAGATATAAAAGAGCGAGCATTCCAGTCGAAAGCATCCGCCAGTGCTGCACTGAGCAGTCCCCTCTAAACAAGAAAGAGGTCAACCTGAGCGACATAGTAAGTAGCTTGAGATGCCTACGTAGGAGTCCGGGATTACAATGGAGGTCAAGAGAAGATATGATGAAGAAAAATATGAACGGACGACAGTGGATACAGTTGACAACAATAGTGATATTTTTCTCGACTGGTAATCATTTCACTGAAGATGGTGGGTAGATCGAACCGAAAAATCCTCCTAGTTGAGAAGGAAAGTGGACGTAGAGATAGAACCCGGAGATGTCCTGCCATTTCGTGAAGTTTGCAGATGGATTTGTCTGAACCAAGATCTTTCAGAGAGGAGGCAGATTTATATATCTTTCCTTGCCCCTCCACTCCGGAAACATGGATACCTAGCCTATTTCTGTGCCTCATGACTTTCGTAGAGTGAATAAAAATCATAGCAAAATGTTGACTCAACCACCAAGATACTAAGTACAAGGCTGGCCTCAAATTCTGACTCCTCAGTGAATTCAAGAACCACCTTCTTGTCTTTCAACATCTCACTATTGCTCGCAAACCAAATCTCCGGCCTCAACTATATAACGCGCTGCTACGTCTAACACAAGACCCAAACAGTGAAGGCTCTCCAAGATCATCCTTGGACCAAGAAGTACGGCCACCGAACAGAGGTGTCGGCCACGTTCCATGTGGGAAGTGCGTGTGAGAATTTATGTTTTCTCCAGTTCGCTTTGTTAGAAAGAATATCTTCTTGTTCTTGTGAGGACCCGAGTATTGCTAAACATTAAGAAGTACAAGACTTTTGATAAGAGGGTAAAATAGTAGTTAATAGATACGTGACAAAGGACAACAGCAAGTCCTCACCAGCAAATTAAAATGCCACAATAAAACATGTAGCTTGAAGGACGAATCGAAATCCAAAACAATCAAGTCAGCAAACAGAAAGGGAATTTCGGGAAACTCATTCCATCAAACGGATTCTCAGGACTCTTTTCGAATCTTGGATATGTATTCTAGCAAATACTGTGAGGGGAGATCTGGTTCATATACCCCACCGCCACTTTATCCTACAATTATTTTCTTACTCTCAAGCCTCATGAAGCTTCAAGTGAATGAAATCCCGAACTAAAGAAGTGAATAGCAGTCGAAACTACGAGTCCACCCAAATCCTCCCTTCGCCGTACTCCTCCACTTCTATAAATAGCCACTCACTCCAGGAAAAACCAGGAGCTGTACACGCAGATAACGACGCTGTTGAGACACATAACAAAATTTTACACAGACATGGTTGTGAAAGCTCCGGGATCTGTGAGCAAAACTACCACGGCGAGAGCGTTTATGCGTTTCACAAGCAAGTAATGAACCAAGGCGACGACCAGTAGCAAGTTGACGACAACAACAAAATTGACAACAAAACCTCTCTTTTCATTCCACCAAGCCCCACGAAACCTGCTCAAAGCCCGGAACTTAAGCCTAAAACCGAAGACAAAGCCAATCCCGTAACACAAAAGGCAATGTAGAGAGACGGGTACATGCACGACGGTGCAACCCAAATACTTGCATACAAAGTTTGACAAGAAGGGATGGTTTATATACCCCACCCCACTCCATCCTACTACGCTCTTTGTTTCTCAAGTTTCATCAATCGAGTGAATCGAAATCAAAGCAAAGAAGAAACTCAGGTGATTAGTAGCTAGCAAACTGCCAAACTCCTCTCCTCGCTCTCCTCCACTTCTATAAAAACCTTCCCTCTCCCCGAGAAAGAGATCTCCACACGACAATTCAGCAATAAAGTCTCGCACGACATGGAATTCTGTGTGAGCATCACCGAAGCAGAAGTGGATCTGCGGAAGCGAAAGTAGATTGTTCTGGGGCAAGCTGGAACTTGTGATACATAAGCAGATGTAAGAGAACCACAAACGGGACGAGACAGGGACGAGACATTGGAAAGAAGCGAATAACAGCCACCCCAACAACAATGACAAAAATGTTGACAACAAACTCTCCCCTTTTCCATTTCCAATGACCGCTACTCACCCTTCCCAGCTCCAATGGCTATCAAAGCCAAAGTCTAACAGCAACCCAATGAAGAAAGGTTACAGTACGTGGTCACGCTCTCTGGGTACCTCTTCTTTGCCTTCTTTTGTGGATGATTTAAAGAAAGGAAGGCGGTGAGGGGGGTATTTATATATCATTCTGCCGTCAAAAAATTCACTTTAATAAACTCACAAGATCTTTCTTTTTTGGTGGGTTTGTGGATTCACCTACTTCTGGTTTTGGGTATGGTGTTATATACCCCTCCCCTACGGGAGCAACGGCTCGTTATAGAACGACTTAAAGTCGATAAAACACTCGTTGTTTTAGCCGAGAACTCATTATTTTGGTCGATAAATAACAAGTACTACTTATTAAATATTAACAAAATTACTAACAATTCAAAGTCGTTAATGCTATATAAAAATCTGGCACTTAAGAGAACGAGTTTTTGGGTAAATAACGAGTACAAGCTTATTCTAGAATGCACTAAATATTTACTACTCAAATATGCCACTATGCCCAAATTTTACTCACTTGCCCTCCTCTTAAATATGCCACCATTCCCAACTCTCAGCACTCAGCACTCCAGCATATCCACCTATTCTACCACCCTCTTCATATGAATCGTTCGTACTCGCTATGCTCTAGCCCTAAAAAAATGAATTAGATAAGGCATCCAAAAAAAAGCTGATATACGTACCTGCAGAAAGTCCAGGAGTCCATAAATCTAGTGCTAGGAGAGAGTGCCAGGAGAGAATGCCAGGAGTCCAATATTAAAATTTAGAGCAATACAATTAGTTATAGTGATGGATACAACTTATCATAATAATATAATGCAACTAATAATGCAGTGCAGCTGATAATACAAGATAATTAATAAATACAATACAACTAATAATAGTAAAAAAAATAAAATAAAAAATAAAACTTCTAAAGTAAAAAAGCCACATCACAGAAGTAAAAGTAGGAATCGCGCCGCCAAAAGAGCACAAAGCATATAAACAACCTCGATTCAACCAGTAGGAGACGCATCTAAGCCACTATCCGAGCTCTTAAGGTCTCCACTCCACTGCAAAACCTGCACTACACATACAATTAGTCCTTTCATAATTTCTCACTCCTTTACCTTGAGTAGGAAGCTATCATAAAGTGCAATGCAGTACAGTACTAAAAGTGCAAGTGCATCACTCACTACTACTCAAAATGAAGATATACTCTAAGATTATAACAGCAGTGAGATTATAACAGCAGTGAGATCATAACAGCAGTGAGATCATAACAGCAGTGAGAGCAGTAAAAGCAGTGAAAATAGTGAGATTTCAAATTAATGAGCATATGTCCATAAATATCGAGTGCAGTGAAGTGATCTAGTGTTTTTGCAGTTTTTCTAGGCATTAATTAACGATATCACTCATTAATTAACTAGAACTACTCGTTATTTAGCGTACCAAGTCGTTCTATAACGAGCCGTTGCTCCTGTAGGGCTCCTCCCTCTACTTCCCTCGCCAGGCCGTTGCAATTCACTTTTCGATCACAAAACCCAAGGACAAGTCGGCTATTGGTGAAGACATTGCATTCACTCCTCCTCCTCCCCCATCCTATCCTACCCCTTTTCTTTTTCTTTTCCCATCACTATTCCCCTTTTCACTTCTTTCTCCTTTCCCCATCTATCTACACATCGCAAAGATCCCAAGCTCCCCCACAACATTTTTTTATGTGTGTGTATGCACCCTATCCCACCTAACGCCCTGAACTCAAAGAGAAAACAAAAATGCCAGCCGCTCACTACCTATAGTACATAAATTCCGGAAATAGACAAACAAACAAAAAAAAGGACACACTAGCATCGAACGGGTATCTTCAACACCACATCGCACCAAAATCCTTACACCTTCTTTTCTTTCCCTTCCCTTTCCTTCCCATCACCACCATTATGATTCCTAGCGAATCCTCTTCCCATCAACCCACCTCCTCCTCTCCTGCTCCCGCACCCTAATCTCCCTCTCCCTCTCCCGCTCCGCCAACACCCTCCTCTCCTCAAAAGCCCTCTTCTCCTCCTCACTCAGACTAAACGCCTTCTTCAACCACCCCAACGCGCTCCTCTTCTTCTTGACCTTCTTGCCTGTCTCCGCATCCGTCATCATCGTCATATCGCTCATAACGCTCATCCCCATCGCGGACGGGGCTCCGCGGCGATTGCCGAGTTGTGAAGGCGTGTGTGCGTGGTAGTTGCCGCGTTGGGATAGGTTTGAGGTTGAGGAGTTGCTGTGCATGTGTAGGGGATTCGATGGGCCGGCTGTCCATGGGCGTTGGAGCGGCGAGTTGGGGGATGCTTGAACGGGGCGGAAGAATTGCTTGTCTGATAAAGGGCTTGGGATTGGATTTTGGTGGAAGGGACGGGAGGTATTGGAGTGTGTTTGGTAGAGAGGGATGTTGGGTGGTGGGGCGGCTGAAGGGGAGGATGTCTTTTCGAAGTCGGAACAGTAGGCTGAGTCGAGGCCTCGTGATGGAGGGGTATTTAGGGAGGTTTCGCGAGGTCGGTGGTCTATGGAAATTTCTCGTGGTCGTTCGTATCGTTCATTCATTGCACTCTCCCTCTGTCTTTTTTGTTGTTCATGAATTGAAATCTCTCTTGCTCTTTCCCTCGCCGCTGAGGACATAACCCGTTGTCTTGGACCCCAATAATCATCTTCAGGAGGTTCCACCTTGATCGGGACATCTGCTGGAGTTTCTTTTCGTTTCATCGAAAATCGTTTCCGTAGCGAGGATCGTTTAGTGAGTTCAGGGGGTGCTTCTTCTACCGCAGGAGGTTTCGGAGAAGGGGCAGGACTATACGTTCTTGGTTTGAGGATGAAATCCGGCTCTGGTGGTTCAACTTCAGATGAACTCTCCGATGGAGTTCGTTCACGATCCTGAACCAATTGGAAAGCGGGGAGGGTGGCTCGTATAGCAGGAGTAATAAGGTTCGGGTCGGACGGAAGATTCTTCAGCATGGATTGACGCATTTCTTTTGATTGGGGTGGGGAAGCTGGGGGTGAAGCGATTGGGATCGAAGTCGGGGTTGTAGAGAACTGCTTTTTGTCAACAATCGAAAATTATGGGAAGAAACGAAATATTCACCCTTGACTTCCTACTTATTTCCCCCGCTCGACGATCCATTTCTGCCACTATTGAACCCAGTTGTACCAATGCTACCCCAAGATGGTTCCCTTTCGTCTGTAGTGAAACGTAGGCTTTGTACCATCCTTCGACGTTGCCCTTCATAGCATCGAACACCTTTTGCATATCTGGTCTCTCCTTCATCCAAATAGCATTCTTCTCTTCCTCGGCGAGATATATCGTGAACTCTTTACACGCATCCAAACCCTGTTGTACATCCTTCAACGCATCGTTCATGGCCGTTGCTGTCCTTGTGATAACATGCTCGATCCGCTCATTCCCGCTGACGATCTGTAACCTGAAATTCCGATCCTCGAGCATGGCATCGAATATAATAATATTCTCCAACGGCAGCTTCAAAAACTTCAACCGCTCCTCAATATCCTCCTGCGCCAAATCGAAATCCTCCAACGTCGTCTCCAAAAACTCATCTACCTCATCCACATGTCCCTGCAAAATATTCATAACCTGATCGTCGTCTTTCGCCATACCCTTCATCAGCAGATATACGCCGAACGAGATCTGCGCCATCAATTTCCATAGCTCGTGGTACTGCTGCCCGGGCCGTTGTTTCCACCTCCCAGCGTGCGTCTCCTCACTCGTCTCTTGATCTAGCAACAACTTCCTCCTCGCAGCCGCATTGCCCGGTCGATTCTTGGGCACATTCGGCGTCGTGGCTTCATTGGCTTCCAGCATCGACTCCGCGAAGGCTTCCTGCATAGACGGGATCGGATGAAGAGGCACCTGAACCTCCTTCATGGTATCAACCCTATTCTGCCCCATTTCTTCTGCCTTGTCCTCCTCGTGTTCTTCGTATCCCCTCGACTTCTCGTTCCTGGGCGTCGTGGAGCGGCTGCTCGACGATGTGGCCGCGGGCTTGAAGACGGACGGTGGGAGGTACAACTCGAGATCGAGGTCGGCAGCCGGCTGGAGGAAGATCGGGAGGCCAATATCGTCGTCGTTGTCGTCTTCTGTGTCCGAGGACGAGAAGTGACTGGTATTCATGACGGTTGTTGCGGTGGTGGTGGTGGTGGTGGTGCTGGTGGACAACGCCATGACTGCAGCAGCAGTAGCATGTGCAGATGCACTTATGCACGAATACGGGATTGGGGAGTGGGTGTCACTACATCGGCGGTCGAGCCTGGCATTGGTTGGCTATTGTGACGCAGGAGGGTTGCTGAAGGCGGCACGGACGGGGTGTTTTTCTCTTGGTGTTTTCTGTTCTCTTCTTTTTGCTTGCGTAGGTATGTTGTCTTGTTGTAGGATGGAGGGGAGAATAGAGACGGTGGTTTGGTACGAGAGATGGGATCCTGTCCTTCTCGTCAGAGCGATGGGAGTCAATGGGACTAGGACTAGGACGGTACGGCAAGGTAGGGAGCCTGTTGCGATCTGTCGAGCTCGCACGGCCAGATGCAGATGCAGGTGAACGAACAGTCCTCGTCGTGGTGGGAGAAAAGTGGTTACAGTCAGGAGGAATGCTCTCCTATGGTTGGGGGACGATTGGCAGTCTGCTTCTCCACTCGAGCACCGTGCTGGGCAGCTAGGTAACCTTACAGGACTTACGAGTTAGTCCAGGAACGCCGCACACTGAAATCTTCTAGCAGTACTTCGTACCTGACGGTTTCCCAGCGCAGCATAGCACGAGGCTGTAGCTTCCTAGCTTGAGCTCTTGGGGGTTCGTCCGCTGTTATTTCAAGACACAGCTCCGTGCGGGATCGCCCGTTCTGGATTTGCCCACCTTGCTTGGACCACCCGGCGAAGGGAGAGCGAGAGAGAGAGAAAAAATTATGCAATCCGTTCAATTGGGATTGAATTTTCGGTGCACCGACAGTCTTTTCTTTCAGGGGGATATACAGGCAGATATATGCATCGATGGGAGGGTCATCTTTCTACAGAGATGCCATCGGGTAATCATTTACAGTACAGTTTACGCAAAGAGGGGCAGCTCTCCTTGGTGGTGTCCCCGATGCAGAAGAAATCAATAAATAATTCTTGGTCGCATGGCACACCGATCACCATTAGCGCAACTAACATCGGATGGGATGGCTTGCTGGGCGTACAGTAGCATGGCCTGGATAAATTTTCCACGGGTCGGACGCCTTCAGGGGCTGCTCATTGGGCTGAGTGTTTCCAATTGCAAGACCAAATTGATTGCTCATTTTTGACTGCAATAAACCATAAACGCTCGGAAAGCCACCCACGCAGACTCACACCATCTGTCACTGCTGTCACTTGCTGTCAAGAGTCAAGACCCTTCCCGTGCCAATGCCAACATCGACGGGTCTGGACATCATTTCTCCAGCGGAGAGAATGACTCTGGCAATCTCACCCAAGGCCCAATAATGCGGAAAATCCGAAATTCAACGAGATGAATCATCTCCAAACTATTGCTTGTTGTCTCTCATTCATGTCCGCGTAACCGTCGTGATTTGATCATATCCATGTGCCATTCATTTGCCCTCCTCGGCCCAGTCCAGTGCCAGTCCAGTGCCCATCCCAGTGTGTCGAATCCGGGGCTGAGCACTGATAAGGATACCAAGCTGGCCCACCTTACCTATAACTGCAAGTGATATGGCACCTTATGCGGGGATCTCTGCAACTGTTCGATAGATGGCGCATATGGGCGTCAAGACAGGCTTCACGACCCAATCGATCTGACAAAGGGGAAATGTGTCGTTCTGTGGCGGACGTTGGTGCAATTAATTTCGGCACGCGGGCCTGGAGAGGAGAAGGCTGGTTTCAAGGTTCGCAGCCTCGTGCTGTCCCGTGGAAACGAAACATCGGGCTGTGTTTGGAGAATACGTAGGCCGCGATGGCTTCAGACTATCGTCGTGAGATACGAAGATACGAAGTTGATGCGTCGGATCAGCGTGTCTGCAGAACCTCAAACTTGGCCCTGTTGGATGGACGAGCAATTCCTAGCATGGTGGGAATCCGGCTGACCACCAAGCCGACGATCTTCCACTTTCACAGGATGCCATTCAGTAGATATGAGGTTGCTCGGTGGCACAATCATGAATGGAAATAAATGGCCTCCTGATCGACCTGGTATGGGACTTTCTTCACTGGATGCGAAAGGGACCTTCTTCTCCTATTCTACTGATATTCTGGACCTTGCCTCGAACCTCGGTTTATCCCAATTTCGAATCCGCAGTATCAACGAAGATGTTCATATGCCTTTGTAAGTCCGAAGAGTCTACTGGAAGAATGTTGTCTGAGTGAAATTGTATCTGCCATATTTGACCGAATTCGGTACTGTGAGGATGACTGCAGTTCGGCGAGCCATATTGTTCTTCTTTTCTTCTTGGCAGACTGGATTGCGTGGATGAAGGACTACCAGCCAGAATTGGCCGAGATCCTGATACCAGATAACTGAGAATATGTTCGGGGAAAGTACAAAGAATCTGCCAGAAAACACACAAGCTCTGGTCAAGTCGTAATTAGAAACCAGAAATCTCCGTTGGGGTTTGGCCTTTGGTATCAAATTAGACGGTGCACCACCGGTGTCCAGGAAAGCTGCAAAGGGTTGCTGAAGGTCGGCTGGAAAGACTACCTATGACCTAGTGCTTGAATGGTGGTTCAATCTAGAAGAATTCCAATTGCCCCGCTATGGTAGAGAAAGCTGTACTCATAGTAGGCTCATAGTAGCCACCAAGACGAGAAACGCTAGTAAGGTAGTGTCGCACACCACATAAAAGTAACCCCAGACACGTTCTTCCCTGGAACTCCATAAGTGCAATATAAATTCGGATGATTTCTTCAGGAGTTGCCGCGTTTGAAAATGTTCTCGAAGGTTTCGCCCATCTTCTTGCCGACATGGAGATGCGTGCTTATCGACGCAAACTCGTCTCAAGTTGCACCAAGTGAAGATAGTGCCCGAAACGAGATACCAAAATGGGTTGGCTTTGCACTGGACCCTTTATGCATCGCACCTCTCACAATTGCATAATCCAGCCTTGTGCTACGTTCAATCAGCTGAACGACGCCATATTCAAAAGCAAACGAAAAGAATGTCATTACCATCTTCCATCTCTTTCGTCTTGTCTCCCTTACCCAACAATTACCAGTCGAGATCGTAACATCAAATCCCTTATCCGGCACTCAAAACACGATCTTCATCTTCCACTCTATCGTGCATCAAATCTCGTGCGTTCCACCCCAATTCGGAACCAAGACCGACACCAGACCAGGATACCAACTCTTCGACCACCACACCAGTCTGGCAGGTGGGAACATCGACGACGACAATTGTGGTCCAACGATCTCTTCTCATGCAAATACAAGCTTTCCATCTGTTGTGTAGAAGAAACAATTGCTCAAATATCTCCTCTGTCCGTCGTAGATCAGTGAGGATCTCGAGGCTGAACGGAGACCGTAGCTGGAATACGGACCACGACTTTCGTTAACACGCGTTTGGCTGATCAGGGAGATGGCGAAATGGAGATACAACAGATTTGAGGCCTTTCAGTTCGGTAACGACCTATGGGATCCAAGTCATCGATTCGAGACTTCCTGGTTGCTGCGACCATGGGTTCTGTTTGGTGTTAGAGCATTGATTGTACGTTTCCTCCACGCAGAATATACTCAACATATGTACTAACATCTGAACAGTCTCTGTACGCCTTTACCGTCACATTCTTTATCATCGGCTGGGAGGCTACAGACCATGACGGAAACACTATTCACGATGTCCGCAAATCATTCTCGTTCTTCACAGGTATATCCTCATACCAAACACCTTCTTCCCACAAATACTAACCCTCCCAGTCCTCTGCTACTGGGGAATCTGCTTCTACTTTCTCGTCGCCGCCCTCCACACCTTCACCTACGCCCTCAACGGCGGCACCCCCCTCCTAAACCGCCTCCCTCGACCCCTCCAAGCCCTCCACTACCTCTTCTGGTCCACAATAACCACCTTCCCCTTCCTCGTCACCATCGTCTACTGGGCAATTCTCTTCTCCTCCTTCGCCACCACCTTCGCCCTCTGGTCCAACATCTCCCAACACGCCCTCAACTCCGCCTTTGGCCTCTTCGAAATAATCTTCACGCGCATCAACCCCGCGCCTTGGATCCACCTCCTCTGGCTCATCGTCTTGCTCGCGCTCTATTGCGGACTTGCATACACGACTGTCGCAACGAAACATTACTACGTCTACTCGTTCCTGAATCCGAATCCACCGAACGATGTCCTTGACTCGAATGGCAAGAAAACAAACATTGGAGGTGTAGGGAAGGGGGCGGTTGTCGGATACGTGTTTGGGATCGCGGTAGCGATTGTAATTATTTTTTGCTTAAGTAGATTGTTGGTTTGGGGACGGAAATGGCTGACCGAGAAGAGGTTGGGGATGAGGGGGAAGTTTTATGCTGGGAGGGAGATGGGGATGGGGGATGTGGAGTTGGAGGTTCAGAGGGCGTGGGAGAAGTAGGGGTGTTCGAGGAGTTTATTGTGTTGGGAAAGTTTAATACCCTGTTGCGATTGGAGTTGAGAGCTTACAATGCATGGTTTTTGATTTCTTCTTTTAAGGACTTTTGCTGCCCTGATTGTCTGGACCAATATCGTATACCTTAGATAGTGTCAAGTGTTTCCACGATCCCAGACATTCTCTTACCTAGATGTCGAATTAGCTTGAGTGAGCAGACACTATGTTAAGTGTGCACACAACTTCAAACATTCTCCTACCCGGGTATCCTGAATCAGCTTGAGTAAGCTTACATTATGTTAAGTGTGTACATAGTCTCAGACATTCATTTACCTAAATGTTAACAAGTAACTCGAGTGAGCTTCCATTATATCAAGTGCGTCCATAATCTCAGATATCCTCTTACTTAAATGTTAAGAAATAAAATAAAGACTTTGAACCGTGCTAAGTGTGTTCACAATCTTAGACATTCTTTTACCCAAATGTCCCCAAACAACTCTAAAGAATTTGCAGCATTTACCTTTTCCAAATTCTTACTTTAATTACCCAACAATAATCTAAACACCAACTTTCTTGTCCATTGTCAACTACAATGCTACTATTTGCTCTGTACTATTGTCAATATATCACAACACTCACACACTAGTAAAACAAGTTCATTGTAGTGAACATCATTACGGCAGAATCGTTTGACTTGAAGCAAGATATATAAATACCCCCCTCACCGCCTTCCTTTCTCTGGATCCGCAGAAGAAGGCAGAGAAGAAGAAGAAGCTAGAGAGCGTCTCCCTGACCACATGAGCTGAGTGCTAGCTTGTGTGGATTTCTTGTTTTGGGTGGGAAGTGCATGTCGTGCTATTTGTTTGCGTGGCGTTGGCGTGCTGCTTTGTCGATGTACTGTTATAAGTTTTTTTGCTGTCAAGACTTTTGCTCTTGTCGTGGGGTTTGTTGTTGTTAAGTAGTAGATAATTGTTGATGAATATTACCACCGCCGTCGCTCAGATGAACAGATAGTTCTTCTTGCTAATCTTTCTTTGCCGTTAAACTTCCATCTGTTGCCAATTCCTTTCGTACGCTATAATCAAGCATTATCACTGTCGACATTCATTAATCCTCTTTAATACTGGACAGAAGGTTAAGTTTCATGAATGCAGCCTAAGCCCGGCCACTTGTTATGCACCAGAGTAACTCCTATGTAGAGGCTCCGGGCCACTCTCGGTGCTCAGTGTGTGTGGTCAAGAGGAGAGGAGGGTTCGTATTTATCGTTCTCACTAGCGTCCTTTGCTGAGTGAGGTCGAGCTGAAACATGATCTTTGAACGACTATAAGAAGTGAATTGATATTGCGAGTAGTTTTCGAATTCAATTTGTGATTTTTGAACGACTATGAAAAGTGAATTAATGTTGCGAATAGTTTTCGAATCTAATTTGTGAATATCTATATAAAAGCGTGTTTTTTTTTTCGACTTTGTAAACATTATTTACTAAGAAGTACCCGAAGTCCCGACCTATCGACCGATCACTTGTGTCTATGAGAGGCCGGGAGAAAAGTGTTAACTATTATTGTTTCATTTGTGAAACTTTCGCAGACTTTTAGTATATGATACTTTTTTCTATGTCACAATAGCGTCAACTGATTCAAGCTCAATTGTAAGCTTCTTTTGCTGTCAATTATTCATCTATTGTCAGCTTGACCCAACGGTTGTTATTGTCGACAAGTGCTAACCTGCTAAATACACATGCTTTTGAGCCACAGACTGTAAATAACATAGAGTCAACCACTTGTTGTGCGCCGCGAAGTGTCCCGGGAGTTGCTCTTAAATTCCAGATCTCGCGGCAGCATATTGGATGTGGTGTACAATAGATAGGAGAGAGGGAGAGGAAGGGCTGTATTTATCTGTTTTCACTAGCGTGCTTTGCTGACTGCAGGGAAGTGCTTGAGGTTGAGATTTGAGATTGAATGGTAAGGCTTGAATTGCGACTCTTGTGAATGACGCTAGCGTTGAGTATATATCATGCTACGATTCCTTGTTCCTTGGGAAATGTTGGTTCAAAAGAACACAAACTTTGTGATAGAGCATCTTTGTTTCAGATGTCGCAATATGTCAGCCTGATATGTCTTCTCACAAGCTGGACAAGTAAAGTAAGGGCTGATCATGCACTGGTATGAGAGATAGATGTCCCGTCCAATAACCAGATCATTGTTGTCAAGAAGTTCTGCAGTGTCAAGAAGTTGTGCATTGTCAAGAGACATTCTCACTGTCAAGAAAGTTTCCACTGCCAACATTTCTCTCTATCACAACAATATCCAAATCGCTTTGTCAGTGTCTCCTTGTTCCTAGATCTCTCGCGACATGTGGTCCAGAGAAGTACTCACCAAAGCAAATGTCTTCGTGCGAAGGGGACGCAGCCGCTTGACAAGAAGTGTCAGATCTGGAATACAGGCCACGACTTATACACAGTAGCGTGGTTCTCAGAGATCTCCTGCAATTTCCTGAGTCTGATTCACAGTTTACTGTCCGTGTGGTTTTGTTATCAAGTGCAGTGGAACATTCACTATATTGGAGTTTTGGTAGATTTGGACTCTTGGAAGGGTATATAAACTTAGGTTTACGTACGTAGAAAGCTTCAAACACAACGGACCTAGTCTTTCGCCTGATGCTGTTCTGTGGACAATATGAAGGAGGAACAGGTCCAGTCTTTCTTGCATAATTTGATACTTCTAGTTAAGAATAGAATTTCTCTTTTTCAATTTGAGGTCGAGTCATCCTTGTCAACAATTCTGCTGCTACCAACTCTATCACCACTTCCAGATGTTTTACTATTGTCAAAGTTGGAGTATAATTTAAGGGTAGTAATGAGTGGCGGTAGTATGGTACTTGTTTCTGATTGAGTGTCTATAGAGACTTCTAGAGATTTAAACCTATTGAATGTCGAATATTGATGCTGATACATGAAATGATGATTTGTTTGAACCCGCTTAGACGACGACCTTGGGTGAAGCAAGATACATCTGAGACTACTAGCTACCCAAAGCAAGCTGCATCTATGGAATTCAACACAACACATGGTTTAGACAGCGAATCAAACCAGCACGTCGTAATCTTCACATCTCGCTCATGCCAAACTCGTTCTAAAAATGTCCTTGTAGCCTCCTGCACAACTGGGGTGAATTGATCAACATATTCATCGACATTTTTCAGTGCCTTGAGACGTGCGCTAGGATCTCGAATCTCAATAGCTGCAGCTATAAATGGCATTGTCACACATCGAATCGACTGCTTCGTAAACTTGCGAGCAAGTTCAAGCTCCATCATGATCTCTTTCGACCAAGTGTCGGCCTGGCGGTCTTGTTGCCCAAATACATATCGTAATCGATGGCTGATGAGCAGTCCCGCTAAGCGGTAGACTTTTGCTTGAGCGAGGAGATTGACAACTTCTGCCGCTTCAAACTTATCGACCAAGTCCCCATGCGATGGCTGCCATTCTTCAATAGCTTGGTGGATTCCATCTAATTGTTTCTGGATGTGAACCGAGTAGCTTGTGTCAGCGCTACTCCTTAATGTGTGGCTGATAACACAGAGATCATAATAGTATGGTAGCAGAGGTACACAGAGGCCAAGGTGGCGGTCGACACTCTCGAGCGTCTGTACCTGGATTCTCAGCGTTGGCCTGCGGCGATGAACCACGCAGTCCATGATCTCTAGCAGCACAAGAAAACTCTGCCACGAATCCATTTCTGTATCTGATCCTGCGGTCTTGATGAATGAACTGGTTGTACTGAGGCAGTAATGACAGATGTCCGCCATGCCTACACCGACGGCTGAGTACACGTATAATGCCAACACTGTTCCCAATGTGAGACACAGATTCGCGTCCTGGAAGGTCGCAACAGGGAGTGACATCAACGTTGTCATAGCAGATGATGCATAGCGGAGACCGATCTCTTTATCCACTTCCGTTACATTGCTGGGTTGTGATAGCTTGAGTGCACCAGCATATGCGAGATAGGCATCCTTGAGTACGGGTAAAGCAGCAGGTAGAGGGGCCATGAGTGAGCGCTGCTCGGCAGCTTGGAAGCTAGAGCCTACTACATAGCAATCGAGAGTTTCCGGCCGCCCAAGGAGGAATGTCAAGAGTTCTTTCTCCTTTTGATTAAGGTCGGATACACTCTGTAACCACATAGCAATATTAACTGCATCAGCTGCTGCATTGCTGGATTGACATGATGGCGTGGTCCTAAGAAGTGATTGCTTTCGATGCTGTGGTCTTCGCCCCGCTCTTTTTACTGGACGGACGGTTGAGCAGATAATATCTAATCTCTGGCATCTCTTACACTCAATCGTAATGGAGGTACGTGTACATCGCTCTTTGAGCTCATAGCATCGATCGCATGCTGTTCTAACCTTCCGGCTCTGGCCCCTCGATGTTGCCATTCGGTGTTTGGAGATATAGAGGCCTGTAAGGTGGGGGAAAACGTGCAGGAGTGTTGCTCACTACGTTCTGTATATGATATATGGAAACACCTGGCCAATGATACGAGCTGTGGAAAACGAATACATAGTCGATGAAAACTGTGTACTCATGGTCCTGCAGCAATGTGGAAGGAAGTACACCGGCTAATCGTCGGCTTCGCTTGCATGGCCGACTTTTATGTCAAAGCGCATCTCATCTCTTTTCCACCAAGTCTCGATGCTCGAAACAAGAGTCAGTGTTGCTAGTCATGCACTTTGATAGTTCTTTGACGGGTAAGCGCCGGCTTCAGCCTCAGTGCACGCGCTCATGGTGATTGTAACAAGCCGGAAGTATGATTGGTCAGGGTAGACCGGGAGGTTGACCGGAAGGTTGACCGGGTCTCTTTGTTCCGGCCTGGTCAGTAAGTATGTCACTTCGAATACCTTCAACAGTATGGCTAATGGTGGAGACCAAGTCAGATATTGTGGACACATTGACTGAAGCTAGATTCCAAAGGCGCCCATGATCAGAACCGGGACATTTATGATGGGGAGTCATGCAGACAGGAACCGGGACTTTCGGATTGGGTTGCATGAACCGACATTCCTCAACATTTTCCATGTCGTTATCGACAAGTGAAGTCGACGAGGTCCTTGGCCGAAAACATAAATAGGGCGTCCATTCTCACACAGAAAAATGCAAATATCTATTCTTCGAGTACTTCAGTTTGCGATAAATCACAATGGCGCCAATTCTCAAGGATTTTCGAATTCTTGCTGCCGAGAAACAGCTGCAACGGAGCAACAGTATTCCCAAAGACTGGCTTGTCTCATCGAACACCCTTCGCCATGCCACTAATCTATTGGAAGTACCCATCACTTGCGACATCTTGGGCGAGATTGAGTGCGAGATCACATCTAACTATGATGCTACTTCTCTGCTCCAAAAGCTCAATTCAGGGGTTTGGTCTGCTGAGCAAGTGACTGTCGCCTTTTGTAAAAGGGCCGCTATTGCTCAGCAACTGGTAAGTTAGCCAACTCACCCTTTTGATCAAATTCATTAAGCACGATACTGATACTGGGGCAGGTTAACTGCCTGACCGAAATCTTCTTTGACAAGGCGATCGAGCGTGCCCGTCAACTTGACAGAAAACGACAAGCGACCCCAAGTAAAGCCCTCCCACCTCTCTGGGGACTGCCCATCTCCCTCAAAGACAGCTTCCAAGTCTTGGGAACGGACACATCGACGGGACTTGGCTGTTATGTGAATGAACCCGCAGAGGAAAACAGTGCTCTCGCCGCCCTGCTGCTTGATCTGGGCGCAGTTCTCTACTGCAAGACCAATCTCCCTCAGTCAATCATGACCGCTGACAGTGACAATAACATCTTCGGTCGAACTTTGAATCCTCGGAACACAGCCCTGACTGCAGGTGGAAGCACTGGGGGCGAAGGTGCTCTTATCGCTCTTCGAGGGAGTCTGCTTGGGGTCGGCACTGATATCTGCGGAAGCGTTCGTGTCCCATCGGTCTGCAATGGACTCTACGGATTCAGAGCCAGCGTAGGACTAGTCCCACACGGCGGTGTGCGAGATCTTAACGTGCCAGGAACAGACGGTGTGCGATCGACGGCTGGACCTTTGGCTACCTCGATTCGGGACTGCTCCCTCTTCCTCAAATCGATCATGCAGGCCAAGACCTGGAAGTACGACAAAACGGCAGTGTCCCTTTCGTGGCAGAATCTTCACGTCAATGAAAGGCTCCGTATCGGCTTGGTTGAAGACGATGGCATGTACACACCTTCGCCTCCAGTTCGTCGAGGTCTGAAAGCGGCGGCGGGGCTTCTTCGAAGAAGTGGTCATGTTGAAATTGTCCCTCTTGTCTTACCTGATGTTAAAGAACACTATGAAGACCAATTGCGCTACTGCTCGCTGTCCGGAAGTGATGTGGGTAAAGAAATCCTAGGTTACAATCCTTAAACTGACGTAAACGACTCCTAGTACTACATTGAACAGTTCGCCCGAACAGGAGAGCCAATCGTGCCATCCCTAGAAGCAATTGGTCTGTTAACGATGAAAGGTACGAGCCTTCAAGGGTTCTTTGACTTAAACGTACGCCGCGCAGCCGCCGCAAAACAATACCTTAACCTGTTCCGCGACAACAATCTCGATGCAATTCTGATGCCTCCGGCACCTCACACAGCCGTACCTCTAGATACGTGGACAACAGCAACGTATACCGCGTTGTGGAACTTTCTCGATTATCCCGCCGTTGTGATTCCGGTGGGCAAGGTGCAAGAATCAGACGTATCAGACGATGTGAGCAACGCAAAGTATGGGGTTGAAGATGCCAAGGTCTACAGTCTTTGTATGCATAAATTTATTCCACTTTTCGTTCGGATGATTGCAACTGACATTTCTACCATTTAGATACTGGCCCAGAACTCTACAAAGATGCCCCAATTTGTGTTCAGGTGGTTGGATACAGGCATGCAGACGAGACTCTTGCAAATACGGCAAGGTTGTTGGATTCGATCATCAATGGCACCAGATTGTAAGAATGAGGACTTGTGGAATTTTGGTAACGAGATTGATGGGATGCATGGTACACTTTGATGAATCCATTGAAAGTCTGCTAAGATCCAACATTGAAAATAAGCGTCAAAGTGTGGTGGCACTTCGCACACAACCATCAATCACAGAGCTCTCTCCTTGCCGCAGCGGCGCAACTCAACTCCAATTTTCCCCTGCACTTGAGTTCTGCATGCCACTCGTTCGTATCGGCGGCACAATTCCACCCGCCTCATTGGGAGACGATTTGAGCTTCTTCATTGGCGCTGGACTTGCATAAATGTTGGCTATATGGAAACACTTGCGCGGTCGGCAGTCATATTTATGTCTAGCAAGTTCCCATGATCAGAGCCTGAAGAAATCAATGGGCCATTTACAAATTGGAACGTTAGTCCATTCGATATAATCATCAATATAGACCTCTGTCCTTGACTCTTAGTAGATCTCGAAGACAAGAGTCAGAGTGAGATTGAGTTATGTTAGACACCTAGTTTCCGCCTTCCCCACGCTCACTCGGAACCGTCTCGTTGATCTCACTTACTTCGTCCTGCAGAGCTGGTATTCACCTTGAAACCCCCAACGGTCTCTCGTTTGGTGTCGAACTATAATGTATGTGTTTTACTTCTACTGCGATCACTCGAGGAGGAATGACAGATTGATCAAATAAGGTGCATTACCCACATTCGAATTTCCAAGGCCAATTCTGAGAGAAGTTGATCACAATTGCTAGACCATCAATGACTCTTCCTGACTCAACAGACAGAGTTTCATGTCCCAAATTTCATTATAAAAGGCATCCTTATTTCTCTGGTGTCCAATCATCTTTCCTGAGCTGGCTACTTCCTCGCCTCCTTATCTTAAACGATTTCAACTAAGAGACTGAAGTATCTATCACCAGGAAGACTAGATGAGAATGTATCGTTCAAGAAGCACAACTCCTCCACAAACCAAAATGAAAGATACAGAAGAGCTGCTGTTGAAAGGTTTAAGTCCTGATCAACCTCGACACCTTCATCTCCATCAAATCCGTGAGTAGTTGACTGTAAATCTCTCATTTGGTAGCTAACAACAAAACTACGTCACAGCGTCCTGGCAGCGGTAAGCTTCACTAAACCTTCAATATGGAAGCTAAACAAGGACGTCAGAGGAAACAAGCACATTCTTTCTGGATATCGGTACGTCCTCTTCGCTTTCCTTCGTCCAAAAAATCCGTCTGACTACGTCAGAACAATCTCTCCATCCGTGGCCGACTCGCTTTGCACTATTTCCCAATGGCACAACGAAACCAGTATCTCCTCTCCCTTCTGGCAAATTACATCCGACTAACATTTCAAAGTCAACATCTTCACCCACCTTCTCGGCTCCGTCCTCTTCCTCTTGGCACCCTTCTACTTTTACACTTATCACTATATCTCATCACCAAACTCGCAACCCATTGACATCCTGCTCTTTACCACCTACTCTTTTGGAGTGTCGGCCTGTTTCGGATTCTCAACAAGTTATCACTTGGTCCGAAATCACAGTGCTGCTTACGCGAAGTTCTTCAATGAGTTGGATCACTTGGGTATTATCCTCTTGATGTGGACTGCCAGCTTACCGTCTATCTACTACGGACTTATCTGTGATCCCTTTCTTCAAGCGCTCTACTGGATCCTTGTACGTCCCTTTCCTTTCTATATTCTGGGTCTAACAAAACTGAAGATGACGGCCTTGGCCGCTGCGTGCACTGCAGCTACGTTATCGCCCAATTTTGCTTTCCCGGTCTGGAGAACAGCATTATATGCCACGTTAGGGATGTCATCTCTCGTCTTCGTCACCCATGGGGTACTACTCTATGGGCTTGAGATTCAGACTCAACGCATGGCCTTGAAGTTCATGGGCTGGATGGCGGTATTAAATTTCACTGGAGCGGCCATCTACGTGATTAGAGTATGGAAAATTCTTTAAGCCAGCGGCTCGACAATGCAAAGCTAATAGGACGAAACAGTTCCCAGAGAGATGGCATCCATATAGATTCGACTTCATCGGAGCAAGTCATCAGATCTTTCATGTCTTGATTGTGTCTGCTGCATTGGTGCATTTTTGGGGATTGTTGGGGAGCTTCGAGCACATCCGTGGGGTAGAGAATTTTTGCGGAGCTTGATAATGACGGTTGGAGTTAGAAAGCATTGCATTATGGGACGTAACGATGGAGTCGGAATGGTCAGAAACGATAGAGAAGATATTCACAACCCCAAAAGAATAGACTCCGTTGATACCACAGTCTTTCCATTCTAGTTCCACTATCACGACTATAGCTTCGGGATTAAAGTTTTTAGATCTGATGTTTTGGAGCACCAGGAGGGGTAAATCCTGGTACTGCAGAGAAGAAACTTGTTAGTGCTTTACCCCGCTTCTGTATCAATGTACCTTCCAAACTTCTATCTTGGGTCAAGGAAATAATGTTGAACGAGAAGCAGTAACAAGGAGATCGGCTGGCACAATATTCTTAGAGAACGAAGTCTTTCATATTTGTTTTCTTGTGTTTATATTCGGGGTATTGTGCCCCGAGTGTCCAAGATCGTCGATTTATTGGCCCACTATTCCAATGGGTAGTCGATTTAAGCGAGGTGCATATCTCAACCTCACGACTCCACCTCTTCTACGTACATCTTTCTCGGAAGTTCAGATATTCTTTATTACTTCAACAAAGTTACCAGGTCGAGGCTTTCTTATGCCTCTTCTCATATCTTTCCCTAGGACTGAATCACCTCTTTTCCTTACTTCTCCCAGCCCATTATGCCAGTCGTTGAACGTGACCTGACCTACTTTGTCCTCCCACCCTCACACTCGTCTCTTACACCGGGATCCGAACTTGACTCGTTTGTTCTCATCTCTGGACCCAAAACTCGCTTCCCAGGCTTTGAATGGAAGCTCGAGTTTCCGTTCCCAAATGCATACCGGATTCTGTTGACTGGTCCGGACCGCCCACGTCCACCGCACGACAATGTCAATGCCCCCGCAAAGTTTTGCAGCTTCAAACTTCTATCTCTTGACAAGGAAAATTGCCATGCCGTCTTCGCCTTCCTTTCTCCGCCATCTGGGACCAAGCTCCAGCTCATGCTATCCTGGAGTTACCAAATCTTCTCCGAAGTATGGGAAGTAGGAGAAAGCGAGGGTGATGACCGCCTCATACTCTCCGACTTGTCTGCGAGATCATATGCGTTGACTGAACACGGAGTGATACGGCACTGGAAATTCGATCGGACACGCCTTCACCTGGGTCTTGGGGAGAAAGCGGCGCCCATCGACTTGACGGGCCGCAGTTTTACCCTTCATGCGACGGATGCAGCATATTACGATGCTTACCGCACAGATCCACTCTACAAGCACACCCCTTTCCTGATCTCTACCCCACGACTGAATGAAGATGGCCAACAGGATCTCACTTATGCTTTATTCCATGCAACAAACAGCATCGCAACCTGGGATGTGGGGGCCGAGATTGATTATCCCAGTGGAGGCTTGAGCAAACGATTTGTTCAGGACTGGGGAGGACTGGAAGAGTGGGTTATGGTTGGAAAGGGGGTTGAGGGGGTGGTGAAAACATTTGCAGAGATGACCGGCAAGCCTAGATTGGTAGGACGAGACTGGTTCGGATACCTAGGTGGGTCGTCCCAGCATTCCACAATCGTGGCAGGATAATGAACAAGCACTAATCATTATTCTCTTATCTACCTATAGGATCAACTATGCTATTATCAGACAAGGAAAATGCCCAAGAGCTGCTCGAAGAGTGGCCCAAGATGTGCCGCAAGCACGATATTCCCTGTTCTGCCATGCACGTAAGTTTCACCCGAAGCAGCTGTACTCATGAAGGGAAGCTCACAATTAGCCTCTGTCTAGTTGTCTTCTGGGTACACCGCGGACGAGGACAGCAATAATCGCTGGGTATTTCACATGAACAAGAGGCGATACCCAGATTTCAAGCAGATGACTAAAGTTCTCCACGAGGCCGGAATGAAGCTTGTCCCCAATGTTAAGCCCTGTGAGTTGAAGTTTTTACAGACCATGCCTCTGTGCATCTGCTCCGAAACACTTCTAACGTCAGATTTAGATATGCTGCTCTCTCATCCAGCCTACAAACGGCTCAAAGAAAGCGACGGTCTTTTTTACGACCCCATTTTCAAGGGGCCTTCTCAGCAGAACCTTTGGTCTTCAGGCGAGGGTGTGAGCGGTGATGGCAGTTGGGTGGATCTTACCGCTTCTGCAGCGAGAAAATGGTGGTCCCAGGGTGTGCAGAGCTTGATTGACCTAGGTGTTGATGGCATGTGGGAGTGAGTATTGTACAGGACTTCGGAAATGAAAGGAAAATGCAAAATCAGAGTCGTTGCTGACAGAATGGTCGTATGTAGTGACAATTCGGAGTACTTCACCCGAGACGACGAGCTATTGTTCGCCAATGAATTTGACCACAACCGCGAGGTCATGCTTGAAGGTAAGGTGAAGACGGGTCTAATGGGTAGAATTACGGCGAATGAGATGATGAATAAAGTTAGGTAAGTCACATCAACTCCAAACCGCTGTGACAATACCATTTCAAGCCAACCTACTAACATAATGGTCTAGCCACGAGACACTACAAGCTGCAAATCCTGAACGACGCACCTTCATCCTGACCCGTTCTGGAAATCCTGCTGCATTCAAGTACGCCTGTTCGACCTGGTCAGGCGATAATCTAACAAGCTGGCACAATATGCGGGGCTCGCAGCACATCCAGCTCAACTCAGCCATGTCGCTCATGCAGAACACGGGGGCTGATGTTGGCGGGTTTGGCGGCGATACCCCTACGCCAGAATTGTTTACCCGCTGGGTTCAGCTCGGGGTCACGCATTCTAGGTTTTGCATTCACTCTGGATCGTATGATACACACGGGAACGAGAAGCTCAGTACGCCGTGGATGGTGAGTATTGTATTTTGCTACATCCGTATATTATCAGCGAGAGCATAATATTTCCCTTGATGAAGAGCTGATTGCTTTCCAGTACCCCGAGATGCTACCTATCATTAGGGAGCACATCAAGTGGCGATATCTCGTTCTCCCTTTCTTGTAAGTTTTATAACCCTTTACGCTATCTTGTCTTTTAGGTCCGAAGCTCGAATGGCTAAGGTCTCATTTCGAACAGAAACAACCTCATGTGGCAATCTCACCTCCACGCAGTCCCACCAAACGCACCCCTATTCTACGGTCCATTCTCCACCGATCCGGTACTCTACACCGACCGGATCCTCGAGGGATTCGACGCATGGATGGGTGTTGGACAGATTCTCACCGCGCCCCAGCTATTTGAGGGAGGTCTGACTCGTGATGTATATTTCCCGAAAGCGTCTCTTGATGATAAGAGTCTGTATTTTGATCTGCACGCACCATTTGGCAAACACAGGGCTGGTGAGTGGACGACTGTTGCCACGCCGATCGAGCACGGTGGCATGCTTGCGAGAGAAGGGGCTATGATCCCCATTGGGAAAGACAAGGCAACCGTTACAGCGGTCTCGGGTCCAGCGAGGACGCATAGCGATGGTGTTGACTTGATTTTTGAGAGCGACGGAGGGCAGGTCGATTTGGACGATTGGAGAGGGTTGATGCTCTTCCCTGGGCGTAAAGGCAAGTTGTATACCGGTGAGTGGATTGAAGACGATGGGATATCCGCCATACCGGGGACTTGCACGTTCAGTGTTTCGTACTGCGGTACAGAAGACTCGGTGGAGGTCAATGTTAGCGTGGAAGAGAATCGGTTCAAGCCACTGTGGGAGGGCAAACTCCATATTGTTCTTCCATTTGGAGATAATCGAGTGGTACCGAAGGCCAAGCAAACGACGTGGAAAGGAAGAGATGTTTGGGCGCTCGACTTACCTCACGTATAAAAGCTCGGCTCTTTCATAGCAATGTGGAATAGCCTCTTCCCGTGGACGTCTCCATGAAGGATGACCTGTCTACCAATTTCGTAGTCTTGAAATGTGAATGTACATCTTTGCTTCAACCAGGAAAATATGCTCGAGATTGGGTATCCATTAATTTCACAACTAACTCCTAGCTTCAATCCACCATCCCAAAATCCATCTCCAACGCACCTATGGCTTCTCTTCCCCCAAAACAATACGACCATTCTCCACAGCTTCAAAAGGCCAAGGAAACAACTCACGAGCCACATGCAAAATCACGGCTCCAAGCCAAAACCAAACACCAAGAGCCAGGACAACAGCACAAACAAGATAAATAATAACCTTGGCCCACCCCTCGACGCCATTGTTGACTTCCTCGACCTTTGTCCCAATGTCCTTCAAGCTACTCACATCTCCCGGTTCCACGTCCTCGCACCAAAACGTCCAACCCTTCATCTCGTCGAACGCAAAACATTGATTCGTAGAATTGGTATCCACACTTCCAAATTTATCCGGCTTCCCTTGACATGATCGATCCTGATACAACGCTACAAGAGCCGGTTTGCCATTCGGACAAATACCTGGGCTCTGTATCCCGAACGGTGAGTTAAGAGCGGTACAGATACCGGGCACATAGTACTTGACCGTCGTTTCCATATTCTTATTACATGAGAAAGCGCTGTAGCGATACCGTGTATTGAGGCCTATAGTTTGTACTCTATTGGCACAACCTGAGACACATTCTGGTGCATGTGCGTTTATCTGAAAATCTGGCAGCGGTTTAGCCTTGCCAAAGTCCGACGCTATCACTGGTGCTGGTCTCGCGGGTGCTGAGGAAGGTCGCCCAACAAGGAATCCCGTTTGAGTAGCCTGTGCCTTGAGTTTCGCTTCCAATTGCTCACCAGTACTGATACGTTGAGCCCCAAGTGATGGAGGCCGAGGTGGTGACATGACACGTAACGAACGTTGGATCTTGACACCCTCACAATAGAATGCCCAGCTTTGTACTCCTTCGAAAGACAAACATTTGTTCATCGTGTTAAATTGGACATTCAAAAATCGATCTGGCTCTCCGCTACAAAAGTCATCTTTGTACAATGCCAGAGCGGCCCGTGTTCCATTTTCGCATACGGCAGGTTGCGAGATTGTGAAGGTGCGCAGAGCGACGCCACGATCTTTGGGTGCACATGTATCTGGCTGTAATGGCTTATAGCCATGCGACAGGAACTTCGGCGTGGAGCCTCCAGCTGAGCATGCTTGCTCGCCAAAAGTACCCCATTTCAATGCGCTCTTCTTCGGAGGAACAAGCTTGATGCCTTCGCACCAGAAAGCCACACTGCGAATTTTGTCTTTGTCTGCCGATGCACTCGATGACAGGCATTTGTCAACGCCAATGTCCGCATCGTGAATATCGATTAGGCCATACTTCTGTGAGAGGTGGCCGCCATTACAATTCGCGGTCTCGAACCTCGCCCACTGCGCTCTTTTTCCATTCGGGCAGACTGCTTCTCTCTTGATCGTGATGTTGTGGCCATTCATTGGGATGCAGCTGTCCACATTAACCATGGATCTACTGGGCCTGATACGGCGATGAGTACGCTCAAATGCACACAATGATAGTATCCCTTCATATACTTGGGTGGGCTGTCGACTTGCTGGTGGAACGGCTACTTCATGCTTGTCTGCGCCTTGAACTGTGCTTGTCTCCGACCCACAACGGAAGATCAAGGACCAGTATTTTGGCGCTATGCCTCCCCAGAGACAGTAGTCTGGAATAGGCTTTGTTGTGCTTTCGAATTGTGGTGATCCAACGCATCCGCGGGCGCGATAATAGCTCATCGTCGGTGTTGACCCGTCCTTGCAAAGAGGAGCTTCCGAAATCAGCATGTTATGATTTAGGTAGTAATCTCCTGATAGGCAGACATCTGTCTCCAGAGTGATCGTGTTAAACTCGGACTCTTTGCACCCAAAGCTGAAGGAATAGCGCATCGCGAGAGGAGACGGTGGGAATAGCTTGATCGTTGCATCGCGGCCACTGGTCGAAACATCCTTCGGAGAATCTGATTTGACTTCGTTTGAGATCACTGTCGCTGGACGAGAATGCAACATCGGTCGCTGAGCAGGCACTGTCAGGCCATCTCCCTGGCTGAGGCGCCTCGCGACGACGAGACTGCAGAGCGCAAGAACCAGCAGTTGTAGCTGGACGAACGAACAAAACATTATGGCAACGCTGAACAACAAACAAGATGGAAACGATTGACTTGGGCGCTCAGCCTAATGGCTGAAGAGGGGAAGAGAAGACTTTCGCTGTGGGAATTATCGTGAGGTCGTGGTCATGCTGCATACGGACTGCGCCGCATTTTTCAAACAGAGCAGGGGATGGTGTTGCATGAATAAGGTTACGAGAACCAATGCATTGAAAGTTTTTGGCAGGCATCCTTGCGAGCAACTTTGCTGTTATGAAACGCCCTCAAAATATTCCCTCGAGCACATTGCTGAGGAAAGGAAGGAACTTCGAGGTTTCGCGTCGTTCAAAGGGAGGAGCAAGGAGCGATGGACGGTTAGTGTCTTCACGTGACTTCGGACGACGGCAAAATCGGGAGCGGCAGTCCTTGCTATCACATCCTCTGCACTGTTCTCTTCTCTTCTTTTATCTCCCATCAAAGGGGTTCGAAAGGGATGGCTCATACCTACTGCCTCGTGCAACCAAAGGCGAGCACAACTTCTGAGGTTCGAACTTTGAAATTTTGTCCGTCAGAGTTTGTCCGCGATGAATTTCGTGTAGACATCTGGTATGTGACGCGGACTTCAGATATTCAAAGACTTTTCAGATTGCTCACTATAGCTTAGGACAATATGATCATACGACCATAGTTCGCTCATGGTCTGAAGAGGTCATGAATACCCATTCCTCACTGACGATTCGCAGTCCAAGACAACGAAACGAGATCCCAATGACTTTTGTCATATATACACATTCGGCCAAGCGGATGCCTCCGCTTAGAAGTTATATACATCATACTCTCGCCAGGCTCATTATTCTACTCATCCCATAGCACAGCACTCAAGCCATCGTCATTTTCTGCGTGCCCTGCAACTCCAATCCTCATACTGGCTATTTGAGGTCCGAGCGCACCCGTCGCCACATCTCTCTTGACAACTACCACGTTTGCAGTCGTTTGATCTCCAATTACAACCATATCACCCGCCTTGTTGATCTGGAATGTTCGAGGATAGGTTCCTCCGGATGTTGTAATTGCTTGGAAGGTCATCGTTCCAGATGTGTCCAAGGAGAATGCAGCCATGGAATCATTTGGCGAAAACGAGAGATCTCGTCGGTTTGAAGCATAGAGGGAGTTATCCTTCACGCGTACCTCACCAACTTTTGTTCCAGATGGCGCAGCTTTTCCTCCCGGCATAGTCGTTATTGTTTGGAATTTTGTCAATGTCAGACATCCACCATCCGGGTACGATACCGTGAAGGCATGCACTGAGTTCGCAAGTTCGTTTCCTACATACAAGACGTTCTTTCCCCAGAATGTAGCGTGACGAGGGCCAGTGCCCGGTGTGTCAGTGTACGGAGTACAAGCTATGAGCTTTCCAGTGCTGGCGTCGATTCTATAGATCCTGATCAAGTCTGCTCCAAGATCTGGTGCCAAGATGAACTGTTCTGTGGGATCGACAATCGTTTCGTGAGGATGTGGAGCATCTTGTCTGGAATTGGGCCCTCTCGCACTCATAGTCAAGCTGAAAGTTTGGAGCGCTGACCCTGAAAGGGGCAACTTGTGAGTGCTGATTATCGAAGTTTGACTGCAGAATATATCAGCACAGACTTGACTCCATTGGAGATTTCTCACTAATGAGCGCTTGCAAGATAATTGCCTCCTCCATATTGCACATTTGCTACAGCTCCCAGTGGAGCTGAAGCCTTTCCAGATTGTTTCAATCCACCATTGGTAGCGGCTGCGACAGACCAAACTGAAGCACTACCAGAACCTGTCTCATCGGCAACATACAATGTTCTGTCTGTTGAGTTGAAAGTCATCCAACTCGGCTGGCCCCCGAGCGTCACTGTACTGTTTTGCGTCAAGGTCGACCCGGTCAAAGTCAGAGTGTACACCACACCAGTGTAATGAGAGACGAAAATGTTCGCCGCAGAGCCAGTCTGCACCAGTGCGGATAGTAATCCTAAACCCAACGCGTGGAACAACATGATGAGAGGTGTCTGGCGATCTGGGACAACGATTTCTTGAGTCTAAATACGCCTCTGCCAAGAAGAAACTTTCTACAGGCTGCACTCCTACTTATCAGTAAGGTCAATCTGGCTTACAGGTACAAAATCAATGTCAAACGGAAGTATTCACCCAGGGTAATCAATTCCAAGAGGGGCCTGCCGGATCATCGATTGACCCAGGTGACCCATGGATCGGAGGTTATATCAGCCTCAAAAGAATTTTCCGCTCGTGTAGAACACGAAGCAGTGCTCCTACCCGCTCTAAACCGCTGTCATCTCCACATTTTTATCTCGGGGACCCCACACTTTCCCCAAAATCATCACGCAGTCTGTTGAAAACTTCTCGCAAAAAGAAGTTGTCGTATAGCAGCCGGAGAATAATATGTCTGATATTGATCGACGCGAGACCACTACTGGGATGCGATTGAATGGGACGTTCCGGAAACAACGTTTGAGGTAGGGGACCTCCGTGGTTACGATCGGATGAATACAACGTCACACAAAGATCTGATAGTATCTAGGTCCTAGAAGGCGGAGGGATGGAACTCGTGACCCTAGCACTCGTCATACGTTTTATTACCCATATTTCACTCGGATCATAAATTTCATGTGCTCCCACTCAAGAAATTGGATGAATTCGAAATGATTGAGGCAAAGTTCGCCACAACCCAATATACACCATCCACGCACGGTAGGTACTTCGGTATGGTACTGGATAATGAGGTCTAGATGGCTCTGCCAAGCAAGTGCAATCCTTTTCTGGATTCCTCCCCGTTCTTATCCGTCTGATGTGGGAGGCAATCATCCCATCTTTGTCGGGAGCGGATGTATACTGTCGTATTTCGTTTCTCATATCTTGAGCATGTTCGTTCCTGCTCCGGCGTGGTGGCTATCTTTTCTTCTCGTGGAATTTCTTTAGTCTTCGAAGTTTTAGGTCGACGTAATCACTATTTTTGTGGATATGTTGAGCACAACTCTATGGGCGTTGCTGCTCTCAGCAGGCGCTGATGCTATTCTTGATCGAAGAACAGCGGTCGGCGACTGCTTGACCTCTGCCAGCGTTCCACAAGTCTTACCTGGATCTCCGGCTTATAACTTGACAATCAAGCCATTCAACCTCAGAATTCCATTCACTCCTGCAGCAGTTGTCCAGCCTACGACTGTTGCTCAGGTTCAAGCTGCTGTGTCCTGTGGTGCCAAACTCAACATTCCCGTTAGTCCCAAGGGTGGCGGACACTCATACGCCTCCCATGGACTCGGTGGAGAAGATGGACATCTCGTGGTTGATATGAAGTACTTCACGAGCGTAGAAGTTGACAGCACGACTCAAATCGCATCAATTGGGACAGGAGCAAGACTCGGCAACATCGCACAGTCTTTGTATTCTCAAGGACAGCGGGCTTTCAGTCATGGAACTTGTCCAGGGTAGACTACCCCATGTTTTCCCAATTGACGCTTTAGCTAACTTCTTAGTGTTGGTGTAGCTGGCCATGTAGTTGGAGGCGGCTATGGATACATCTCGCACACCCATGGTCTCGCTCTTGACAACCTCGTTTCAGCGACTGTGGTTCTAGCAAACTCGACAATTGTTAACGCATCGACTACCGAGAACTCCGATTTATTTTGGGCAATCCGAGGAGCTGGTGCTTCATTTGGAATTATCACCGAATACAGATTCCAGACTTTCGCGGCACCAAATAGTAACACAGTATTCTCGTACACGATAAACCCCTCGTCAGCTTCCCAAGCCGCCAAGATCCATTCTGCTCTCCAATCATATGCCAACAGCACCAGCATGCCAGCTGAGATGAACATGCGACTATTCATTTCTCCAGGCTCCTTTAACCTGGAAGGTATATATTACGGTTCCCAATCCGCTTTCCAGTCAGCAGTGTCGCCGCTCTTGAGCCAATTGGGCATCGGCTACGGTCAAGTCCAGACCATGGGTTGGATCGCGGGATTGAGCAACTTTGCGTACATGTCGCTGTCAACTCCCATCGATTATGATATAGTATGTTGCCTCTGCTCTGAATCACAATCCAAAGCTAACTAATACTCTCTCTAGCATGAAACTTTCGTAGGTGCATCAAAAAACAAGGATTAGCTATCGTTGCTAACAATACTGGTTTAGTTCTCGAAGAGCTTGATGACGGTGGATTTGACCGATGCAGCATTTACCGCGTTCTGGAATTATTGGTCCAGCACAGCTCGTGGCGTCAACCGGGTCTGTCTTCTCTCCTTTCTCTTTCGTTTCCTCCTTGCTGACATAAGCTAGGATTGGTATCTCATCATCGATCTTCACGGCGGCCCCACCTCTGCTATCTCAAAGGTCCCCGACAATGCTACTTCCTACGCACACCGCAATGCCTTGCTAAAGTATGAGTTCTACGATCGTGTCGACTCCGGAAGCTACCCGTCCAACGGATTCTCGTTCTTGAACGGATGGGTGAGCTCCATCCTGAATGCTAGTAAGTACTCCCTTTACTTCCCTTCCCATTTCACTTGCTGTGAGGCAAAGCTAACCGAACAAAAACAGTGCCAACGACCAACTTCGGCATGTACATCAACTACGCCGACACCTCGTTGACAATGGCGCAAGCACACTCTTCATACTGGCTGACGCACTACCCAATGCTGTCGCAGATCAAGAAGGCTTATGATCCCAAACAAGTGTTTTCCAACCCTCAGGCCATCACATCTTCTTAAGCGAGGGGTAATGATTTTGGGAGAGCTATTGAAGGAAGGAGATACATAATTAGCTGCAAAGATTGTATGAATGGGTAGCAAATATAAACCAATAACGTTCTTTAATTAAGTACATAGTCTCTTGGTTGTCCCTAGCGATGAATTTACACACTGCGGATGAGTCACGTGGTTGGAAGGGTTTGGTGGGAGCACCCAGATAGCTTCAATGTACCTAGCTACTTGGTCTTGAGTCAATCGCTCTTTAACACTCAAACCTCCTTCGCCAGCGTCATGAATTTAGTTCCGAGTTCTCATTGCTGTTCAACCCAAAACGCCTTGCTTGCTCTCCGTCGACTTCCAACCATCAATCGCTCCGGATCCCCTCAAGACTTATTTAGATCCAACTGGTCACCTGCTTCCAGTCCCCACTACTGTTCGTGCTATCATTGGCCGGTACTTCTTCAATAGCATTGAAAGGCTCCTCACTCCGCTCCTGCTTGTATGCCGAATCGCGGATGGTCGACAACTGATAAGGTCGCCTTACTGAAACGTATCGATGTTGATGCTGAGTTGGTGTAATGGGTTTGGATCCAGTATCGAAAAGGGAAGTGGCGTCCTCGCCTGAAAGTCGAAGTTCTGAAGCATATGTGCCTGTGAAGGGGAAGCGAAAGACAGGAGCAACGACCTCTTCCATAGCCTTCATCTTTACTTCTGCTTCACGCTTAGTGGCAAGTGAATACTGTCGAGGAGACTGGGGAGGAGTTATAGGGTATGAAAGTGATCGATGTTTGTGGTGCGACTTTCTCGTCATGATTTAAGAGTGGACGGTTTGCAATTAAATTTGGAGAATTGAAGCTTTGATTTTTTCAATCCAAGGAACGAGGCAGAAAGAGTTATACTTATAGCTCTTTCGCTGATTGTTGTGTCTTCTCTACACGGCAGTTGTCCGACTTGTCATGAACATTCAGAGTACTTTCCCTTCATTCACCTTACCGTTTTACGAGATCCCGTTACCGGAGATACTTTGAACCCATTTCTTGAAAGGTGCTCCGAAAGTAGCGGGACCAAGAATCTGTTCACTGGGAACTTTTGCGGCATGTATAGGTCTTTTGCAAGAAAGCGCCAAGAAACAGACATGCAGTCATTTCTCGAAAGTACTGCTTACTTCCCCAATTTGAAAATTCCCGCTCAGCGGACTTAGGTCAAACCTTTCGCCTATCGTATGCGAGTCCAGAAATGCGGCATGCTATGGAGAAATCATGCCATGAGGAAGCTACGTTCAAGAAAGGCCGATGGGTACGGGACGGGATTGGCTTGACCACCTTCAGCTGCAGGAGTGTTTTGTGCCGTACTTTCGGAGATTATACTTTGATAACAGAAGTATTAAAGTTTCCACTTCTGCTCGGTGATCAACATGCTCTCACCTATTTTCTGTTTCAAGTTCATGGTCGAGGGCGCAAAACCGCCCTCTTCTGCGAACTAGCTTGGTGGCGCTGTATAGTCGTTGGTAATTGGCCAATGTGGTTCCAGAAGGTACGTGCATGAAAGTACGCTTACACAGCAGGACACTAGAACACTTCTGTACACCGAGGGCGTTCTCAACCGTGGAAGTCAGGATCATCGCTTACAAAAATGTTACTTACCCCACACTTTTGTCTGTTGTGCTGTCCAACTATTGATGGTTCAATTCTTCTGCATTGCGCAGAGTCATTCATCCCACTCCACACAGAGATCAAGCAAATCTACCGCAGCAAGATGGCAAATCACCAAGACGAACTTTGGAGCCCAGTAACGACTGATTATGATTTCTGGCAAACCAATGACGATTTCAGCACCTTCAGCAGTCAACAGGAAATCGGACGCGAGCCTACTCGTCGCACATCTTCGAATCAGATCAACAACTTCGAATCGACCAGAACATACTCTTGGAGCACAAACAATGCAAGTGTGCCTAGGACTGTGGAGGTTTTTTCGGCTCTCGATCTTGAAGCCCTTGGTTGCAACGACGCGGGTCTTGAACTTCAAACTCTGCTGCATCGAGATCTCACGGCTACAAACAATGAGGACATCGGCTCGGCCGCCCTTAGAGAAGCTCAATTTCGACCTCCTCCAGAAGAAGAACCCGAATACACCATACGTCGGGAAATTCTTAATGAGACGCCACGCTCCAACGCAGGTCCAACACCAGAGGAATGGGAAGCAAAGAAGCCCGAAATATACGCATTGTACGTTGAGCAGAGGTGGTCCTGCCGAGAAGTAATGGAAAAGATGGCGGATAGGGGATTTTATGCAACGTGGGTAGTGCTCTGATCCACTTCAAGAAACTTTGACTAATATAAGCAACGTATATAGGGTTCCAATGTACAAACGAAGATTCAGCAAATGGGACTGGCCAACCTACCGTACCAGATCCAAGGGATCTCGAGGCAATCCATCTATCCGGAGAGCGGGAAGAGCAACTCGAAAAACAACTTCAAACCTTTCACTAGCCCAGCATGACGAGCTTACTCATGTTGGCGTATGCAATACACTCGCTGCCTTTAAATCTCCTCCATCCAGCTTTGCGTACGTCAGCACGATCAACCCGAGGTTCATGCTCTTACCTGGGAGCGACGAGACGCTCAAGATCATTCTGCACGACGTCAAAAGACTGTACTCTCGAGAAATTTCTCAAGGGAACTGGAAAGTCACGAATCGTTGCGAAGTCGAAGAGGACGTTCACGACAATTTACTTGCCGGAATTGGAACTGCTCTCCGGAACCTTGAGTCATTAGGAGACGAGATCGGCTTCCTGGGTATCCGTAAAGCCTTCATGACTCTAGAAGGCGTAGTCTCTCGCTGTGGATTGTTCTCCCTCCCCGCCATTTGGGAATCGTTCCTGAGATTGATACTGAAGAAGCGCCCGGACATAGCACAGAGCTTCCTTACACAAGCTATTCAACTAGCCGTCAAATTCGGTCACGAGCAGCACCATGAATTTGTTCAGGTGCTTGTCAACCTTCAGAAGATTCAAAAGACTGCCCCAGAGCAGCTCCAGAAAGTCGTCTGCGAAGCGTACCGTAGCTGTATCGATCACCTGAAATCGATGCTCAGTGTTGATCATCTTACCACCCTTCAACTCTGGTCCGACTTCGTCGTATATCTGGACCGTAGCTCAGTCAATGAAGCCAAAGCCGCTGTCAAAGCTTTCCGAAAGCTGATTAAAAAGTCGGAAAAGGACAACGGAATAGACGATGACTACACCCTTGAATTACTCGGCTTGACCCTTTACCTGTTACAATCCACGCCTTCGATGGCTGATGAAGCCGAGATAGTCGCTCTCGATATGCTTGTTCGGGTCAATCGAAGGACTGAAAAGGGCGAGAAGTTGAAGGGGGCCTTGTTGATTACTTGGAAGGACCTAAAGCATACTCTAGGCGATTTTTGCCATGCTAAAGGGGAAGATAGCATGGCGATTACGCACCTAGAGGAATACCTCGAGCATGGAGTTGAGGATGATCGGGATATCATCGCACTGGAGAAATTGGAAGAGTGGCATACGCTGTTGGAAAATCACGAAAGAGCGAGCTATATGCGCCGGTGGCGAGAGACCAGTGTTCGCGAAATATCGCAGGAGGGCTACAAAATCCCACGCGAGAAGGAACCATCAAACGACGAAAGTGAATTCGAGGATGGAGATGGAGAGTCTGAGAACGCAGGCAGTAGCGAAGCGACTGTAGTAGACCAAGCTGAGACACGAGATAGCAAAGTTGGGGAGCGTGCTGACGTGGGCGAGGACGGGGAGGAAGAGGACGACGAGAATGTCCAAGTGGAAATGCAGCTTTTTCGGGAGCAGGAAGAGCATCGAGAACGAGCATTGGCTCTATTGCAGAAATAGCATGATCGATGACAGGAGAGCATGCAATTTTGCAAGTGTTTCAGGCGACAAGTGGCGTTTCTGCTGTGTTGAGTATGGCTGGTGTTTGAGGACGGGCATGTACCTTTAGACTTTCTATTCTGGTCATGCAATCTTTATGAAGATAAAACCAGCTCTACGAGTTGTTTTCTGCCTGTTGTGAAAATTGTCTTTTTCTTGCGCTCATGCCATTTACGCTTTTTGCGCTGACAGCGCTATCTGCGCGATTTGCGCGAGTCGCGCCCAACGCGCTTCATCCACTCTTGTAAACCAATTCGCTCTCGAGTTCAGCAAATGTGCAGTGTGCCAAGACGTGATCCGTCTAAGTCAATGAATGTCGCAACATGCACAATTGGCTCGATACTTCCCAGCTATGGTGATAAAATATCACTTGAAACAATGTTGAGATCCATGGGCGATTTTCCCTGCTTCTTCGGCAACAGATACTCGTTATATACAAAGGCTACATAGTTCGCTCTCAAGGTTGCTTACTCTTTTCATATGGCCCTGTGAAAAGCAGCTAGCCTCCTCAGACTCAAGAAAAGAAGACAATATGTACAATGCATCATTTTTAAATTTTTCGTAGGAACCGGGCCAAAGACTTAGGCAAACCCATCAACGACAAGGAAGGTCACATCATTGTTGAACGAGGCGGGTGCATCAAAAGTCTGAACCCCACCATTACTCGCAGCATACCCCACATTGGCATAGTGGCGGAAATAGCGAGTAGGATAACTCCAAGATCGAATCGAGTTGCCTTCACCACTGAGACCGGCTATTGGGCAGAATGTAGCATCTTCATGGAACTGCTTCGTGCCATCATTGGTGTTGAGTAAGAGCGCAAAGTTGTAGTGTCTGATGTAGCTGCCGGCAGTGTCCACGGACTCGAAAGAGTAGCAGGCACTATTAGCAAGACCCGCGACAACGATCCAGCTCGCTTGTTGTTGGAGAGCAGTGGTGCTGGACGAATTGACGACCTGGGTATTAACGGTAGTGCCGGTGTGGGCGATATACCGTGTCGTGTAACCCGGTGTAGTGACGTGGAAGGAGATCGATGAGCCGACGGTAAGGGCTGGACCGCTGGTTAGGGAAGTGGTAGCGTATCCGGCAGCTACAATGTTGGCTTGTACCGAGTTCTCGGTAGCGTCGGATGGGTAGCCAGAGGTCATTACTCCCTCGTAGAATGTACCTTGTGCGCCGTTGCTGTTGTCACCACCAATGCCGAGAATAATGGCGCCCTCTTTGCTCATCGGGTTATACCCAGACGCAGCTGGACGTACACCGCTGTAGTAAGTCGACAAGGCACCGGATGCAGAGTTGCCTGCACGGATGGCCCATTGATTTGGTTCTCCTTTGATAATTGCAGTGACGAACCGAGAGGTGATCGAAAGGTCAGCAGCGTTGTTAGTGACGCTCTCGCCAGAGAACAGGCCGTTCTCCATATCGGCCATAATCCAAGGGCCACTGCCAGCTCCAGTTCCCCAGGAAGTGCTTGTACCAAAGTAGATGGCTTCCATGTGACCGTTGCCCGTATCTTTATTACTGACCTCTGCATTGCCGTAATCGTAGCAACAGGCACCGTTGTAGTGAGTTCCATCAAGCACGGCGTACATGCCCTCAGATCCATCTCCTGTAGCAGTCCCACTGGCGGCATCGTTGCGATAGCCAGTGCCAGGCGACATAAAAACACCATAGGCCTTTTGACCGTTCAATGTGACAGGTGCACCAGTCGCACTGGCCAGGTTGTCGTAGCCATTGAGGTCAGGGCCACTGAAGCCCCCAGGAGGAGCTTGCGTTAGGTGATTACCCTTGCCGGATTGGTCGTAAATGATTGTAATGAGACATGTTGTGGAGGCGCAGAAGGTATCTTGTGCGGCTGCATTAGCGACTCCGCCGGCAGAGAGCGGAGTGATGTTAGTCGTGGTATTGTCGGAGCCACGTTTCACTTGGTAGAGCGAGCCGGAATATGCACTATACAAAGCGCGAGTGGTACTGTGTGCAGCGATACAAGGCGTACCTCCAGAAGAGTAGAGGTCACAGGGAGCCGCGATGACCGAGGCAACAAGGCCTAGAGCGAGTACGCAAGAACGTTCGAGGCGAGGGTGTGAGAGCATGTTTGATCACTTTTGGTGGTGCGGAATCGCCTGTAACACTTCTAAACCCATCGGATGTTATGCCTAGGTCTTTATACTACACGGCATTTAGCCTATCCTGTTCTCATCTCCATTGAATTTTTTGAATTGTCCGTTTCCGGGGTTGAAGGTGGCACGCGTTACGAATAAGGTGGGAATTTCCTCCAGTAACAAAGTGAACTTGGACACTGTGGAGCGCTGTCGCCCTAGTGCCGCGCGAATAGGGCTTCATAGCACATGTCAGGTGGAATAAAAGGCTCCGTCTAACAAGTAGTCTTCGGTAAATACTCTTAAGTGATCAGACTTATGCTGGAGGAATGACTTCTTTGTGTGCCTTTCCCCGCGGTGCAAGGGAAAAAATTGAGCGAGGTACGCACTCCTTCGTATAACCTAAGGTTATCCTTTCCCCGCGATCCCCATTGGACCGCATAGATCGTACCCCGCGCCCCGCATGAACCTAAAAAGAAGCGCTCCGGACCAGGTACCGAAAGGGAAGCTCGGCATATTATGATTTTCCGTATGACTGCGAGCTGTTTACTATTGATAAACAGCTTCTGTGGCTTCGATCTTCAACAAGTTTGCAGCGGCACTCCTCGGCTTTCCTTTCAGGGGCCATCTCGCTAAATCATTTTAGCGAGTCGGCTCAACTTCAATGGAATAGCCGAGGAGTATTCCCGAGACCATGATTCACTTAGCAAAAGATGGAGAATTTTGTTATATTTAGAGTGAGACTGTGCGAGTAGAAGGTGAAAAAATCCATGCGTGTTATGACTGTACTGGTGCAAACTCAAAACTTCCTTAACTTTCGTTACTTTTTACAAAGAATTTTTCACCTGAGCATCTGCTGAACCGAAGCTCAAAATCATCGCATACGGCATACTACCAACAAATAATAACTCCATTCAACACCAAATTAAACTCGAGGATCTTTTTGACACGTTGTGGATCGATAATTCCAGAACCCACGCAACTCAACGTATTCGTTCCTTCACATTCTATTTCCAAACTTTCAAGATTGCCAAACCATGCTGCATAAGTCAATTACTAATATCATCTGTATCTTGGAGGCTGCCTACATACTATTGAGATAATCAAATCTGAGCCCTCCTCACCACCCCAGGATCCATCACCACCACTATAGCTAGGACCGCTTTCGAGAACGATAATATCTGTGTCTCTGGTGTTCATCACACACGAAAGGGTAGTGGCCGTCGGGGCCACGCGTCCTGCATGTTTTAATTGTGCCTTCTTTCGTAGTATATTTGCCGCAACAGCGAAGAATTGTGAATTCTTTACGGCACTTTAGCTATTCCATATATTTATAACGCTCTATGTAGTATATCATAAAATGCTATTATATTGTTATAATTAGGATTTGTAATGAACAGCAGTATAGGTTATAATTCGAGTAATGTTGTAATAGAATAAGGACAAGGAATTGAAGAAGTATTTATATATCTAGGTCATATTTAAATTGTGTGAATCATGCAAGTTCATCATATTTAATGCGAATTATAATTTGATGGAGCAGAATTCTTTGTACCAAACTTTAAGTTTCTTTAAATCCTCGTTGTCACTTCTTTTAAACCGTGCTCTCTGCTTCGTAAACTCAGAATAAATCTAACTAAAATCATCAATCGCACATACCGTCCTACAAAGAGAAAATAATTCCAATTAATGCTAAGCTACTCAAGGTAAATCTGGGTGGAATATTGATGTAATGATAAAGATGTCGTGAAGTGAAAGATTGGAGACTCGCTGGAGAAGCAAAACGCATAAAAAATATTTTCCATTAGCGGCAAGATGCTAGTCACCTCTATCCGAGACAGCTCTATAATTCAAAGTTCCTAAAAAACATAATCATCCGAAACGCTCAAATGCTTCCATAAATGCTCTTCTCCGAACCCTCTCAACTAAGCCTCCAGATTTCAAGAATTCCACCAGCATTAAACATAACATCGACATGTGCAAATTCACATACTACTACTGCATCGATTGCAAAATCACTAAAAACGTTATAGAACTCTGCAAGGATCTCAAAAAGACCGCCGATTTGAACGGAAACGTATACGATTTGTCACGGTTCTGGAGTCACGTGCTCGCTAAGTACTCACGTGACCGCTCACCTGTATATATGCTCTGCCTTCCGGCGCTTCTTTCCTTCCTTTCCTCTTTACCTTTAGATTCTAAGAGATAGCCTAATCGATTCCTCGTCTACGTACTTGAGTCCAACTGTGCTGTCACACGATTACAGAGAATGTAAACATTTAGCGGTAGAACCGAAGAGAATCGCGGGTAGATAGACTAGATTTGAGCATGATTGCCACGTGAGTGCGCTTTACCAGTTTAAACATAAATATTAAGTAGTATCAAAAGCTTAAAGATATAAACACGGCAAACGTAAGCACCTGATCGTAGCATTTTTTGCGAGTCTCTAATTGGTCAGAATTGTGACAGACCAGATCAGGTTGAGATGCAAGAGGTGATCCATTCTTAGAATACTAAGGTGAAGAGCTGAGGACAGCTCTCAGGAGTGCTTATATACAGGATTCTGCCAGGCGGTGAGTTGTCACGTGATAGGACTGAAACCAGCACTGTGACAAGAATGTCCAGAAAAGTCATGTGAAGCGTAGAGTTATTGATTTATTAAAAATTATGTAATAAGTTAAATATATAATATACAAGCTTCACGGCCTCCTTACTTCTCTCTATTAAAGTTATTATTATAATATATATTAATTTCCAATTACACTATAATTACGCCGAGTGTTATATATTGTTACGGATTACCTGGGTCGCCTGGCTAATCGCCCGTCACCTGACCTAATCGCCTGCCTAATCGCCTGCGACAGAGGTCAGGCCGGGAATGGTGGCGTTCCCGAGCTCTAAGCCCGTTAGGGCGTAGCCTCTCACATGACATCCCTTTCCCCCTGGCATATATATACCTAGATCTTTTCCTTTGTCATTCTTTTTCTCTTCTCTACTTTTAGATTCTAAGAGATAGCCGAATCGATTCTTCGTCTACGTACTAAGCTTCCCACCGTGCTGTCACATATATTGTATTTATTAAAGCAAGCACGTATTGCGGCTTATATCTGGCACTAGGCTAGGGCCGTGGCCCGTGCGCTAGGAGAGATATCTCCCAACCTCAGCTTCTACCTTCCTAGTTCTTTAATTAATCTAATTGATTCAACTTGCCTACTTCCCTCCTATCGTGCTGCGCTTCCAAGTGGTTATTACATCCTAGGGATTCCCATTTCAATAGTATTCAAGCTTCTACGATCAATATTGAGGCTTAAAACTCGACCATTCCCAAATCCCATAGCCACTTGATCACCTCTCACATCATAACATTGTAGTTGGAAATCTGTGGGCAAAAGAAACACAGGCACTAGTCCATAATACACCCATTGATTTTCTCCCTGGACAGCTCTCAATGATTCAAAATCAGAGCTTTGCCCACTCGTAGAGATATTTTCATCAATCTTAATCTCACCGAGATTTGTTGCGAGGTTTCGGCCGTCTGTAGAGAATCGTAGGAACGAGACAGCGTCTGAAGTCTTGATTTCCCGCGATTTACGGAACTTGACATGACTCCTAAAAGTGCCACTAAGGAATTTTGAGACTTTCAAGGATTTGGTAACATCCCACAGCCTGATGGTCTCATCCAAAGACCCTGATGCGATCTGCTTGCCGTCTGGCGAGAAGGCGATAGCGCTGACCGGTGCCGAGTGGCTTGCAAGCGTTCGCTGGAGATCGCCGGTAGTAGCGTCCCATAGCTTGATAGTCTTATCTCCAGACCCTGACGCGATCTGTTTGCCGTCTGGCGAGAAGGCGACAGCGCTGACCCCATCCGAGTGGCCTGCAAGCGTCCGCTGGAGATCGCCGGTAATAGCGTCCCACAGCTTAATGGTCTTATCTTTAGACCCTGACGCGATCTGCTTGCCGTCTAGCGAGAAGGCGATAGCCCAGACCAAATCCGAGTTGTTTACAAGCGTCCGCTGGAGGTCGCCGGTAGTAGCGTCCCATAGCTTAATATCCCAAGACCCTGACGCAATCTGCTTGCCGTCTGGCGAGAAGGCGACAGCCCAGACATAGCCCGAGTGGCCTGCGAGCGTCTGCTGGAGGTCGCTAGTAATAGCGTCCCATAGCTTGATAGTCTCATCCCAAGACCCTGACGCGATCTGTTTGCCGTCTGGCGAGAAGGCGATAGCGCTGACCGGTTTCGAGTGGCTTGCAAGCGTTCGCTGGAGATCGCCGGTAATAGCGTCCCAGAGCTTAATAGTCTTGTCCTCAGACCCTGACGCGATCTGTTTGCCGTTTGGCGAGAAAGCAATATCCCAGACCAATTCCGAGTGGCCTGTAAGCGTCCTCTGGAGGTCGCCAGTAGTAGCGTCCCATAGCTTGATAGTCTTGTCCCCAGACCCTGACGCGATCTGCTTGCCGTCTGGCGAGAAGGCGACAGCGATAACTAAATCCGAGTGGCCTGCAAGCGTCCGCTGGAGATCGCCAGTAGTAGCGTCCCAGAGCTTAAAGGTTTTGTCCCCCCCTGACGCGATCTGTTTACCGTCTGGCGAGAAGGCGATAGCGCTGACCCCATCCGAGTGGCCTGCAAACGTTCGCTGGAGATCGCCGGTAGTAACGTCCCAGAGCTTAATGGTCTTGTCCTCAGACCCTGACGCGATCTGTTTGCCGTCTGGCGAGAAGGCGATATCCCAGACCAATTCCGAGTGGCCTGTAAGCGTCCTCTGGAGGTCGCCAGTAGTAGTGTCCCAAAGCTTAATGGTCTTATCCTCAGACCCTGACGCGATCTGCTTGCCGTCTGGCGAGAAGGCGACAGCCCAGACATAGCCCGAGTGGCCTGCAAGCGTCCGCTGGAGGTCGCCGGTAGTAGCGTCCCACAGCTTGATAGTCTTATCCCAAGACCCTGACGCGATCTGCTTGCCGTCTGGTGAGAAGGCGACAGCCCAGACATAGCCCGAGTGGCCTGTGAGCGTCTGAATTAAAGATGCCCACGCGTCTTCCACCTGAGGGAGCTTTCTTAACCATGTGGGAACCTTGTCTAAATTCCTCCTCCTTACGATGCTTGTTTGAGGGCTGAAAACTATAGCAGAACTATAGGCCTGTAACGGCCAAGTCGCTAGTGTCTGGTAGTGTCGTAATAAGAAACGTATAGCATCTTGCACAACTATTGATAGGAAAGGGTTCTTCGTTAACTTAACGACCCTTTAATTAGCTAATGATCCTGGAAATCGAATATATACTTACGTCTGCTATATCTGTTAACGTCTTGAATGCTTCAATAGCGCGCGGGAGCTTGTCCAACAAACTTAGGCATTCTAGCCACTCTAGCAACTTAGTACAGAGGAATATACTGACTTTCCCTTGTTCAGTAAGAGCATTCCGTATTAGCGTCGTTCGTTTAGCGCCCTCTAAATGCTGTACCCAAAAAGTTGCTGCATAGTCCACGCTGGCCACCAGTCCATTCCTTTTCACTAACTCCTTAGTAGAATCAGGTCGCGGTAGGTCAACAAGATTAGGCTTGAGTCGTTGAGATAAATGTGACAAACAACTTAGCGCCATCTCACCATGCCTATAATGTTCATAGGAGTCAAGTATAGATTGTCCATCCTTCCCAGCCAGGTAATCTCGAGCTGACTGATGAACAAATTCGATGTCTGTTCCTCGTCTCTTAACAAATGAAGCACATCGATCGACCCACGCTTCAATAGCGACTAATTCGTCAGACAGACCTGTCACGCTAGCCACCTCCTCCACATTTAGAGGTCGATAGGCCAGCATCATCGCCTTGAGGAGTCGCATACATCCCTTCACAACGGCTGACTCGCCTTCGTTGAGCTGATCGGATATCCGACGATAAAAGGCAGGCAGACCTGGGGGGAAGTCTTGAATTGTGGCCAATGCCTTGTCGTTGGACATACTCTCGAGTCTCTTGCATACCAAGCTTACCCACAAATACGTGTCCTCAGCCTTTGCAGCAAGCTCAGTCTCTACCCTTTGCCGCAATGCTAGTCCATAGTGGTTGCGACGGTCGAGCTCAATCGCCTTAGAAGCAATGTAAATCTTTACAGCTTCAGAAAGATGTTTCTGGTTGAGCTCCAGGCTGACCCCAACCTGATCAGATCCAGTTAACAATTCCTGCTCAGCGCTGTCCAATGGTCGACTTGTCAACAGCCATTTGATTTTGGAGGGTTGATCGAGTCCTGTTCGGACAATGAGCTTTAGGAGATCGGCCATGCCATCATCTTGGCACTCATCAAGAGCATCCACGATCACGTACACTTTCTGACACTTGCATCGGTGTAACATCTCTAAAAAGATATTCCAAAGCGTTCGCCACCAGGTAATATCTTCATCAAAACGCTTGTTTATAGTATCCCAGCGGCATCGTAGAGATTCTTTAAGCTCCTTTTGCTGATTGACTAACTGCAGAATCAGACCCTTGATGATCGCTTCAAGAGTGTTAAGCTCGTAGTTAGCATTTTGACAAAAGAAGTAAGTCACCGCGGTGGATTCATCTTGTGGAAGTGACAGCCGCTCGACAAGACCAATCGACATCATAGTCTTCCCTTTGCCCGCGCCGCCCTTGATCCAGAGTAAACAGACATCGTCTCTATCTCTCCAACTGAGATATTGCGGGTCTTGAAGGATCCAGTCGATGGATTCGTGGAGCAACTTGTCCTTGCTCTCTTTCAGCCGATTCTTGACAGCTAGTGTATCAGGGCATCGCAAAGTACGGAGACAAGATCGATCTATTTCATCGATTGTGACATTCTGATTATTAACTACAACATCGATTAACTACAAAATCCTATATGTAATTACTACGACTTCGGCGTACCGATATGATTGGTACCGATATATTGTTGGCCAGGACCGTTGTTTTGATTGCCAGTACTATTGTTGTTATACTGACTTCCACCACCCGTATTGTTGTTTTGGGCGCCACCGCCAAAGTGTGCAAATGCACGAGCCTCTTCAAATCCATCAGGCAATGAAGGCTCCATCCCAATCACCTCTTCAATAGCTTTTGCTAACTGGTCTTTTCCTCTTGGTGTCGTTACTTCTGGAAACGTTGTTGCCAAGAGTTGCAAGTCATCTAAAATCCCCTTAACTAAACTCTCTACACGACCGCCTTTTCCAATTGTTCGAGCAGCTTTCATATATCGATCCCGCCTCGAGTCACCCTCTTTTGGCATAACCTTTTCAAATAACTCTTGGAGGAGTTTGGCTTGAACTTTGCAATCCTCCAAAGAAGGTATAAACGCAGCCTTTATCGATTCGGCCCCCAAGTTATTGATGTATCTTTCTGCATCTTCGAGGAGCTTCGCGATAAGTGGGAGTTTCGTCGCTGACTTCTTGAAATTCGTTGGGAGGCCCGCTTCGTCTTCGACAGCCTCGTAAATTTGCTTAGTGGCATCGATGATTGAAATTATAGAGGAGATTATGCCAAGGACAAGACTTGCCTCGCCGATGCCGGACATGCTTGGAGTATTAGAGCTAATATAAGTCAGAAACAGGTACTAGAGATTTCGAAAGATTTCTTACGAGGCTACTAACAAGAAGAACGCTCGTAGAATTATCGGGAAGACAGAAGTCCGGTCTATGTCGGCACGAAGACCTAGAGAATACCAATCTAGCTAGGCGGTTGAAAGGATAATAATGTAGCTGGCAGTAGGACGATAAACATGCGGTAGTATCAAAAGAGAAAATGATTAGGGGAATAACGATTTGGAAAGGCGTGGGCTGATTGCTTAGCGTCGCGGGGAAGCGCTAATACCGACTTCGGTCCGGATTAAGTATTTTCCATTTACCCTCGAAAAGCCAACTCAAAACACTAAATAAAATCTCAAAATCCCGTCCCTCGACCACTCTCTATTTATCTTCTCTAAAGAATCGAGGCGGCTGGAGAGGTAGCTGGTACTGTCTCTTTGGTGAGCACCTGCTGTGTACACTTTTCTCACGGCCAGAGTCGAGGAAGACAGCTTGTGCTGGTAAGCTCGAATCTTGCGGCTGCCAACCCATTATGCTCAAGATAATAGCGTGGCCAGTAGGACGATGGATTTGCGAGTAGCGACGGCAACCTCGAAAGCGACTGCGACTCGATCTCGGATTGTTTTTAGGGCCTGACGGTTCACGCGCGGCTCCGGTCATAGTGGCAAATGGGATTGTACTAGGGAGCGATTACGGGCGGTGGTCGTGTTACGGGAGTATGGAATGGGCGATTTGGACGAGAGAGAACGATGTTGGGAAGGTTTTTCCCTGTGAGGACCAGGGGGGTCCGTAGAATCACGGTTGCTGTGGCCAGTGGAGTTGCAACATGGCTTCATTGTGGCCGTAGCCCACCAGGTTTCTAGGGACCGCAGACACAGGAGGACAGTTGGTCGCCGAGTCGGAGCCTTATACCACAGTCACAAACAGAGCACTTCTGTCAACGGATATGTATATATGCGTAGTTAGAAGCCAGACCGCTTAGTGGAGGAGGTTGCTGGTCATACGAGTATGATGAAGTGAGCTGCATTCCCTGAGGTAGATGCAGCTCGGCGGCTGGTGCCAAAGCTGGGCCATTCCGGCATAGCTATCCAAATGGATGGCTGGAACCGTGTATGAATAAATTAATCAATCTAAAGAATCGAATTTCTTTAAGCGATATAGGCTTCGCAGAGTGCATTCATTTCACGATGCACCACGTTCGTATGGGTAACTCAGTTACACATTCAAAGAAGCACGCAAAGGTTAGCGGACAAGGTGGGGCAGAAAGTTTGCGAGAGAATGTTTTGGGGCGAGGTTAGTTTCGAAGCTTACTCTACAGTCTGTAGGTAGAGCGCAAAGAGAGAAAAAGTAAAAGCCGGAAGTGAAAAGTCGGAAGTTTGTTGCGTGGAAACATTTCCCTAAGAAAGTGAATGGCCGATGTTGTTGGTTGCACACAAGACCACTTTTTGCTTTAACTTAATCGGAGGATATAATATCAAAGCAGGAATTTTCTGGTACAGTAAGGTACGCGCAGCCACACGTTGAGCAGCCACAGATTTTATTATATATAAATGTACCGGGATTACTATAACCACACCGTTACTAGCCAGAATCCTTGCTCGCTTAATTGGAGTAAGTATCAGTCCGTGTGGCGACGTCGTATGACATAGCGCGCCCCGGCCGCCACAAGACTAACAATAGCTTTCTAGCATTATCATAGAACTCGGATATCCATATTTAATCGTTGCATATGTTTAAATAGTGAAAAAAGCTTAATAGTGGTGTCACACGTCGAGAGGTCCTATCATAGTATAAAAGAAGGCTCTCTGTAAATCCAAGGGGACGGCGACGACGCGATAGAAATTTTCGGAGCTGACCGATAAGGAGTGTTTGGGAGAGGTATACAATACAACTGAAATGAAAGTGGAGAGAATTTTTAATGTGTTCACAGATTTGAAGTCACTTGAACTCGAAGTACCTATAATTTGTCTCGTCACACGGTGCGTCTCGGCAGGCAGGGATAGACGTTACTTTAATTTCTCCACGTGATAATACAAAATAGAAGAAAATAGTTGGTTATTGCAGGTCGCGATTCTTCGGAGGGGTTTTTTGACGGAGATATCTCTCGGTATGGAAATTTTGGTGACGGAAAGAAAAGAGACGGAGAAAATACTGAAAAAATCTAGTACTGCAACACTAGACATCTCGTAAGGTCGTCGTCTCCTAGTATCCTTGTTTCGAGCACAATATTTGCCGATGTAACATTATGACAGCTAGATGATATTCTTGGTTCTCATTTATCTCTCTACTTTAGTGCATGTAGCTTATATGTCGCATGCACCCTTTCCGACTCTCCATGTCTATTTCTCGATCCACCCGTACCGCCAGCCAAACTCTACAAGTAGTTTTCCTCGGAGCCTCCAATATAACAACATCCTTTCACACCTCGTTGTTTCTGTTCTTGATAAACTAAACTCCCAGTGAGAAGTTCCAGAGAACGACTAAAAGCAAATCAAAACGAAAGTAAACGCAAAACGTAAAACAAAGCTCATTCTCGCATGCCCCACTTTCCTCAAACCACCCTAAAAGTTTCTAGCCCTCTTTCTCGGAATGAAAGACGCGGAAAGGAATCCAGGCTGGCCATAATCGTAGTACGAATCGAAATTCCAATCATTGTTGCGATCACCCTCAGATTCATCACGTCTTCGCTTTCTTGATACCGGCCACTCATCTCTTGAAGGTGCGTTGGTCGAAGAGGGGACGGGGTCGTCGTATATCTCGCCCTCCTCGCGGTCTTCGAATGCATTGAAGTTTCGCTTTCGTGAATTATGCTCTCCTGTTGGATGTTGCTGTCTGGGAGGATCTTGATTTTCTTCGATGTTGTGGAGACTAGCCGGAACGAGAGCGGGAGAGGCTGAAGCAGGAGCACCACAAAGACCGTGGGGAGCATGATCTCTACAATCATGCACGTGGACTCGATCTCGCTTTTGAGGTTTATCCTTGTCCTTAGGCTGTTTCCAAGGAAGGCCATTATGATAGCCATCCTTGTTTTTCGCACGCTTTCTGGAAATGAATTGGGAGTTGGGATCTTGTCCAGCGTCTTCTGGTTCTCGCTTACGCTCCTTCCCGTGGAAATCGTCCCAGAAGGCCTTCTCTTGCTTTTTCTTCGCGTTCACTTCGGCGAGAAGTCCCCGGTAGTAAGCATTCTGGGATTTTCTTCTTGCGGTCATTTCTTCTTCTGTGAGAGACTCATTCTCGTCGTCGATTGGAGCTGGCTTGTTGGAGTCGCCGGTACTTTGGGCGTCGATGGGCTGATCATGAACGGTATCTAGGTTTGGATCAATATTCTCATCGGCGTCGAGACCATTTGTATCCTGAACCAAATCTTCGTTCTCTACCTGATCCTGCGTAGCATCTCCAACATCAACAGGTCCCAAAGTCGACTCGGCGTCTGTCCTATCTTCACCACCTCGCGTAGCTGCCTTGGCCTTTTTCTTGGGTCGTCTTCGCTTTTTGACACGAGCAGGCTTGTTCAATCTACCCAGAACTGAAGTTGAATCGATCTCATCCATGTCAACGGGGCCTTTATGATTGTGACTCTTGCTCCGTGAACTCTTCTCGGCTGGCTGAGGATTTGGAGGACGGTTCAGTACAGCTTGCTTGTAAACTTCATCGAGATCGACATCGTCGAGATTATAGCGGTAAATAGAGCTTTGCGTGGTCTTATGATCGGGTTTCCAAGCAAAGAAGTGATCCTTGAGGCTGACACTGCTGGTCATCACGCTCTGTCTCGAGTCCCAGAATTTCAAGAACTCGACAGCTTCTTCGCACAGCCTCATGATACGAGGACTGCCGATTTGGCATTCCTTCTTAGGCTCAACGTAGACCACGAAGTGACCATTGAATCTGCCATATCGTAGACGGACCTGGAAGAGTCTTTGTGCTTCCTTCATATTGTTGTTGTTGATGTGTCCAGCAAAGCTACTCTTCGGGTTCGGGCTGCGGAATGAAGCTTTGACGGAGTATTGAGGATAGCCGTGCTTGAGGGGAAGAAGTGGTCGGCCGATATTTCTCGCGCGGATGGCTTCTTCCTCCAGCTCTCTTTGTTTTCGGGCCTTAAATTCTCGCAATTCCTTCTTGCGAGCCTCCCTCTTCTTTCTCTCGAGTCTGTTCTTTTCCTTTGGTGTAAGGGTAGGTCTCAGGGGCTTTGCTAGTTTCGGCGCGGGAGGGGCGTTGTTGCGATCGTTGGAATTCGAAGTTGATGCTCCTGCCGCCGCCGCAGCAAGTCGAGTTGCGGCTCTCGTTGAATTTGGCCCGACCATGATTTCAAGATATCTGGTGGTTTCAATTGTTGCGATGCTGCGATCTTGGTCGATTGTTTTATTGGTGTGTTTGTGGAGTTGTGGGGTTGAGGTTGATGGAACAGGCGGCGCTTCCGAGAATTTATTTCGAGACCAACTTCACCTGTTCACCTTTAACAAGAGTGATCCCAAACCATAAAAATGAAATCGGCAAACTTTTCCAATAATTTTAATCATGCTGCATGATTGCTTGTTTGATAGATCACGCGCTTCATCAACTCTCTACATATTGATGTTATTCCTTATCTCCAAGTCTTGAGGGTCTTCCCATGTCCCAGAAGTTTCTGGACATTCAGAGAGCTGTGTCACATGAGCGTAATGTCTGGTTACTTCTTGAACATGGACGACTAACAACGCTTCTGAGCTACGGCCATCGAAACTTCTTTTCATGGCGTTCTGCGTGAGAAGCTATGATGTTTTTGCTCATGATCAACCCGAATGAGGACGCATTTTAGGTAGTACCGCAATGCAATAGAATAATAACAGCCAAAAGCAGTTGCGGAAAGCATTACAAGGATCCATTAGTTGATGAGGAAAGAGATATCGAAGGCTCAGTTAGCAAATTTTAGTAGTGGAGACATAGGTTGAACTTGTTCTGAAGCGGGACATGATGTGTAGCCCACACTAGGCTACTTGGTCTGGAAGCTAGAGTTTAGAGATAAAGTACCCTCTGCTCAATGTACAAGCACATCTTGAAAGGTTCAGATCCAGTTCAGAAGCACCTGAGGGAGCCGAAAGTAGCATGTGACTGAATGTCACTTGAGGCTGGAAGGCTGTGCAATAGGTGACAGTCGCCACGTCAGCCTTGTGCCACAATACCTAAATCCACTCGGCATGAAGTTCAAGACAGGGCTATGAATGGAGCTGTGCCACCAAGGCTGATGTTCAGTAATATTTCAGAACAGCCGGCCAACCTCGGAGGCCTCATCTTGCTTGCCGAGCCGCAAACTCTTATAGGATGGCTTCAGCACGCAAAGCTCATCATGAAAGGGGGTCTGAAAAGTGTTGTCTATGAGTTTAAAGATATAGAGAACTTTTTGGTATAAACAAGTCAATGGGGTGCCGTTGTTAGATGGGCGCCTCTTTGACGTAAATTTCTCTCTTGTGATAAAGACAAGTGAACGTTGTCAAGATGCTTCGGCCCCGAGTCTTAGTAATCCTCCCACCGCTAGATTCCACACATTATCCCTGTAGACTTTCCAGGGATGGATGACTCTTCACCGACCACCGACCACCACAAGGCTATTGAAGGTCTTTAATCGCGCTGTATAGCGGACGGAACAGACCAATCAAGCACCGACGTAACAAGTCTTGATGCCCCTCCTGTGCCTCTGCCTTAGTAGTATTTTTTTTACGTGTTTGTGTTCTTCTCTATGTGATAACTATCCGCAGTTACGCGACATTTAAATCTATTCATGAATGATTCTTGACGGCAAAAGTCGAGGAGAACAGCGCTTCAATCATGTTTTCACCCACGCAATCCAATGCCGCGGCGCCGGCATCAATGGAGTCGACGCCTTCTGCGCCCAGCGACTCGAACCACGCACCGAACGTCTCTCCAGTACAAACTTCGCTCGAGCGGAAAGCTTCTCATAGCTCACCTCATGGCCTGAATGCTCGATCCTGCGTTACCTGTCGCCGAAGGAAGGTCAAATGCGACAAGCAGAACCCATGCTCGAATTGCACCAAGGCTGGCTCACCATGTGTGTTTCCAGCGCCAGGTCGCGCTCCTAGAAGGCCGAGACAGGGCGGAAAGGTTGTTAGTGAGCGGGAAGCAGAGCTTTTGAAGAGATTGAGAAGATTGGAAGGTGTGGTGGAGGAGCTTAGTGGACAGGTCGAGGTCGAAGCCGTGAAGCATTCTCCGTCGAGCGATAACTCGTCTTCTGTGCAAAAAGATAACGAGTCTGAAAATGCATCAAATCACAAAAGCAATACTGTGCGAGTGGTCGGAATGGACGAGGGCAGTGGGAACCGGAGGACATGGATAGCGAGGTCTTGGAAGCTTGGTGCTGGACCTCCCAAAAGTGCCTACGGCCCGGAGGAAGTAGAGAGAGGTGTTGGCAGACTGGTTTTGGATGAAGGGAAGAGTCGATATGTCGCATCTCCATTCTGGGCCTCGATTTCCGAAGAAGTAGATGAGATACGGGATATGCTTCATTACCAGGAATTCGACTCGGATTCGGATGCACCAGCTGCTCCTTCGAACGTTGTGACGGAGCCGGATCACCAAAGCTTTATTATGGGATACAATAGCAGTGATGTAGACCTAAAGAGTCTACATCCGCTACCTTCCCAGATTCCATTTTACTGGCAGACGTTTTTGGAAAATGTCCAGCCTTTGGTCAAGATTATGCATACTCCAACGATGAATAAAGTCATCAAGGAAGTGCAAAACAATCTTGACAGCTTGAGTAGAAGTACTGAAGCTTTAATGTTTTCTATATATTTTGCCACAATTACATCTATGAACGCTAATGAGGTAAGTAGGCTTGATCCCTTTCTGCGAACACCCCGCTAATAATTTCTAGGTTATGACCAATTTTGGGATTCGAAAGGAAACCCTGCTCAAACAATATCGATTTGGAGTTGAACAAGCTTTGGCTAGAGCTGGGTTTCTCAACACGAATGAGATTGTTACGGTCCAAGCTTTTGTGCTGTTCTTAGTCTGTGTTCGCAGACATGATGATACCCGCTTCGTCTGGTCTTTGACTGGCTTGGCACTTCGAATATCGCAATCGCTCGGGCTACACAGAGATGGGACGAAATTTCGATTATCGCCATTTGATACTGAAATGAGGCGGAGATTGTGGTGGGTAAGTACAAATCTTTTTCATTTCAATAGTTTTTACCTTGTGATGAAAAGGATCTTGATAATGTAGGGTCTAGATGGTGGATGTTTCGTTTGCATTTTTTTATGCTAGAAATTGAGTATGATGCTAACTCGACATACAGCAAGTCTGCATTCTAGACACTCGTGCTTCAGAAGACCATGGCTCAGATCCTTCCATCCTCGACTACTCTTTCGACACAGAATATCCTTCAAACATCAATGATGATGACCTCGACCCAGATGCAACAGATCCGCCACAACCTAGACAAGGAGTCTCAGAAATGACATTTTGCCTCATTCGATATGAAATATGTAATCTCACTCGTAAAATCACCTACACCCCTCCGGGACAGACTCCATGTCGGTTATCTGGGAAAATCCTTACGATCGAAGACAAAGAACGTCTGGTTCGCGAAGTGGCTGATCACCTCGAGAAGACTTACCTCCAATATTGCGAAGACGCAGGACCACTTTACTGGGTCGCCGCAACAGTCGCAAGATTGATCATTGCCAAAATGTCCCTCATCATCTACCACCCCTTAACCCATCCCGGAAAGCTAAACAGCTTATCCCAAGACATCCGAGATAGGCTATTCATGGCCTCAATCGAAATCATCGAATACAGCCGCGTCCTCGAATCCGAAGCCAGCACCAAGCAATGGGGCTGGCTCTTCCACACCTACATCCAATGGCACGCCATAGCCTACATCCTCGGCGAACTGTGCATCCGCCCCAACTCCACGATCGTCGAGCGCGCATGGCGGATCATCGACCTCGTCTTCACCGAATGGAACGGCGCCGCCAACACCATGACGCACACCAAGACCGGCATGCTCTGGCAACCGATGCGAAGGCTCCTCGCCAAAGCAATGCGGAAGCGAGAAGAGAATATCCAGAGCGCGAACAACGATACGGATAACAACGGTCTCGGCATCCCGAGGATGTATATGCGGCCTCCACCGGAAGCGTATTCGAGACCTAGTCCCTGTCCCGGCAATATCGCCCGAGATAGATTGCTCGAGCGAGAAAATCAACATACCACCGCGGCGGCGGATATGAGTAATGGGAACGTCCTAGAAGGGCTCAATGATCCAATGTCCAACGCACCAATGTACAGCACCGCCGAGGCCCCCGCTCCCATAATGCCTCCCCAAGTTGTAGGCGGCACGGATACCGGTATGGATAATCTGATCACGGATTTCCAGCCCATGCAACCTTGGGTTATGGATGAGAATGCTAATAATGGCAATAACGGAAACATGCCGGGCTTCAATCCTTATTTCCCAGGCATCGGAGCGGGCATCGTGGATCTGGATGTAGAGGATATGGCAGATGTTTCTTGGGAGGGCTGGGACGAGATGGTGAGGGATTATCTGATGGAGCAGGATCAAGCGGCGCCGGATGGGGCGAGGGGTCCGACGCTGGGTGGGATGGGGCAGTGGTGGTGAGACAATGTTTGGGAATGGGATGGCGTTTAAATATATACCTGGAGTTTTATATTGGTGTGGGAAGATGGGTTGGGGACAAGCGTTTGTTTATGGTTTGGAGTTATTGTGCTATGCTATGGTAGGGACTTAACTCCCATTGTGTATTCGATGAGAATACAGTATATATCCACTCTTCGCATGTAATTGCTTCAACATCCTATTGCAATGCTGTTCCCTGCTCGCCTGGTCCTACATTGACCTATTGTTTTGAGGCGGGGAAGCATAGAAAGACTCAAATCTAGAAAAACCGAGGTCCATCTAAATCCTTAATACCCTCAATAATACGCAACAACTCTCTATCAACCTCGCTAAGCGTCGAGATATCTCTGCTCACTTTCCCAAGTAAGGGTAGTTCCTCTGGTTGGCAGACCGTTCCTGGGGCCGGCAGAGCGCCTGTCTGAAAGTAGTTTCTGATCGCTTTGACGGTGCATAGGGAAGGCGAGGCGAGGGTGCAATGCTGTGGGGGTTATTAGTTAGGTGTATTCACGTGGGGAGCGAGAGACATACGCCTTCCGAGTCTTGAGTCAAGACTCCGGAGCCGGGGAACTTCTTTTGCATTAGAAATGCACTGATATGTGTTAGCTCTCAGTCAAGCTTGAGGCATAGACATTGGGAAGACTGACTTGTAAAGCGGCGTTACCGGATCCAGGGTATTCCCAATCAAGAGAATAGGGTGTGATGTGTTCCCAGTAATATCCTCCGGCTTGACGCTCCACTTCGGCCTTCCTTTCCACGATGCACAGTTCATGGTGATACTACTCCAGTACTCACCCATCCATTTACTTTGCCCAACGAGGGTCTCCACCCTGTCGAACCAGTCTTTCTTCGTCCAGTCTTGGATACTTTCGCCGTCTGAGCATAGTATTCCTACACCCACTCGCTCGGTAGGTACCACGCAAGGCTGAGCTCCTTTCTCGCAATTGTTCAGAGGACAGCTTGGTTCGTGATGTTTGGCTTTGTAGTCGGCGAATGCGGAGCCGTTTCCGTAGGCCACGTCTGTTAGAAGTGTGGCTTGGATGGGGAACAGTTTCAAGGGTGTGTAAACGACGTCTTTGATGAGGTTCATGACATCGGAGTAGGTGATGATATCAGGTCCTCTACTAGCTGTTCCTGGGACCGAAATTGGGTCGTCTTTGACGCTTGATACTATATTCTCTACCACGGCTTGGATTTCTTCTGGAGATAGACTGCCTGTGTTCAAGGGACATTTCTCATTGCCGCCAGTGCTGCAGTAAGAATAGAACTTGTCCATAATCTTGTCTGTGTCGCGAAGATTGCTGAGCCAGCCTGTCTTGTAGTAGTCTGTAGAATCGCACACCCCGTCAATGATAACTCTTCCAACACGATGGGGTTGGAGTGCTGAGAAGGTAGCTCCAAGAAGGGTGCCATATGAAAAGCCCCAGTATTGAAGCTTCTCTTCTCCCTTTCGATACCGAGTTCTTTCCAGGATTGGTTTCCTTGCAAAAGGATGGTCACAATGAAGTTCGGCAGTCGATTGCTTCCAACTTGGAGTATCAACCCAGATCTCAGTCTGCTTGCTTCTCCACTCGCCATGTCTTTCAATGATTTCCACCATGTCAGCTACCACAGTGGCAGTATTCATGTGGTGTATGATCTCAGATGCATTTTCCGAGCATCCAGAGCTCAAAGCGTTAGATCTTGCCCACATATTGGATTTCGCTTCAATTGAGCCAAACCCCTCAGACTCCATCTGAAGCTTAAACACATCATGTGAGAAGTTATCAGGAAAGCATTCAACATGTGGTGTAGTGTTATTGACTCCTCGGGGATCCCACGATACGATATCAAAGAATTTGGCGTCTGTACTCCCATAAGCTGAGCTGTTGAGAGGAGGATTGACAATCTTTGAGATTGTTTCGGCCCATGAAAGTGCGAGGTTAACTCCTGAGCCACCTGGCCCTCCTAGACTTATGTTTAGTATGCAATTGACTATCTCTCAGGTGATTCTTACCTGGATTCAGAAGAATCGGTCCTCCATATTGAGGATGGATCAGAGGGACCGGGGCAGGATATCGAATAATAGCCACCGCCACTCGGGATGCATCCGAGGCAGTGGAATTGTAGTCCATTGGGACATCGAGACGTGCACACTCGAACTTCCCGTAACATGGTGTATACTCGAGATGTTTTGTGGGAGTAATCTTAAAGCACCATCAATCTCACGATCCTGTTCAGTGCCGACAATACTCACCTTGGTCCAAGCGAATTCCTCGGCCGGTCTCTCAGCGTCGGTGAACTTCACAACATGGCCGTATTGATGTCCATACTGCACCTCGGTTGGATATCGTTGATACACGATCCAAGACAGAAATGCGAGGCTGAGGAGAAGGCTGATGTGCATACGAGTGGGCGTTCTGAGACCCCGCCGTGGGGTCTGATTTGAGACATCGATCCCACTCTTCTCCATCTTGGAGATATCTTCTTCTCTCGACCTTCCCAAGTCGTAATTTAATCGAGAGATTTGTTCAAGAGCGATGTGCTTGACGCCACTAGAAGTTATGGATGAATTAAAGATGAAACGCACGCACGATATTTTGGTTGTTGCTTTCGGTGCAATCGTCACTGTAACCTTCCTCTTTTGATCATCGGATGCGATATGGGATTCTTATCGGACCTCTTAGATCCGTTTTTATTTTCTATATACTTGTATCAAGTGATTTGTGTTTCAAACACTTCGGAATGATTCATAACGATGTCATCAACCGTGGAAATCCAACCATTGACTCACTTTGAGCTGGATGTAGATAGATCTTCGTTCCACATATATAATTGACGAGCTACAAATTGATTTTCAGGATAAGTCATGGCTCCAGGTGGAGGAGGAAAGACGGTGGAGAGCTGTCAATAAACTGCTTTCCACGATATATGAAAGCTTAAATCTCTTTGATAAGATTCGACGTTGATAGCCATGTGAAGTCATGAAGTTGCGTATCCTCAGCGCCAAAGTTTATTAGGTCTGCTCATAAAGCTCTGCTAAGTATGGACTCTATTGCCCAAAAGCTTACATTATCATACAATCACCATCCAAAAGTCCAAGTCCAAAATCAACGCCTTGCTGAACAGCAACCCAGCACTGGTCTTCACAACCCTGACACCCTCTAGTTGCTAGCAGCGAATCTTCGCTCAAACTCAGCATACAGCTTGGGGCTAATTTCATCACTGCTGTTCCCAGAGACCTCCCACAAGACGCCCTTCCGAGAATAATGTTCAAGAAGAGGCTCACTAGTCTCCTCGAACTTCTTCAGTCTATGCTTCCATGTCTCTTCGTCGTCGTCTGATCGCTTGGTCAAGGGTTCGCCCGTGATATCATCCTTGCCTGGAACCTTTGGTGCATTGAAGGTAGTGTTGTAGATTCGGCCTGACGGTGCGTGAATCCATCTCCCAGCTATCCGCTCTAAGATGACCTCGAAAGGAGTTCTCAACGAGACAACGAGGTTGATGGGTATGAGGTTGTCTAGCTGTGTAGCTTGGCCAGCTGTTCGTGGGAAGCCATCGAGGATGAATGATGCCGAAGGATCATCAGACGTTTGTGGAGGAGTGGGATAGGAAGCAAGAGATGGTTGTTCGACGAAGGAATCGGTATCGTAATCTTGCATAGAAGCAGAGGCTGATGTAGAGGATAGAGTCAGAGGTGAGGTGCCTGCAGGGGCAGAAAGCCAACCACGGGTCTTGAGTTCGTGGAGGATGAGTCTGAGTATCATAGCATCCGGCACCAAGGCGCCGGACTTGATTGCACTTTCGGCTTTGATACCTACGATGATGTCAGTACTTATATAACAGGCTGGAGATGAGGATGTGTACCGAGTGGGGTCTGATTTTTGACATTGTCTCGCAGGAGGTCTCCGGAGCTGATTGCGCTGAGTTGGGGAAATCGTTGGAGCAAACGTTCCGCTTGCGTGCCCTTTCCAACTCCAGGAGCCCCAACCAAGATAATACGCGCTGCTCTTGAGAGTCTCATGGTCCGTTCTGGATGCAAAATGGAGAGTAATGATGCAGGGCAAGCGGAGGTTGTATGCAGTCTATCTCTATCCCTATGTCCGGAGCTCTAGGACTCGCGCGAATGATGCGCCTGCGCCTGGCAGGCTGGCTCTTTGTAGGCAAAGCTATTCAACGAGGTGCTAAGATATGTCCATAGTGAATGACAAGCTGAAAGACGTGGTGATACAAGGTTGAGTCAATGAGAGAGAAAAGGAAAAGAAATTATGGCGGTGGTGTTGTGGTGCGATTTCGAGAGAGCTTGCAATTCGTAAGCGGGGAAGCAAGTTGATAACGCCGGGAGCCCGAACTGGTTGAGAGTCGCTTGGCTTTCCCCAGACCAAAAATTTCAGGTGTTGAGGATCGCCGAGGCCATAGTGGGCCCTTGTCAGCGTTCCTGAACGTGGGTGGGAAGGGGTATTGGACATGATGGGAGAGTTCGGATGGATGGGAAGAGACAAGTATGGACTCGAGATGGGTCATGTACATTGCTCTAATCTGCTTGGGACATTGTAGCCATTACGGACTTGCAAATCGGTTTTTCTCCTCCAAATTCCAGTATCACGTGAACCATTTCGGCATATTCTGCTTACTTAAGCTAAACTCCGTGTGGAAACTGGCTGAGTTCATTGGCAAGAAAATGCACCGTGATCCATATTGGCTCTGTAAGCCATCCCTTTGAGAATTCCATCTCGACGATGTTCATTCTTTAAATATCATCACCATCCAAAGAACCAGAAGCACCCACGAACATTGTTGCATCTTTGACATTGATTGCCCGAGCGTCTTGTTGACGAGACGTAGCCTTCAACGATGAGCGCCTCTTCAAGAATTATCCGACATGCATCGCAAACTTCTCTTTTGAGCGGAGGTAGGCCATCACTCTTGAATGTGAATGATGAATCCTTCTAATATGATCTTGTTCTAGCTCGCGCATATCCTCGATCCGGTCCTTCCTCCGCGTACACTGCATACCTTCGTCGCAATGCTCGACAACTCCCTTCTCACATTCCTGCATTGGCCATATTAATTCCCCGCCGAGGAGTTTCGACGGATACCCATACTTCAGGAGGTCCCCCGGGTGGACCACCTCCAGGATTTAATGCAGAGGAAGCAAAGAAGCCACTGAAGGATGTCAAGATCTCCAGCAATGCGCCGTCGAAGGCAGCTGCTACACAAGCCGAGAAGCATGAGATTGAGCCTGTGCCATCAGATATCGCCACTGCTGTACCAAAGACCGATGCTACAGAGGCTTTGACTTTGTCAGAATTGGCTGGTGCGAAAACTGCAGCGGAGAAGAAGGAAGCTAAAAAGGAAGAGAAGAAATTGACTCTTATGCAAAAGATCAAGAAAGAGGCTGCACATTATTGGGACGGAACGAAGTTGTTAGCTACAGAGGTTCGGATCAGTACACGTCTAGCTGTGAAGATGGCAGCCGGCTACGAGCTCAGCCGAAGAGAGCACAGACAACTTCAGAGAACGGTCCAGGATATTGCACGATTAGTCCCGTTCTCCGTATTCGTCCTGGTCCCTTTCGCCGAACTTCTTCTCCCTGTTGCGTTGAAGCTGTTCCCAAACATGCTTCCCAGCACATATGAAGGTCAAATGTCCAAGGACAAGAAGGCCAGCAGCCTCCGAGCTACCCGTAAGGATGTCAGCAACTTTCTCCGCAACACTCTCAAAGAGACTGGACTGCCATTAAGCCCAGCAAATGCTCAGAAAGAAGAATTTGCTCAATTCTTCCGTAAAGTTCGAGCTTCAGGAGAGACTCCTAGCCCTCAAGAGGTTATCAACGTTTGCAAGATCTTCAAGGATGATTTAACTTTGGACAATCTTTCCAGACCTCAACTTGTCGGCATGTGCAGATACATGAACCTGAACACTTTCGGAACGGACATGATGCTTCGATACCAGATTCGTCACCGTATGAGACAAATTAAGAGAGATGATCGCGCAATCAGCTTCGAGGGAGTTGATAGCTTGTCAGTACCGGAACTCCAGGTTGCCTGTCAGAGCCGTGGTCTCAGAACCCATGGCGTATCTCCTGGTCGCCTACGTGATGATCTGACTGCATGGTTGGATTTACGACTCAAGCATGGCGTGCCATCCACCCTTCTTGTATTGAGCAATGCATTCATGTATGCTCAAGGAAAGGCCGAGTCCGAATTCCATACCCAGATTGATGCCTTGACTGGTGTTCTGTCATCCATTCCCGAAGAGCTGTTCCACGAGATTGAACTCGAAGTTCACAATGCTGAGGGTGCAGCCACCAACAAGCAACGTCTTGAGGTTCTCAAGGAGCAACAAGAGCTCATCGAGGAAGAGAACGAACAAGATGAGGAGAACAAAGCTTCTGGCCGAGCCACTCCTCGTGATGACGAAGACATTGATGAGAAAGAGGAGCGAAGGCTCCAAGCAGCATCGAACGAGGCCGAGAAGGACCAAGTCAGCGAGGCAGTTGCTGCAGAGAAAGAGGGAGCCGAGGTGCAGAAGCAAGAGGCTGCTGCGAAAGAGAAGTCAGCTTAAACTCAGCCAGTCTATTCACTTTGTTTCCTTTGTCGAATTGTATAGCATTTGGGATACGGTCATGCATGAGGATAAATGGACGGATGGAAACAAATTATAGAGAACCCCCACTAGAAAATCGCTGTGCCTTAGATTGCCAGCATTGTAAAAGAATCACCTCATTGAGCCATTCCCATCAGATGAACCTCGTCTTACTCTGGGACCATGTGATTGTTGTTATCTTGCGGTGCTTGGACAAACAATTCGCCGATGCGGAAGCCTTGTCGCCTAGCGCCTTGTTCCTTGTGCCTCAATGACGAACGAGCGGCGCGAGCTTAAGCTTCTCACCACATCACCGCTGCAACTTTGTTTAATTCAAAGGCCTGAATTGTACCTTTGATGGCTCATACGTAAGATTCGCAAACTCCAGAAAAATCCATCGTCTCAACACCACCGAATCTGGTCCCTTCCCAACCACCCGATTGCCCCGCGCAGGTAGCTCCGAGATGGACCACGACGACTTTGACAACGTCTCGTGGCAGAATAATCCTGCAGCACAGGGTCCAGCTTCCTCAATCGCTAGTCCAAGAGGTGTCTCCGAAGATGAAGGTCCGGGAAATACAAATGGCAAGCAATATGCGGCTGTTGGTGGTCAACTAGGATCGAATGCAGATGCATTGGATTTGGCTGGTGTCGGAGAAGGAGTACTAGAATGCACAGTCACAAATCCACTCAAGGAAAACGAGGGCACCAAAGATGCCTATGTTTCATATTTGGTTACTACAAATGTTTGTTGCCTGGTTCATCAAGCAATCAGTGCTGACCATATTAGACTACATTCCCTTCCTTCCAGAAGCCGACGACCTCCGTGCGCAGACGGTTTACAGACTTTGTGTTCTTATACAAGACGTTGTCCAAAGAGTATCCAGCATGTGCAGTGCCGCCCCTACCAGACAAGCACAAGATGGAGTATGTCCGGGGTGACCGATTTGGTCCTGATTTCACTTCTCGTCGAGCCAACTCTTTACACCGATTCCTCGCCCGCCTAACTCTTCATCCCGTACTTCGGAGGAGCGCTCTTCTTATCATATTCCTCGAAAGTTCGGACTGGAATGCAACCATGAGATCTCGGCCACAACGAGGAAACTCTGGAGCGGATCAAGGTGCGACTGGGGTCTTCGACAACTTCACAGATACGTTCATCAACGCTTTTACAAAGGTTCACAAGCCAGATAAACGATTCATTGAAGTTCGAGAGAAATCAGATAAGCTTGATGAAGATTTAGGCCATGTTGAGAAGATTATTGCACGGGTAGCCCGACGAGAAGGAGATCTGGAAACAGATTACAAAGACCTCGCGGAGCAGTTTCAGAAGCTTATCAATCTGGAACCTGGGGTTGAACAATCGGTACACGCCTTCGCCGCTAGTGTGGAAGATACTTCTTTGGCGATGAGGAACCTGAAGGAGCATACGGACCAGGACTACCTCGGGAGTCTAAGAGATATGCAAGCCTACAGCTCAGCAGTCAAGAATCTCTTGAAAGCACGAGAACAGAAGCAGCTCGACTTTGAGCAGCTCACAGAGTACCTCACGAAGTCAACATCAGACAGAGATGTGTTAGCCTCATCACATGGCGCAGGTGCACACATTGGTGCAAGCGGTTTCCTTGCCCGCAAAGTCGAAGATTTACGAGGTGTAGATCACGAGCAATCGAGGAGAGAACGACTCCGTAGAATCGAAGTTCGGATTGAAGAACTGACGACTGGGGTCGAGGAAGCAAAGAAGACGACAGAGGCCTTCGATGAGGAAGTCGTGAGAGAAGTGCAGGACTTTGAGCGAATTAAGAGGATTGAGTTTAAAACGCAGTTCGGTGCGTTTGCAGATGCACATGTGGACTTCTATGCCTCGACAATCGAGAACTGGTCTCGGTATGTCCAGGAAATGGAGAACCTAGGAGCGCCAATTGCATAGTCAGGTCTAGTTGTAATGTAGTGGAATTAATTGGCCACATATCTCTTTGTGCTGGGATTCATGCAGGAGGGATGGCGTTCAGAGGCATCGGCAGATAGGGTAGATGATTGTTGATACGAAGATATTCGTGATCGAGTTTATCATCGGGCTTCCTTCATTGAGATGATTATTTACTTCCTGACATCTTAACTTCCTGACATCTTAACTTCCTGACATCTTAACTTCCTGACATCTTA